TTCGATAAGCCAGGTCTATAAACATAATGTATTTTATTGTTTTTTTAGAGGGCACGGTAACGAATCTTGCAATCTGATTGGTTCTTTACCCGGTCAGTATTTTCCTATCTCTGCCCACGGGCCACGGTAACGCTTTCGTGAGTCGCCGAGTACATCCCAACTTTCGTTGTCATTTTTCATAAATATACCTCGTTTTCCGGCTGGGCAGTATTTTTAAGCAAACACGTCGGTCACTACCTCAAGCCGATAAATAACTTATGAATCCTCTCTTTTCTCTCTATCAAATCATTTTGGTTGACAGAAAAATATTGGTTTCAGAATGAATTTGTATAAACAATACGTTGGTTGACAAGCGGCCTAAAAACCGTCTGCAATTAATTTTAATCGTTCACAAAAAGTACCCAGAAAGTTGAAACGTGAGGTATTTGGTTACAGTTAAACTGAACGATGGAACTTTCATTCATTTAATATCTGAATTTTCTCGAGCAATTTGTTCATAGTGAAAGAGCGAGCGAAGTTTTAATTTAAGTTCTACAACAAATATACGCTCCTGGTGAGTCTTTCCAATTCCGTTTAATTTGGACATTTGTACCTTAAATTGCACAACAGAAATTGAAGGAATTTTTTGAGAAAAGGCCGCATTACATTCCCTTGTGTCTCGTTGGAGTGTGCCGTTCGAATTTAGTTTTTGTGAAGGAAAGATCAGAGTTAAACACGCCATTACAACAAACAAACGAGCAAACTCTCACAACTTCAAAATAAAAAAATTGAATTTACTCACAATTACTTTCCTCGCCGTTTACTTAATGAACCGAGGTAAATCTTCATGAATGAATGGTCGATGAGAGTGAATGATACTTTCCGTTAGATCATTAACTGATTTTGAAGAAAACATTGTCGTGACAGTCCTTGCCAAACTAGTTCTGTTTGTTTTCAAATGTTCCTACGCTTTTTTTTTTTTTCTTGCGCGCTCTCTAATTGACAGGTGTCAGATTGTGACAGATACTTGCAAAAATAATGTTTCAAAGTTTGTTTGGAAGCCTTTTAAATCACCTTTATCGTTACGGAAATGAAAATGTTTCGCTGAGGCATCTCTCTTAAATTTGCATCACCTCTATTTTAATTACCATTTACCCACTCCAAAATTGTTCAGTTTATGGAAGATCTTGCTGTATTTACGTCCATAAATCATTCGGGTTCTTTCGGAAAGAATTTCGTCAAGTTTAAAAACAATAAATATGTTATTTACCGGCTAAGGGTCGGTCCGTATGGTGAAAAACTGTGACCTCGGTCTTGAAAATGCTGCCCTCGGCCTACGGCCTCGGGCAAGAGAAATTGGTAAAGCGCTGCTCAATATAAAAACACTAAAAGGAAAACAGCATAAGCCACAGTTTACTAGAAGTTTAAAGGTTTATGAGACAATGCGATATTCATTACAATTGACGCATTTCCTTTGCATAGGCCTACACATGGGACAGGAAGCTAACATTTATAACATAACTATGTCTTGAATCGTCGCTATACCCGTATTTCTTTTACGCTTAAGTATATTTACAAGCATATCCTTGGAAAATACAGAAAATATAGATCCTGCTGGCGATTGTAAGCGATTCTTTTCACGGAACTCCTAATATAAATTTCACGATGGCGCCCGTTTACGAACATTTGCATAACAAAAGGCTTCGCAAACAAAATGGGATGAGTCTACTGACCTTGAAATGCCTCCCAAGTACTTTAAAAAGATTGATGAGCAATTCTTTCCGTACCTGTATGTGTGCTGTGGGAATATCCTCGAAAAACACGCTTCAACAAATTGTAAACAACTCGCACTCGCACAGAGAAACGAGTAACAGCTTTTGCCTTAGCAACAGTTGCTACCGAAAAACCTCGCTTTCGTGCACACGCCGCCATATTTGGAAATCACCGCTCGAGGTGTCGTTTGAGGTGGAAAGATTGCAGCCAGCTATTCCATATTTTCGTTTTTCGATTTGTTCAATTTTGTCCTACTAGTTGTTTTGGCCACTGCCATTGTATCAAGTACATTACTAAGATGTTGAACTATTAAACCTTATTGTTGTTTTCAACTTTGCAACTGGTTTATAACACTGACCGAAAGCACCCTACAATCCACTTTCCTTGAATATTTCTGCGCAATTAGTACAATAGAAAAATACTTTTACTAAAGATCGAACGCACTTTACAAATCTTTGATCATTGCTAGTTTCTCACGATAAAGTATCTTTAAGCCGGCCGACTGTACCAACATCTAACTCTAAAATGAATTGAAAAGCACGACACGAAGTTAACAAAAAAATCAATTTTTGAGCATACTCTTTCAGTTAGTTTAAGCCTCAAGAGCTCAGAATTAAAAAAAATTGGTTCGGAGATTGAATCGCATCACAAAGACGCAGTTGATGTCAAACTCTATTAGCAATTTGAGAGACAATGACCAACTTCTGAACATACTGTTCACTTTGGTTGAAACCTAGCTAAGACCTCAAGCATTTTTAATGATTAGGTTCGTATATTATGCATCAGTTGATGATAAACCTTAGCAGCAATTTGAGAAACAAACACTGGTCAACTCATGGAACATACTTTTCCAATTTGCTTTAAGTTCTGCGAGCTCAAACGTTTCAAATAATTAGTCGCTAAGAAATTTATTGAAATCGCTTCATGTGTCAGTTGATGTTAAATTTAACAAGCAATTTGCGACACAAAAATCAATTTGGAGAATACCACCACAAAATACCACCAGAAAGTGTTAGTACTCAGGCTCGAAGACTTTTATTAAATCATGTCAAAAAAAGCCTCTGTATAATTGGACGGAAAACGCAGGAATAACTTGTCGATAAAATCTACTTTTGGAGTATACACTTTTAGTTTGGTTTAAAACTTAACTTCATAACACTTAGGCTCCAAGGGTTTTCCGTTTGAATTGAAAAAAGGTTAATTCTTGTAAGAAAATGTAAGACTATTAACCTTGTCAGAGATCTCAAAAAGAATTCAGGAAAAAAAAGATAATTGTAAGAGCATATTGATATTTTTTTCAGTAATTTTAAAGCTCCAAGAGCTATATTGGAGGAGGTAAGAGTGAGAACTTACCAGACTATAACCTATCGAAGATCTAAAACAAAATTCTATAACTTAGTCGGAGAAAAACAAAATATGACATCGTGTTTTGCCTCAAGAGTCGAGACATTCAGGCTTTAGGTTGACCGAAATTTGTCATCAAATGAACGCCCTACTTAGCATTTTATGTTGAGATATTTCGTTGACAGTGGTGAGACAAATAAAAAGTATTCATGGTAGGTTAAAATCGTTAAACGCAGACAAACAGGCCTAGATAAATTATATTTTGCAAAAAAAGGAAGTAATCTGACCTTGTTAGGAGTTGTCATATATTTCCTTCCTTCCTTGAAGTTGTTGATTTCGTAGTGCTCTAATTTTCTTCTTGATAATGTCCAATGGAGAAAAAAAAAGAGACAAATATATTATGAAGACTTACGCACCTGAGTGCTATTCGTTCTAAATGATAAATGTCAACGTCTGAATTAAAAAACTCATTTATAGCCACCAAATTTTTTTGTTGACAAATTTCATGTCCTTTACTCTTACTGAACAAAGGCATTAGGGAATTTACAGGTTTCCTGACAATGCAGATTAAGGTAAGGACTACCCTCCGTGGCCTCTGTATGAAAGATGGGAACCAATTCTCTGATAAACAGATACTGGAGTCTATGTTATTAGGCTTTCTCGATTACCGTCTCTCTCTGTTGGGATTGAAGGTAAAGGAAAGAACAAGTGCGTTTGAAACGCATTTCAGGTCAAAACGCTATAATCATAAAAGCTAGTTGAAAAAAACATGCACAGAAATGAAAAGAGAAATGAATAAACAAGCGGTAAGTACACAAACAATATACAGGTAGTAACAATTTCTTGCGTTGCCACTGAAGTCATGTTCAAGAAGAGCTGTCATGGCGGTTGCTAATTAGGATTTTTCCTGCACAATGCTATGTGCATTACGCTCTTCCTTGTCACATTTAACTCTATATATTTATTTTACAATGCCCACAACGAGAAAGATGAACACTGTCTTTCTATCCACACACATTTTTCCATTTACCTGAAGAAACGACGCGACAAAGTGAAAAGCACAAATCCTCGACATGGTATCTAGACCACTTGATCCAGCATAAAGACACTGGCAGACCTGGACAGAACAGATAGTATCCAAGGTAATAGGGTCGAAATGACGTGTTTTTTGACTCCTTAGAAGCTGAAAAAGACGCTAAAAGTTGTCGTAGTTTGCAAGCTCTTTGCACGTGCAAGACCGAGCTGACTGAGCGCGGTCGTGAATATCAATTTTGAAAGTTATTTGCAATTCAAATGAGTTTTACGACTTGAAAAGGTGAGTTCAAAATAATCGACACAGTTCTTCGGTCGTATTCACTCAATCATATAACGAAATAGGATGCCTTGCTTTCCAATGATATTCTACTTGAAAAAGTTGAATAGGGTTGTAGTCTCCAAAATATCTTCTAAACTAAACTAAAATGAGCTTAAACTTAAAATTTTGCTTGAACAGCATTTTTAAGTCATTACAGAAGCCTATAACTTGGGCTTGCCATAACTTCCTGGTACTTTTTTTGTGTTTCTTTTCCATGGACACTGATTTCGAGTTAAAATGGTGCTGCTATTTTCCAATCTGCATCAGTGTCGACGAAACATGTTACAGACGAAGGAACTGTTTTATTCGGCTATTCGAGGCACGTATATGATTTCAATAGCGGAGCTTAAATCGAGCGTCAAGTGCAAACACCACGAAGCCCCACACTTGTAAAAAGTGTTAGTTACCCATCAAAATTTGGTAGAGTATGACTGTACGACCGTACGTACAACGAGCTACTTTAAGCATACGCGGCCAACAGCATTGCGGGAACGTCTACACAAAAGCAAAGCAACTAAGAACAACTTAATCACGTTTAGTTGGTTGCTGTTTATATTAGAAGTTTACCAACATATCAAAAACTTACAGACCAACTAAAACTTACAAAGCAACTAAGAAAATAAAGCAAAGCAACCAAGAACAACCTAATGGCGTTTAATTAGTTGCTGTTTATATTAGAGGTTTACCAACATTTTAAAAACTTACAGACAAACTAGTGATTTACAAATTTTTATTTCGTCAAATCTCCATCTTGTGTCTATACGTAAGATAATGTTCTCTGTAACATTTTCCATGTTCGCTGAAGACAGAACTGCAGTAAACACGAATATCAGTGTTTCGTATTTATGCAAAGGTTTCATTAACTTAATTTCACACCTTTGAAATTTTCAAGTAGTGCCTTGATCTTGCTTCCCCTTAATATCCCTTTACAAAAATATTATCTTAACTGTCGATTCATCGACAACTGAGCAGTAGACATGGTAGAGGACTTTCCCGTGTTGATATAGCCTCACCTAAACGCGAGAGGAGTTGGAAGAATTCAAGAAAGTTCAGCGAATCCAAGATCCAGTCGAGGGTTTGCATAACTTTCGAAAATTTTTGTTCATGTTGCATATTTGGATAAGGCTAAGAACAGTCCTATAATGTTTTTATGACCTACTTCATAAAAATGTGCACAGATTTAAACGTCACAACCGTGTGATTTTTTCTCATGTTAACCCATCAATCGACAAACGAGATCACGCGTTCTATAATCAATACACTACAATATCAAATCTCATTACGGTAGATCGTTATCATAAAGCGAAATCATTTACTCATTTAATAAAATCTTTAAATTTGTAAACATCAAGAGCGCCAAAACAAGCTATCTGTTGGTCTCCTTAGCATCCGTTCTGAGTAATGTCACGCGAGGCGTTGCGTAACATCTTGGAAAGCGGCTGCGGAGTAAGGGCCGGTTATTTCGACGAGATCCAACCCAAACCGCAGTTTTACGCAATCAGTGGGCCTCAGGGATCCTCTATGAGAGGGTTAATTAATTAAATAAATGTCTTTCCACTATTAGCTTTCGGCCCTATTTACACTGTCCACAAAAAAAAAATGTTCGAATAAAAGGTTCGGCTAAATTGAAGATGGCTTAGATCACGGTTTTGTTAAACAACGGCTAAACTTTGTTTAAATAACCCGCCCTAACTTTTTGTTGGATTTCACTGATAGTTCTTACTGACGTATTTCCTATAAACGTCAACACTGACTGGCGATGTCCAAAAGCGACCATTTTGTCCAGCATGAACGTATGCTGTGTACAAAGCCTCCGACGGACGGTCTACTGTGGGCAGTCTAACTTTATGATTACAGTCCGACGCAAAAGGTTTGTGTGCTTCCCTAAACCAACAAAACACAAGATGATTAGTTTATTAGTTTTCTTTCCGTCCATCGCAGTTTACATCGTAAGAAAAAAAAATTTGTGAAAAATAAGTGAACCGTTCGTTAGTAAATTATTTACCAATTGTAATGGATGTGTTTCACTCCAGGATTTTCCTTGTCAGGTAGTGAAGTCTTTCCAAATTGAACAAACCTGCATAAAAACAACCCTTGATTAAGATTTTCTTATAAAGATACTGATTCAGGAATCATCACGATAACGTGGATTTGTAACTCAGGAAATTAACTCAAACGGAAACACAGGTCTTATTTTCGCGCTTGTTGTAGATATTTTACAATTAATTCAAATTCTCACTGGTCATTCGCTCGACGAAGGGCGATGTTAGTTTCATAAACTCTTTACGGCGGTCAATTTCCATTTTAAACTTGATAAAACCAAATTATCTGTTAACTTAAGTACCTTTGGTAAGCCTCCATACTTCGATCCTTGGGTTCCTTCAGTCCAACACCATATATATCCTGCATAGATGGCAACAGCTCCTAACCAGAGGAAAAAAAAATTTGCTAAGTGTTAGCACAGTAATTAGGTTTCCATGAGCAGTTTGTTTAACTAGATGGTTTTCTTCTTTCTTTCCTTCTTACAGTCAAACATCACCAGCAACGAATATCTAGATTCTGTTAACCTGTCAATCAATCAATCAATCAATTAATTGAAGAAGGCACATTTTAAAATGTCAATGCTTGCGATCAACATATTTAAGACCAAAATTTCATCAACGCTGGCGCGATTTTTTTTTTATTTGATGCTCGATGTTCAGTGTATTCTGGGATCCAAAAGCCTGCACAAATTTCTCAAAGTGTGAACGCCTTGTAAAATCTCTGTAGCACACCTGAAAAGAGACAACACAAGTGCTTGTGCTGTTAATCCTCTCCAGAACAGATATGGCTGAACTGTCATCATCTGAGCTGGAGCCGTCATCGGTGCTGTCTTCCACACTGAGCGGTTCAGGAGCAGCACCAACCGCTCTACGAGTCGGGACAGAGCGTCGGCTATAATAAGGAAATAAATTTTTTTCATCTTCACAGTTATCATCACCATTACTAACAACGTGGTTTAGGAGGAAGTGAAAATGTCACGTAAATAATTACACTTTTTACTTGGCTCGGATGATGACATCCGCCTAGGGTATTGAGACTTCCCTCACTACTCAGACAACAGTCCTTCCAGGACTATTCTGACATTGACGATTGAAACTCCACTGAAATCAACGGAGATGTTACTTAAACTATTCACTGCACAATAATTACATAATGGCTTAAGTTTGCAGCCTCCATTTTGGTAAAGGGCCTAAAGCATTTTAGTTGAGTGTCAGAGAACCAAAACCAAAGGAATCACAACGGCAAATCAGAACCAGGAGAAAAATCACACGGAGCCAAATAAAACTCAAGGTAAAACAAGTAAACTGGTTGAAGCGCGGGAAAACGCGAGTAACCAACCTGTAATTAGTTTAGCTATGCATCTGATTGGTTCGATAGAAAGCGCAACTTTTTCTGGATCAATCACAGAGTAAGGAGCAGTTAAATCCAAGTAATCCCGCATTACTTTCGACATTAAATTCAATATCACTCTGAGAACTAAAACAAATTGGATGTCCGTGGAGTACTTACCCAGGTGACTTTGCAGGAGCTCTAACTACAAAGGGACTATGATTATGAGCAGTTGGTGGCATGAAATCCCTGAAAATAAAAACAGCTCTTATTTTTGATATTGTCCATTATACATTCACCGTTAATTTCCGATAAACTTTTTCTCAGGTTAAATATCAGGACAAGATCTAGCTTCCAAGAAGAACGACGAAGATACGCGAACACCATTCAGTATATATTCAACCAAAGTCCAATCGAACAAAAATCTTTGTGAGGTTCCCTCTTGCTATCCCGGAGCTCGTTACACTCCGCATTGTAGAACACAGACACACCAAAGACCCAGTCAATTCCTTCCAAAGAGTCTCCCGAAGTTGGCGACAAATCAAGGTAATAACTAGACTTCAGGAAAAGAAGAGGCTGTAAACAATACACATAAGAATAAATTTTCCTTATTCTCAAAACCTGTTTACTTGAGATTGAACTGACACACTAATGAGATACCATAATTTGATCGCTTACCTACAAGACTTCTGCATACGATGAGGATACACTGTCTCGAGGACGGTCAAGTTATCTGGGTGATAATACTCTGAAAACATATCTACCGATTCATGATCTGCAGAGTCTGAGTATTGCCAGGGGTCTTCCCTTTGTTCCTTGTTTCCTGCGTCTTCCAGTGGCGTTTCTGCAAAATTGTTACCATAGATTTAACAATGACGTCGCAAAGGTCCAAGGGCGAAGCCTCGCGCAAGTAGAAAAAACTACTTGCGTAGTAGATTCCGCGTGCTGTGGCGTCCTAATTTCATCTCTAGTTGTATTATTGTCCTTCGCCATGATTCTTTGGGGTGTCACTCAGCACTGCGTTACATCCCAACAGTTTTCTTTTGCAAATCTTCGACTATATTTGCGCATCAAATAGTTCAGCTTATTTTCTTCAATGATAATTAAAAGAAACCCGCACGTGTACATAACAGAGTTGTTTGACAATATCTCGCAGTTGTACAAAGGAAGTTGTGAAATAGTATGAAACTGCCCTCTTGAATCGCTGTGAGGAAAAGCTCCAATGAATTCAAATCGAGGAATGGAAAGGCTGAGATTAAAACATGGTAGTATTTAACTTGACTAATATAACACATTTAATGTCACACTGTAGTACGATAGAAGTATACAAACCATCAGGGGTGGGGTGGGGCAAAGAGTTAACCACAGCCTGATCCCACCACTTGGTATAACTGCAGAGACGAAAACGCGAAAAAAAAACAACAACAACAAAATTAACAGAACGCAAAGAAACGAAACAAAAAAGGCAAAACAAAACAGATGAGCAAAAACAACGCTATTGTTTTGATCTAACGACCCTTAATCAGAAAATCAGAATACGCTTTAAGCTCTATCACCTTTTTCTGTTCTTGGACGCTCTCAAGTCCCATGTTGTGTTGTGGTGCAAATAATAATCACTAGGCAGTTCCCAAATTTTGTGTTTTTCCTGTTGCGGTGAAAATATCCCAAGGAACAGATTCATGGCTTGTTGCTTGTCAGCATCTGCAAAGGGCCAGCAAAGAGACAAATAGAAAATAATGCGCTGAAGTTATTAAAAAAACAAGCAGAGGGTTGTGGGTAGGGGGGGTACACAGCTGAAATTTCGAAGAAACGTCATATTGGTAAAAGGGCCATTTTGTTGCATTAGTCTACTTGAACTATACGCTGTAATTGCTTTAGAAATTTGTACAACCTTCTCGACCAATCAGATACAAAACAAAACCAATGACGACTTGGTCACTCGCGTTTTCCCGCGCTTCAAGCAGTTTAATATATACATTTAGCCAAGCCTAAAAGCGGAGCTCGCATTTTTTTTTTCCCGCACGTCTCAAGGGCACAACGCCTTCCCCGGGCCAGGACTAGAACCCGGGTTGTCTGACTCGGAGCCCAGTGCACTGACCACCAGACTACTGAACAAAGCCGTGGCGTTGGCATGCCCGCTGTACAGTTGACCACGCATGTTAAAAGTAGCACCTTGTACGGTCGTACGGTCGTACGGTCGCACGGTCGTACGGTCGTACGGTCGTACGGTCGTACGGTCGTACTTCCAAATTTTTTTGGCTTGATGGGTTACTGCTATTTTGTATAATTATGGGGCTACGTTCTGCGAGCTCCGCTATAATTTGAATCCCATTCCCTTCCAGTAATAAATCCTTTCCTTCAATTGTGATTACTCAAATGAAACGCGCTCCATGAAGAGACCCATGCTAAGATGACAGGGAAAAAAATATAGCGATAAACAACTTGGATGCAAATTAGAGTTCTCTTACCCGTGAATGCGTTGCTGTAATAGCGAGATACTGTCTGCATTATATCCCTTGAGTGAGAAGTGAACGGCGACACCTTGCGATACGTGCGAATTCTGAGAAGACAAGGACCGTGGGATAAGGAAAAACACATCGCTAAATGGAGAGAATTCAGGTACCAATTGCAGCGTCAATCTCACTATATTTATTGGTCTACTGGATTGACGTGCATTGCTATCAATGGTGTATACGATTTCCCTTGCTCATATTACAAATGCCTCACCCGTGCACAAGCTGGGATCCTCCATACTGTAAAGCAAGAGTATCGCCATGAGCTTCGTAAAGATCTTCCAAAATCCTGAAAAAACAAGGCAAAATACTTCAATACAACGATTACAAATAGTTTACATTTCAGGACCAGAGTGGCCTGCCGAACAGGCCTATTCAAGATAATTTTAGAGAGATAAAACAACCATGAACAATTATAGTAAAACGTCCTTTGATAGGTCACTCGTCGACCAAGTAGAAAGCAATTCTTGGACCCTCTGTTAATTTGATAGTATACCTCATTATACTCCTGGCCCCGGTTGATCGGTTGGTCGGTTAACGCTATCCACAGGATAAATCTCTATCCTGTGGATAACGCTATACGTTTTGCTATCACTTATCCGCTGGATGGCGATTTATCCGTTGGGTAGCTTTATCCGCCCTTTTATACAACTGGGCCCTAGATGGAGGGGGAGGGGGGACTAAGGAGGGTTCGGTGTATTGCCCAAGAACAAGCGTGCTAAGAATTGAGCCAGCGCGTTTTCCTCAACAAGTACTTAACCCTTTAACTCCCAAGATCCCATTAGTAATTCTCCTAACTGTCTGCCATGCAGTTCTTGTGATGTTAGTTTGGAGAATTTGATATTGGATCAACTTATAATCTCCTAACTGATATTTTTCTTTATCCCCGTCACTTGTCTACTTGATATTGTATTGATATCGTTAGGAGAAATTCTGCCATGATCACTTATGGGAGTTAAAGGGTGAAATAAGCAGTAATTTCAGAGTGTATTTCATTCCACAGTGCCTTAAACAAGGCGGAAATGATCAAACATACCTCACAGCATCCGAGTCGAACTGAAGAAACGGTTTGTCAATCACTCCTAACGCATGCAACTGGAAGGAAAAGCAGCTGATATTATAGCGTATAGTAACCGTGTGATAGCAGGTAATCTTAGCAACAGGGATGCATGCTGATAATCAAAATCTAAATACACATTATAAGGTCCCTAGAGCTCAGTGTACTCACTAAAATCTAGCAACATGTGACCGACGAATTAACGATCACTACCGACAACATCAACTCGTTCCATGACACATTAACGATGCGTTCACAGACACATTACCAGATGCACCTCTACACACAGTGTGTCCGTGAACGTGTGAACGTTTTGCAACGAGATTACGTAAACACTTTGTCAACGTTTTAGTGGTGTATCTGTGAACGTGGTAGCAGTTTGTAGGTGAACACCACCCACACCTTTTTGCAACTTTTGGAATTTCATCACAATATGATATACTCACCTGAAAACCAAGGGCACATTTACCGACCATAAACTGTGCAGTGTTTGTTCTGTCCAGACAATCTACGCAGTTTGTCCGGAGTACACCATTCTTAGGATGAGAAAAAAAATCACGCTGTAAGCAGACTTTGGTGACATGATATTTAGGCATTTAAAGAAAGGAAACGGTACATTGTCATTTCTTAGTTTATCATGACGCGCAAACGTAAGCACGCTTTAGCTTGAGATAGATTAGAAAATTTGTATCCCAAGTTACGTTTTCAAGACAATGTAAACTGCAAGTAACACTACTACAAACAATAAACAAACAGGGTGCACACCGGCAACTAATTAATAGAATATATCAAAAGAGTTGAACTAAAGAAAAACGAGACTAAATTCATTTATCGACAAGATGAACTAATCACAAAGGCAATCATGCACAAAAGTACAATGTGGATGTTATTGGGAGGAAAGAAGCCAACTGCCTTAAAGTAACACTTTGGTCTCTAAGAGTTACTAGCGTCTAATTTCTCTTTACAATATCACCCCTGAATCATGCTCACATTAGGGTCACGAGAATAAAGGAAATGATCAGCTCTGGATTGTTAAACATATATTCTCCTTGCCAGCATCATAAGAAATTTCGTGAGAAAATTACTAAGAAAAATGGCTACTGATGTTAGTGTGTAAACGGTTAGGATTGGTTTAATGATGCATTTGATTTGTTGAAAGGCTTGTGCAAATGTTCCAGTACAAAAACGAAGAAGATTTCGGCAAAGCCAATGGATCCGAAGCTCTTATTTCTTACGACGATCTTGAAAACTGCCATATGTTTTGGAAGCGGAATAAAACTGAGTAAATGAGCTTGGACAAGAATACTGAAAAAAAAAGTCTGATCAAGGTTTGGGTAATTTTTGGATATGTAAAATTCAACTCTGTAAGAAGCACGCACAATGAGTAACGTAATTAAACAAGCAATACCAACACTAATTATAGATAGCAAAAGCAAATGACAATTATAAACTATACCTGTTCCCTTCCCAGACAATCGTCAGAGTATCCAGTGCCACACATACCGTTAAACCTAGAACAAAGTACTGTCATCTTCAAAAATTTCCACAAAAGGAACGTTTAAACTGAAGCTTTGACTCTTTGACTTAAGATAGAATACTTTGGGCATGTGGCTATTCTGAAAAATCTTAAAAGTGGGCCAGGGTCTGTCCGTCTATCTGTCCGTCTGTTGGCCTGCTTATCTATCTGTCTGTTTGTCTGTTTATCTATCTAACCGTCTGTCGGTCTGTTTAACTATTTGTCAGTCTGTCTGTTTATCTATCTATCTATCTGTCTGTCTGTCTGTCTGTCTGTCTATCTATCTGTCTGTCTGTCTGTCTAGAAGACTCATACCTTGAATCTTTTCTTATCTGATTGCAATACAATTCCTGTCCACTGTGGAAAAAGCCAGTCGATTTGAAAACCTGAAACAGTTTTACTCATAGTTAGGAAGAACAAAAGGAGGCATTTAACGTTATCACTCATTCAGTCAGAATTCAAATAGAACATACAATTGATGAATAAGGCATTAATAATAAACAGTAGCGGAGGAGAGGAAAACGCATACAGACTGAAATACAGTCAAAGGAATGGAGTGGAAAAGATATGGTTGGTTATTTAACTTAATAGCCTTAACTGGCCTCTCGCGCGAGGAGGCATGATGACAAGTCAACTACTAAACTTAAGAAGTCAATAGTGCTTTATTATTATTTTTTTTTAACACAAACCTCATCAGCTATGACAGTCAATTTCTCCATGACATTGCAGTCTTTACTGTAAAAGAAAAAAAACAGCAATGATTTGATTCAGCGACTTGATAAGCTCAAATTTAGCAGAAATGAGGAGGCATGTAGCAATCACACAAGGTGCAACAATATTGTGACTTGTCGGGTATTTTTGGTGGTATCTGTGACTTGGGGTTGCTAAAAGTTACCGCGAGAGACTGAAAAAACATAACTTTAACAACAACATCCACAACATCTTTACGGTCCACAAGCTCTTTACGGTGGCCATTTTACGTTATCAACCCAGTTGATACTACCAAATTACCCTGTTATACTCTCCACCGACGCGTCACCTCAGTTTCTTGAGAAATTTAACTCCTTTATTTTTAAGTAAATTCAATGTTTATAGCTGAGGTACAGTACGGCCAACATACATACAGAATATACACTAGACAGCGACTCTTAATCGAGAGACAAACGAGTAAACATTTGTCCATCATTATCACCAAACACACATTTTACAACAAAACTCCCTCCTTGAACCAACCTCTTGTTGTATCGCGCCATGTCCCACGCTTTATATATTATGGCATGTTGTAATGGCAAAAACTGGTTCAAATACGTCACTGCTCTTTCCAATTCCTCACTGAGAATCTGTTCGTGTCGCTTCCTTTCCCTCTTCTATAAAATAAGAAGTATACATAGGTTACATGTTGGAAAGAGACCTCTAACAGTTCACGAATAAGAGAAAAACGGATGCTTATTTGATTTGAATTGCCTTTTCGGGAAAATCGAAAGCTCGTAAAATCAGGGATTTAAGTATAGAGTCCTTTACATATAGGTATTTTGCGGACTTTCCAACACTATTTACTCTTACTCGGGAAAGGGTGCTTCTTTGCAAAGTGGGTGCTTTTTCGAGGAAATGCAGTTACGTGTTGCGCAGACTTTCCAACACTTAAGACGTAGAAAGTACATAACCCACCTTTACAAGATTAAGAATGACCACAGGAGAACCAAACCGTCTAAGAAGTTGGTTAAAATGTTGCCCAGCGGCCGAGCAGAATGGATCTGCACGATCAACTTAAAATAAAACAGCACACATTATGTTAGACAAGTGAAACTCTAATCCCGAATATAACTGAACAATGAAAAAGAACAATCATCACAAATCACAACTGCTTGAACACAGACATGAAGCATGCACGGTTTCATATAACTCATTCAAACGGTCAGTTACAATGAGGCTTTAAGGTCTTACAACCCTTCCACTCTATGGTCACTCATGGGGGTTAAAGAGCTAGCAAACTGCACAACTTCTAATTGGCTTTCTATCACAGACCTTTTGAACCATAAACCAACATTTTTCCTACAAATACAAAATCAACATAACGATGATTTTTGAACAAAGTATCTCTCAAAAACAGACTTTTAGAATCATTCTTTGCTATGGATCAACATCATTGAGCAATTGCAAAAAGACCCAAATCTTACTGTGATTTTCACCAGAATCACTGATAACTAATTTAGATAATTACTACACAAGTACTGTGTACAAGTGAAAATAAAGATCGTGTACTTGATTGTTACCCACCTATAATTTGTGGTTTAGGCACCATTACTTGTCTTACATCCTGAAAAAATAAATTATCTCTCAATTAGAAAAGATGTTCAACAGACATGGTCAATCTTGACCCTTTCACTCCCAAGATCTCATCAGCAGTTCTCCTTGGTGTCTGCCATACATTTCTTATGATGTTAGTTCAGAGAATTTGATAGTGGATCCTCTTAAAATCCTCTAATTGATATTTTTCTTCATTTGAATCACTCATCTGGTTGATATTGTATTAATATTGTAAGGAGAAATTCTGTTTTGATCAATTGTGGGAATTTAAGGGTTAAATGGCATAAAAAAGATAATTTGAAATGGCCCAAAAATTAGGAACAAGAGTTGAATGGTGGTAAAGCAAAATATATCATTGTACCTGTGACCAAAAAGATGGAACGGATCCTCTGAGCTGAACATAAGATGTAAATCTTCCACTCTTGAATGACAAAACAGAGGCATCATGAACAATTTGTTCTGTTTCAACCTCATTGGCTACATTTCCCTAAAAGAACAAAAAAAAAACCAATCAACTGTAAATCTTGAGGGCTGTGAGGGTGAAGTCTCAATTTGTTATGAGATAAATTTCATTTAAACTGTGGATTGAAAAAAATCTGACCAGGAAAGTAATGCTCCTCACAGGTGAGCTGAAATTTAATAAGTAATTGTAGAATAGAAGCCTGAAAACTTTAGGATTTGATGAGAAGTAATAATGTCAAGGGTCTTGCCCAGGAACACAATGCAACCACCCTGACCAGCCCTAAGCATGGAACTTTTTGAGTCAACCATATCAGCCATAAGACCACTACTTCCCTTGACTCCATTAACAAAAATCTTTCTAAAATAGTGAGAAGGTGTTCAAGTATTGAACAGTTTTTTGGTACCAACCTCATCATTAGCTCCTCTCTTTAAAAACCTAGTTCCAGCAAATTCTTTTGACCTTCGAGCAATCAGTGTAACATATATGGGCCGACCATACACACAAATATCTGAAGTATTATGTATCACAAGTTAAAGGTGCATCAACAGATTTTGTAGTTTTTCACTCAAATTTATGTTTCTAACAGCAATACATCAATTTTGTTGTTGAAATGATGGACAGGGCAAACCACACTGAAAACATCATCAAACAAAAGAGATATTTCCTGACTCACTTGAGCTGATCCTTTCCAAATTTAGAACATTAGCTTACTTCTTTAACAAACCTTTCCTTTTGGCCCGATGTAAGAATACATTATTTTTTAAAAAAATCTACATCTGAGTTAATTTTATGCTATCCAACATAACTTTATCACACTGAGTGTATATATATATGTATATTTTCCTTTTTTTTAAACAATGTTTGGATTTCACCCGAAGATTTTCTGTAGTTGTTGGTGTTTGAGACAGCAGGGTTGTGGCAACAAAAACACTAAATACCTAAGCTGTCAAGATCAAGGCTTTGTCAGGGTCTTTAAGTTAGCAAACTTTTTAAAGGTTTTTTCACTTTCTCTAATTTGGACAACTGATCAAAGACTAATGATTTGATCTACAAGCCTAAATTTTAAACAGATAAAATCCCTTACCCAGGCCAAATCTGTTATCTTTAAAGCCTATTCACCTTACTCTCACATTCTTCCAGCAGCTCTAACTGCAAGAGTAGAAGACATTTTGTGTTCAAACTGTGGATGAAAAGCTCACTAATATGCTGTTCCTTCCTTCATGTGTACATCAATAATTATCTTCAATATTTGAACATCTGATATTTCTCCAAAATTATTGATAATAAATGAAAGGATACCAGATTGTCCAACAAAGCCATTCACAATGTGCAGAATCCAGTCGGAGTGGACAGCTCCTTCAAAACCTTTCAGCAGATATCTGTTCCACACAAACTTGCTACATGATTTGCTCTTGCTCAAAAAAGGCCTCTCTCTTTGTTGCCTCAATTTCTCACAGTCAGGGCAAAAGGGAACTTTTCTTTCATCTTTACTGACACAAGAGTCCCTTGCCAGCTCTTGTTTCTGTGTAGAATCAGTTGCTTGTCCTTGTTTCTTTGGTGATGACTGAATCTCTTTTGATGATGAAGCAACAACATGATCAGCAGAAAAATCTTGTTTTGTGGTACCAACTTCTGTTATTTCACTCCTCTGATCGCATGCACTGGATATCACAGTATCTGAAGTTTCAAAATTTCCACTTTGCTCAGTGATTCCATCATTATTTTGAATTTGCACATCACTTGCTCGTTCACCAGTTTCTTTACTCCCATCCAGAGCTTGATCATGTGTTCCATTTTCATTGGCATTCTGAGGATCAGATTTATCTTTTGTGCCCTCTGGCACAACTAACAAAGCACATGCATCCTGTGTTGTTTCTTTGTCTAAGTGAGGGCATAGTCCCCAAGCCTGCCATGAATGTGCAGTACTAGAGTAAGCTGGGGGATTAATGATGGGGGCCATTTGACGCTGGAGGTTATGAGTCAAATCATAACTGTAGCTATAACACAATAAAGAGCAAAAGTTGGAAACAATTGACCACTCAATAAGACAAATTTTCAGGAAAAGATCAAAGACAACATTAGGTCAGATCATTACTCATGAAAAGCATAGTTGACAGTTGTGCATGCAGATGCCTTTAAGAAATAGAAAAAGTTGTTACAACAGAAAATGGCTGCTTAGAAGAATGTGTATATTTATTTGTTGAGTTCAATTTTTCCTTGGTTTCAGATTTTTTATTCTAGGCTATTTTTTTTGTTTAGTTGCAAAATATGATGATAGAAATGAGACAGAGATGGAATAACAATCAAACTGGTTTAGTAATATTTAAAACAGGAACAAAATTGATACATTCCTCTGTAGGTTTAAACCTGCTAATGACTGTATTCATGTTATTATAATAAAAAAAAAACTCAATACAGAAACAGTGATCTCTTTTGTCTTGATTACTTTGGCAAAATACAAACTTACAAAGAGAATAAGAGCTTTACATACCTAAAATAAAAGTTACTAGAGAGATCAACATTCTGAAAGATCTTGACATATCTGAAGCAAAGGAAGTTAAAAAAGAAATGAGAATGTACTCATTGAATATTTTCAAGAATAACTCATATCATAATACTGTCACTGGCCTGCTTGTAAAGGAAATAGAAAAAAAACATGTTTTCATGTTTTTGCAGTAACAACATTTACTTGCTCTCATCAGGGTGCTGGAACTTCTGTCTGACAAGTTCATTTGCTATTGGAATCAACTTTGTATCTTCAATTTTATAGATGCTGTGTCCTCCAATCTCAGCTTGCCTGTAAAACGTAATATTTCATATTCTTTTAAAAAGTTACGTTAAATCAAAAAAGCATTTCTGGGTTAAGCCAAAATTCAGTAAAACAATCATGACAACACCTCATATTTCTATTTAACCTAACTTTTTCATGCACAAATTGTTAGTGGAACTGAGCTCTTTAAACAGTTTACTGTAATTTTTGCAAAACAAAATGAAAATCTGTAATTTGCAAAATGTAAATCTGTACTTTGTGAAACGAGAATCCCTGTGGAAAAACCCACCAGCTGTAAGGTTAAATTTGTCAGTTGACCATAAGTGTGTATTGCTTATGCAAACTCAAGAAGGTGAAAAATGTAAAATCTCTTAATGTACTTTGCAAAATCTTCTCTAAGTTTGTGAATGAATCAGTGCATTGGCTATGAAGAATTGCGTCAATAAGCCATAAAATGAAAATCTCTAATTTGAAAAATGACCAGACATACACTTAGAAGATATTGCTGCCAAAGGTGTATACAGTATGTTTCTAAATGAAATATCATGCTTAGTGGGTAAATGAAACTGACTCAAGCTCTTTGATATTCTTGAGCTTCAAGAATTTTTATGATTTGATTTGTATGCCAAAACATTTTAAGGGAATAATAATTGAGTATTGCAGTTTTTAACCTTGATATTGGTCATAAAGACTGGTGTGACCTTTTGACACAGAGAAATTGAAACTCAAGCTTACTTTACCTCAAGTGAACTTGAGCAAATTTGCCCTCCAAAATATACCATCAAAATGAGCTTGAGGAAAACAGTCACTGAAACAGGCATTCTCTTTTCACATTTCACATTTCCATTTTGCAAATTACAGATCTTCATTTCCTTTCATTTTGCAAATGACAGTCAAGCCCTTTATTCCTTAGAGTGACAAGCATCAAATTCTCTTTCCAGTAATACTGCCCAACCATTCATTATGATGATGAAAACTTTGATTGTTAAACAAATTCTCCTTGTCAGTACCAAAGAAAATGCATACAAAAGAGTATGGAGAATATCAATATTAATGTTAGGGTGTAAAAGGTTAACAAGTAAACTTACTTCCTTCGCTCTGTGATCAATATGATATAATACCCCTCAAGAAATCTCACAAATCCTGCAAAGAATATCCACTTCACATAAGTTTAAGGAGAAATACTGAACTGTAGAGTGCAATAGGAGGTTCATAGGGTGAAGTCTGCTCTCAAACCTAGTGGCCCAAACAATCCTGGAGCTGCAGTTAATATCAATTCTGTTCTGTTTTCCTTACAATAAATACATTTTCAGACTCCAAGTGTGAGATTATAGTAGGTTGCCCAAGAACACTGCACAAAGACTAATTTAGTTTAACTGAGACAGTCTGTACCAAGTACAGAGTTGTTCAAGACTTATTCATTATTCTAGGACTCTCTCTGTCATGCCTGGTATAACAATTCTCATCTATTATATTGGGTCTTTCACTCCCTGGGTCAGACAAGAAGAAATTTCTTCCAATCTTACTAATACAAGAAGAGAGGTCAAGAACAGAGGTAAGAGATCAAATGGGAGTTCTTGTTTGTTTGATCTAAAGACAAATATCAAATGGGAGTTCTTGTTTGTTTGATCTAATGACAAATTCTCAGAACTTAAATCGGAAGAAATGTTTAATAGATAGAGAGGAGAATTGATATTGAGATCTAAGGGATTTAGAGGTGAAAGAGTTGAGAGAAAAATAATCTTTCAAGATTAAGACTCACCTACAATACCATAAGCAGATATACTCCTGTGTAGACCTTTATTTGAACTCTCATGTGGTTTGTTTTTATTTGGCAAATTGCCAGCATTGATCATGGACAACAAATCCTTGATCTGTCTTTGATTGTACTCAACCTAACAAGAAAAATAAAAAATGGGGTGTGTGTCACAAGGACTTCAAATCATGACCCAGTTTAAGACAAAATCCATTCAGCTTCAAGATCTAAGAGGGAACCTGTCATTAATTATTATATGTTCACTTCATACAGCCATTTGTTGTTCAAACAGGACATTTGAATTGGACTTGAATATTTTAACTACTACAAATGTAGACCATGTACAGCAGTGACAGTGTCAAGGTTCCAACTTGACAACATAATCACTGCACATTATATGAAAAGCTGAATTGCACATGCATTTTTGATTGGTTCTTGCTCATGATCTATTGAAATCACATCACCTTCCACGACATTTTGCTTTTTTACCATGTAAAATAGACTCCATGTTGCCATGGGTTAGTACAATAATAGATCAAAGAAGACTAATGAATGAGGTTAAGGAAAATCAGAGATGCACTCAGCTCATTTGTCATCTATTTCTGAACAGACACACAGCAACATACAATCTATTTGTTTAAGTAGACTAAGCACTACAGTAGCAATGTTTAGGTTCCAACTACTTAACATGATAATCATTGCACTTGAAGACCTTGCAGAGCAACAGCAGTTTTTTGGGTTCAACCATCAACATCATGATCATAGCTATACATAGCAGTGGCAGTTTTTTAAATTCTAGTCATCCACATAACAAACACTACACTTTTAGACCATGTTCCACAGAGGAAGTGTTTAGGTTCAAAAAATCAACATAACAATTATCATAATGATTTCCTTTCAAAAAAAAATCCAAACATACTCATGAGCAAAAACCAAGTGCAAATTTTTTTAATTAGAACACAAAATATTTGATGAATTTTAATTTGACCCATGAACATCTGCATTTGTTGTGATTTGCAGTTATGTCCAATCCATGATGGGTGAACTGTTCTTTCAAATCAGTCTGGTGATAACCAATCACGTTTGAGACTTGTGTTCTTGTTTTGAAATAGTCTGCAGAGTATGGCATAACTCAAAGAGATCTGGTGATTTTGCTGTGTAAAACCTCAAAGAGATATCGTGATTTTGGCATGCAAAATGGAGGTTTAAAAAAGAACTTGTGTAAGCACCTGCCATACTCTGTGTGATTGGGTTTTGGACAAGAGGACTATTATCTAATGGGAGGGGGTATAGACTGTTCTAACACAAATATCTTAGACATGAAGAAATAAACAGAAGAGAGTAAGGAGAGTTAATAATTAGATCAAAGTAGTGAAAGGGTTAAGGAGATTTCTGATTTTGATCACTCATATCATTTCAACTCACGGGATCTTTGTCTCTTAAGGTGACGACGTTCACAAATGGACTATTTACATTAAATAATTCCTAAAATAAACTGTTTTGAGGCAAACCTTATCGTCGAAAAATACCAGTTCGTACGGTTCAGTCCTATCTATTTTCAAAACACGAAAGCGAGTTTCTGCATTATTCGAGCCAACGAGGAAGAACCTCTGCAAGAAGGACGAAAAAAATTGTTATTATTACATATAATTAGGTTTTTATCTCTTATCCTAAATATGATATTTACCGCTTTCGTCTCGTAAAGTACGATTCGCTGGGTGCAGCAAATTGAGTAGAGGTCCGCCATCTTGATATCTTGATGAATGTTATTATTAGATCCCAGGTCTCTCACGGGCTCGGCTCCGCTCCGCTCCGCAACAGAGAATCGATGCGTCCTCTTTGATTCTTTCACTTATATATATATATATATATATATATATATATATATATAGATAGATAGATAGATAGATAGATAGATAGATAGATAGATAGATAGATATAGATATCTGTACTTTCAAAAATCTTCAAGGGTACTTTAGGTGGAAGATGAAAAAGATAGTCTAATGGGGGAGGGGGGTTTAATCCGAGTCTTCAGTCTGCCTGCTCTCATCTGGTTTTTAAATGTGAACAATGAGTGTGCAGGTGCAGGTGGAAAAATAGCTCAGGAAGTTGAAATTGCACTCCTTGATATTCTTGGCAGGGATGTGCTATCCACGTTCTCAAAATCTTGTCTCAATTTTTTTTTTAACCAAAAACTAGCAGACCAAAACAGCTCAAAAGCCTTCCCATTTGGATTGAAATGTTCCTATTTATATGACAACCTGAAGAATACATGCATTTTGATTGGTTCTTCTGTTTGGTAATAGATGATGGAAGACATCAAAATGTTATAAAAATGTCAGTGATCCCCCTAGCATTACCTTGTGTGCCATTTTTTTGTTCTTCTCTTACTCTTAGAAACATTCTATGCTTTAGATTTGAAAACAACACAAACTACACCACACCTTGGAAAAGTTAGACTTCAGCCTTATTCACAGAATTGATTAGCTGATCAATTTTATTCACAAATGTTCCTATTATTTACTACTACTTTAAGTACAGTTCATTCTACATTTCACAACTATTCATGAAATTAAAAATTTTACAAATTATTATGAATAAAAAACACAAGATGGTGCAAGAAATAAATTTGTATCTGTCCCTAAATTCAAAACTAGTATTTACTGTATGGTGATAACAGGGATATTTTTCATGTATCCTGGAGAGTTGGCCTATAAACATCTGTTCAAAAAAATTGAGTTGTATGCCATGTGAAAACATCTGAACAGCTGGTTTTAAATCGACTGGCCAGCACATGGTGGAAAACTGATATATGACTTTTATGAAAGAGCAAAACTTCGCTTTTTGATTCCAAAGTATTCAAATTAACCCCTTACTTCCAAGGGTGACCAAGAAATAATTTCTTGTTACAATGTCAATACAATCTCAAGCAGACAAGCAATGAGAATATGGAAATTTATAAATTAGGGGATTATTTGTTGATAAATTGTATTACAGACAGTACAGAGAATTACTAAAATGAGACTTTGGGAGTGAAAGGAAATGAATGTAAGAGTAATCATTAAACTAACTGAACAGGGTTCCATCATATTTGATTTTTCTTGTAGTACATTCATATCAAATTATGTCTAGCCAATAGTCAACAGAGAAGTTAATAGCATTTTTGCTGCAAATTAAGCAAACTGTTTTTACACTCCAAACACCAAACAGAGAATTTCATGTTATCTAACCAGAGATGCCAGTGGACTACAACCAGTGCCTGGTAGCTGTAGTTTTTCAAGCTTTCAAACACTTAATCATGTGGTAAACTTTGTCAGAAGGCTACCAAATAATTGTGTTTGATTCCATGCCAAGTACAAGTGGTTTCTTGGCTATTGTCTGGGATAACTACATTGACCTGCTAACATTGGTGATGACTTTGCAAGATTTTATGAAAGGTGGTTACTTTTCTGGAGGTGGTTGCTTTTCTCTGTTGGTTCCAAGGACATCTGTTTCAATATCTGAAAGATCTATATTTTTCTCCTTGATGGCCTTCTATAGAAAGAGATACAAACATTTAAGGACCACAGAAATATATCACACAAGCATTAAGTCTCTGGAAGAATAACTTGAGATGAACTATTGTCACTATATATGGCATAGAATATAGGATGTTGTTGTTGAGCTAACAGAGCCTTGGTTTAGCAAGTGATAAAAGTACCTTTGTTACCAAAGCAGAGGAGCAAAATTTCAGTTGAGTCGCTCATGGACCAACTCGCCCAAGCCAACAAGCCACACTTAAAATTTCTTTTCTACTGCCTTTAAAGTAGTGGTCATCGCTACAAAGATCCTTCTCATAATCATTTATTAATTTGAAGTTCACATATACGATTTTCATCATTCACAGTCATTAACCCTTTAACCCCCATGAGTGACCAAGACAGAATTTCTCCTTACAATATCAATACAAGATCAAACAGATAAGTGATGAGAAAGAAGAAAAATATCAATTTGGGGATTAGTTGATCCATCAACATTATAACTGAACTTACATTATAAGAATTGTATGGTTGAGAGTAAGGAGAATTACAAATTTGATCTGAGAGTTAAAGGGTTAAGAACCAAAGTGTTTGGCAACTGCTATACCATTACATATGAACACTTAGATGCTGAGAGTCAAATCCCTGAAAAATCCCTTTGATTCTTTGGCTCAAAGTGTAACATGACATACATGACAAAAAGAAATTGTAAGATACAAACAAACTGAAAGCTGTTGTTCTGAAGATATCTACATTTCCACAAAGGTGTTAGAAAGTGTCCATGGCATTTAAGAGTTTGTGTGTAATGGTATACCAGTTACTAAACACTTCAGTTTGTAATGCAACAGCATAAAGCTAACAAATTGATGTTGAAACTTCAATTATTTTATTATCATTTCATAAGATATCAGACCTTAACTTAAAACAAGACTAATTCTGTAATGAGCTTGGCTTAGCTTGTTAAAGTGATTTTATGCATGGTGAGTTGGCGTGGGTGAGCTAGTCCTGGAGCAACTAGATTGGATACCAAGGAGTGCATGCCCACATTGTGGCTATGACAGGGACTCGACCCACCCCAGCCCCAACCCTTCACTTCCCCTCCTACCACTCATCAATCTTTGGTGAGCAACGTAATGTAAGAGAGGCAAGCATCTGATTAGAAAATGTTGATGATGATGAACTCATGGAATTCATTGATAACTCGTCTACCCTTATTAGGAAAAATATTTTCTCTTCAAGGGAAAAATATTAAGTATATTAATATATCGTGCAACTTACCAAAACACATGCTCTGTAGTTCTTGAGCAGCTCACTACAAGGATCACTTTTGTAGTCACCTTTGAGGAAGCTCTCCGAATACCACACATTGAAGCAAGAATCGTATTCTTTCTTCAAGTCATTACACTCAGGTCCAACGCTGTTCATTCCTTAACTTATATGTATGGATGAATTAATTGCAAAAATCCACGAAGATATACTGGAACATGAGGGTGGAAGAATCTGCGATCATTCTGCGGATTCGCATACTAACATATGTTCACGCTTTAGTTGTTATTAGAGTCCGCTGCTCATAAGGATCGATTAGTAACAATATGGCGGGCAGTCTAACACGAGAGGTGATAACTCTCCAATTTGGTCATTACTCCAACTTTGTCGGTACTCACTGGTGGAATGTTCAAGAATCTAGCTTCTGCTATGACCCTAGTTCTTCATTTCAACAAGAAATTAACCACGATGTGTTGTTTAGGGAAGGTTTAACTTTACACGGCGACCAAACTTACACTCCAAGGTTGTTGGTGTTCGATTTGAAAGGAAGTCTAAAAAATCTACCAAAATATGGAACTTTGTATCAGACTCCATCTGACGGCCACGAAACCTTGTGGGAAAGGGCAGTTTCTGTACATGAATCAGAACCAGAACCTAAAAATGAATTTCAAATGGACTTGGAAGCGGTACTGGAGTCTGAGAACGATCGCGAAACAGAAGTTTCTGTTGACAATAGAACGCTTGATCAGGATCCTGTCGATAAAAACCCAAGAGAAAAGTATTATGACCTGGATAAAAATGTCTTTGTGTGGTCAGACTTCTTAGGAACCTGCTTGCATCCGAAATCAATTCAGCTTGTGCGGGATTACCTGCATGATGGAAGCACTAGTCCATTTGATGTGTTTGGATACGGACAGTCTGTAGCCAAAGATGAACACTTTTATGATGAGTTTGAAAGCAATCTTCATTTCTTTGTCGAGGAATGTGACAGTCTACAGGGATTCCAGGTTAGAATTATACCGCTTGGAAAAATGAATTTGTGGAGAGGTCTATAGAGTGTCTGCAAGCTATCTGACGAAAGTTTTGATCATTTCGCCGTTTTGTTCATTTTATGATTTTGCAAGTTGAGACAGGTAGCTGTCTGTTTTAAGGTGATTCTCAATGCCTTGTGGATTGTAATCCAGGTCTGTTTAACCTTAATCTGGGTCCCTGCTTCTCAGTGAGGAACAGAATTGATAATAGGAAAACTGTCTACTGCCCATTTTCCCTCCCCCTAATATTTTCTTGCTTTTTTTAACTCCTTCCTTCTACTTTCCCCAACCCCTGCCCCCCTTGACCAGTGATCTGGCCTACTTGCACTTAGGAGCCTGGTGCTTGTCTAGCTTTTTGCTTGCTTAACTTTCATCTGTTTTTAAACCAGAAAACCTGTGCTACATATGCAACCAATTAGATATAAACTAATCATAGCTCAGCCATTCACACTTTCTTGTGCTTGAGGCCATCAATGTGTCTGTAGTTTAAGTTTTCTTTGGTTTCTTTGGCTGTGATATTTTCCTATGTTCTGATTGAGCATAGTGAAAACTATAGTGTTAGTTTTGCACTGCTTAGCCCCTTAACCCCCAAGATCTGATTGTTAATTCTCTCCTGTAGCTGCTACACATTTCCTTTTAAATTAGTTATGAGAACTTGGTGCTAGATCAAGATAGCAGCTTCTACCTGATAAGTCTGAATATTCTGATTACCTGTTTCCTGAAGAATGCATGGATATTGTAGGGAGAAGTTTTATGTCAATCACTTCTGGGAGTTAAAGGGTTAATGCTTAAGTGTCCAGCTTCAGTTATGGACACTTCTTTAAGGTCTCTGCAATGTCTGCTCAACTGATGTCAGTTTTATAATTTGTTCTTACAGATATTCTCTGATGTATATAATGGTTTCGGTGGCATAAGCAGCCAGCTACTTGAAGACCTAAGAGATGAGTATGGGAATAAATCATTTCTTACATTTGGAGTTACACCAACTGAATTTCCCAAGGAAACGCATAAAGGTGCTGTTCATAGAATCCTGAATTCAGCTCTGAGTTTTGGTCAGTTGGCACTAAACAGTGATATGTTTGTACCTATGTCACTTGCTCAAGAGGTGTGGCCACACCTGGGACAAGCCAGGGATTTTCCTCTTTTAGATTATAAGGTGATTTAGTTTCCTTTTATGAGCATTATAGAACCAGTAATCATCTCATAAGCAATTGTTTGCTAAGGTATTTTTTTTGTTTTTCTTTCACAGCCTGCTTTGTCATACCACACCAGTGCAGTGTTGGGAGCATGTGTGGACACAATCACTATGCCTTACCGGCTCCTCACACCTCAGGCAGTCAACATGAACAGCTTTGTAAATAGTGTGGCATTCGGAGAGAGAAAGATTGCCAGCCTCTCATTGACTTTCCCTTTGCCCATAGAAGATGCTATTCCTTTGTCGTCCCTTCTAGGCTCTACACTGAGTAGAAATGGAACAGAACTTTTGCAGTCAGTAACTCCTGGTATTTCACATTCTTCCTCTCTTATATCTCAGTCTGCAGTCATAAGAGGCATCCCTGCTTCTCTCACCCATACACCTCAACAAAACATCCAGTCCCAGAATTCTGTGTTGCATGAGAACCCATTTGAAGTTTGCACGACTGCTAGTGAAATGGTTCAAACATTTCTGCAAAATTTACACCCTCAGACTCAACCTGTGTGTTGGAATGTCAATCAAACTTGTATGGTCAAGCCTCCTTTTCCAAATATTTTCGGCTCAAGAGTAACCAATGATGGACTTGTTGTTGATGAATATACAAGACCAGAGAGTGTACGAGTGAGTCAGACAAGTGTTCTTAGTCGTCTCGAGACAAATTCTGGCATCGCTAGTATGCTTCTGTCATTGATTCAGTGGGCAAAAAGAGTAAATATCAGTAAGCATTATTTGTTTTTGGAATCAGGTACTGAAGAAGAAACATTTAAAGAAATGCTTGAAGATTTGACTAGTTTGTCTCAGCGTTACGTAAACCCGTGATACAGTAAAATAGAATTTTCAAGCGTTTCAATTAGTGCTAGAATCTTTTTATCTTTAAATTAAAAAGAGTTCCTCTGTCTTCGTATGTTACAATGTGGTGAAACCAAAATCTTTAGATTCAGTGACTGAAATTTCTCCTCGGTGAAACAGTGCATCTTTCCTACGAAAATTGATAAGGCTTTTAGGAATTGGTAACGTCTCACGATTTTTACCTGTAGGCCTCAGACTTTGCGATAGAAGTGTGCTTCTGGTTGTTGTAATCTACATGAAACGACTTACTAAGTTTGCGCACTATCTTACCGGTCGGCTGCGATGTACTCCCTGTAGGAATACTCCGGCTTTAAAACCACCTTTTCCACTTTCTGTGTCTTCGACGGAAGAACAAATAACAGTTTGAACAGTTTCTGCCAATTTAAAGAATTGTCTTTCTGTGCGAATTAGTGTAGCAGACATCTCAATACTAAAGGAAAAAAATGACGTTTGAATCGACGGATTGTACGCCACAGAGATCTACGTCAAGCGCGGGAAAAGAAATGCACGCGCGCGGTCATTAGGGTCGCTTTACAAAATTCATTTAATCCATCATGAAACGTTTTAATTTACAAATAAAAAAAAAAGCTCGAGAGATACTAGTGCTGAGCCTTGATTTTGCCCCAATAGATGAATGTAAAGGTTTCACTTGCCATCCCATTGGCACGGTACTTATTTACAGAAAAATACCCGTAATTGGCGTGGTAATTCGTTATGTACTTACGGAAAGTTCAGACTACGAGCAGTGCCATCTTTAAGGTGACGTCCGTCGGGGGAGTGAAAAAGAAGAAAAAAGAAAAAGAAAAAATTCAAGGAGGAAAAAAGAGGATCTTATCGAGCTGCGTGGAACTCTGGGAGGGCTGAATTCTTTAGACTCGCGCGACGGACCCGCCGAAAAGGAGGGACTGCTCGTAGTCTAAGAAGCGTTCAGTTTTCGGGTCGTTTGGAAGTACAAGTCCAGAAAATATAGCCAGAAATGTGATTTTTTTGGCAAGAGTGTTGAAACATATCAGGTGGAACAGTGGATTCCGCCCAAATTGACTTCCAATTAAATTTAATTCAACAAAGTTTAACCTCGTGGCAATGATCCTCAAAAGGTAACAACGAGACGGCCCATTACAAAGAAAATAAGATTACAGTCGGTATCGTGCGGGAAAACGCACGTATTCAGGGACCCCGTTTCCCATTGGAAACCCTCTTGCCTAATGGGGCGACATCAACCATAAGTAAAAAGATTCACCAGTTATATTTTGCAAGAATGACTTTACTACAGATCTGTTTACTAAATTACAACAAATGTTAATAAAAAAAGACTCGCAGGTTGATCATGGTTGCCTCACTTGTCTTCTTCTCAAAAGATAAAACTTAGTGTGCGGAAAATAAAATACCTCGAAATAATGTTCGTTTGTTGGCGTCTCTTTCCACTCGTCACACACGGTTAGGAAAATTAATGCGCAGAATAAATACCTATGCTTTAGAAGAAACACGTCCCGACACAGAAACCTGAAAAAACTTTACGTATCGTAGAACGTTTCATTACAGCCAAGAAGCGCGGTGCACTAAAAACCAGGCTCTATTATTTTGAATTCCACGCACAACAGTGACCTGAAAGGTTTTTCATTGGAGTCATGAGGTGTAAGAGCCCTTAACTAGAACAAAACATTGCTTGGTGCAATGCCACTGGAAAGGTATGCTATTGAACCAAAATTCTTCTCTGTTCTAAACTCGAAAGCCACAATATGCAAAACTGATTAGCAAGTTGAGAACGTTTTTTTTCCGCCTAATGGTTGTATATTGGGTAAAGAGGAAAACAAAACTCTGGAGGCATATAGACGATCTTAAGCTAGCACGCACTCTACCGCTTGGCGGTGAATCACATTTGAAAAAAAAGGACTGAAATCAAGTCCTTTTGTGTGGGAGGAGGTCAGCTAAAAAATAAAGAACAACTACTAATGCTGTGTACGATAACTGCGCTATTTCAAGAGAAATATCGAGATATTAAACGCCTGGGTAATGGCAGGGTGTTTCTCTCAAAGATAGTCGGTCGGTCTGTCTCTACTTTTGAATTTTTGCCTTTTGTTAACTTTTCAGCGAATCAATCGTCGTCGTTCTCCTCCTGTCCTTCCGGTGATTTGGCGTGTCTCTGCATCGATTGAAGAGCCTTCTCTCTTAGCTTCCTCTCCAAGGTTTCTGTGTCATCTTCGTCCATGCTCTCCGAGTGCTGTGAAAACGGAAAAACAAATGTAGCATACGATTACTGGAGAACGATTAAACAGTCATCAAACAGTTGAAGGCCATTCCCTCATTGTGTAGAACGTATCTTAGGTTAATCTGTTTACAACCTTAGAACCTTATAAACGACTATCCCAGAAAAAAAAGAGCTCTGTCAGGGAAAACCTTCAGACAAACTAGACTCGAGAAATGCCCCTTTTATCAATTCTGACGGTCATCATGTACAAAAGAGTGAAAATTACGTGGACATGTGGGCGCAAGCAACACCCGCGCGCTAATTAGGACGTCGGTGAATACGATTCTCATTTACAAAATGGAGCGGTTTTCGATGAAGTGTCATAAAGCCAAACCCAAAGTTATCACAACAACCGATGAGATGAAAGGGAAATACCCTTGGGAAATAATGAGAATTCAAAGTCAATCAAGCAAGCTGTCAAAAGCGCGGGACAACACGGGTGTCCAATTCGTGATTGGTTTAAGTTTTGCATCTGTTTGGTTGAGAGAGTGGCACGAGTTTTTTTAGACCAATCACAGAGCGAAAAAAACCAAACCCGATGCAATATTCCGGTCTACTTTCGATACTCAATTGAAAATTTCTCTTTAAGCGCAGCGTTAACGCGTAAGTTACTACTAACCCCAGGTGACTTGTCCTTGTCTTTGTGTTTCTTGTGTTTTGAACGCTTATGTTTGTGTTTCGAACTCCCATGTTTCTTGTGTTTCTTATGTTTCTTTTTCTTTTCACCTTTTGCTTCCTTTTCCTCTGGTTTCTCTTGTTCCTCAGCAGAGCTTTCCTGTTAAAGGTTACACAAACCAAGATTAACCCTTTAACTCCCAGAAGTGATTAACATGAAACTTCTCCAATAATATCCATGTATTATCCGATACAAAATTCACCAAACTAACATTATGAGAATCATCTTGAAGACAGTAAAGAGAATTACTACTAAGATCTTGGTAGTTTAAAGGTTAAGATCGCTACATAAATGACTCCAATACTATGAGAGTATTTATAATACCTTAGCAGGAGCAGGAGGGGACTTGCTAGGAGACTTTCTCGGCGGCTCTTCTTCCGGCACTGAGGGGCTTTTTCGGGCCTTTCTTGCTGAGGGCTCGGGGGATTTTTCCTCGCTAGAGGTCCTCTTGGCTGCCGCTTTCCGTTTGACCCGTTCACGTGATGGGGATGCCGAAGGATTCCTCTTGGTCGCGTGCGATTGCTGACGAGTTTCTGGTGAGGCAGGCGAGGATTGCTTGGCAGCGCGAGATCTAGGTTTGACTTCCCGTTCAGGAGAAGATGACGGCGATCTCCTTGAGGCGCGTGACTTTGAAGCCTTCGCGGGTGAGGGCTGGGGCGAGGCTGAAGCAGAACGCTTTGTACGAGATTTGGTTTTGGGGCCAGGCGAAGCAGAGGCACCTTGTGCTGATCTCCGACTTTTGGGCCTTAAAACAAATTAAATGTTGACTATCCTAAGGAAACCAGTTTTTTCATTTTCCACTAAGTTTCAATACAAAAAAAAATCACTGTTAATTAAGAAATAAGTAATTAACCAAAATGCAATGCACACACAATATACTTTCTGAACCATAAACAATGAAGTAAGAAAAGAGAAGATTTCATATCGGTAGGAGTTTTGTCAACCATTTATTACCGCGCTCAAAATAACAGCCTAAACATCTTACCTCTTGGGTGACATGGACGGCGACTTTCTTTCCCCTCGTTTCCTATCACGAGAATCTTCTCGAGGAGAAGCCGAACGTTTCCGATCCCGAGCATCCTCGCGAGGCGAGTTCGACCTTGATCGTTTTCTTCCCTCTCCTTTTCCTCGAATTGCGTCCCTTGGAGGAGACTTGACGGGAGACTCTCGAGTCTCACGCGTCTTTTTCTTAGCCGATGACGGCTCAGGGGAAGCAGACGAAGAAGATGATCGTTTATCTTGACGAGCTTTTAACTTCTTCGCTGAATCAGGTTCGGCCTGTGGCTTCTGTGGTGACACTGGCGAGCCTGAAGAAGACCGAGACCTCTCCGAGCGCTTTCGTCTCCGACCAGCTACTTTCTCTGGTTCTGGAGAGCGGCGACGCTCTTTTTGATCTTTTTCGTCGGCACGACGACGACCCGATGGTTGTGGCGATTCTGACCGACGAGTTACAGGAGGTGACGAACTTGACCGACGGCGTCTTCGCAGTGGCGGGGACGGTATTCTTTCCTTTCTACGCTCTCTACTTCGTGGCGGCGATGGCTCAGGTCGTCGTCGCCTTTCCCTGGGAGATGGTGATTGCGAATGTTCTGCTTTTCTCCTCCTTCGAGGAGAAGAAGAACGTCTCTCTTGGCGCCGTCTTCGGGGAGAAGGCGAACGGGAAAACTCTCTTCTTTTTCGTCTGGGTGGGGAGGGCGAGCGTGAATCGTCTCTCCTTCTTCGTCTGGAGGAAAGTGACTCATCTCGGGGCTTTCTTCGCCGATCCCTTGGTGACTCACTTCGTTCTCGTTCCTTTCTCCGATCTTTAGAGGAGTCAGCTTTCTTCTTCCTCTCTGGTGACCACTCCCCTTCAGACGAGGATGGTGACGGCGAGTGTTTGCGGTAGCGGCGGCTTGTCGTTTTCTTGGATTTTGGTAAAGGCGGCGACTTCTCTTTCTCTTCCGTGACTTCTTTCTCTTGTTTGATCTGAGGGGGTGGTGGCGAGGCAGAGGATGACGAGGACGGGGAAGGCTGTTTGACCGGTGAATGAGGCTGTTCCTGCTTTTTGTAGGATGATCGATGATGCGTCGGTGGAGGGCTGGGAGTACCCTTTGATTTCGCTTTTTCCGGACTGGCCGACTTTTCCTTTGATTTAACTTTATCGTCTTCTTGCTGTTCTTCTTTTTCCTTCTCAACCTCCTTTTCCTTTTCTTTACCCTTTTCCATTTTCTCTGTTCGTGTCGTGTCGGCTCGAGGTGATTTTGAGCGTGAGCGTGACGATCGTGAGCTGAAACTTGCAGAACGTGACCGTGATGACGCTGACGCTGAGCGTGATCGGCGGCGAGGAGATGGGGATCGACGTGGCTTCCTGCGCGGCGAACGAGAGCGGGACCTAGAAACAATAATGCTTAGTTCGTTACACAATGATCCCCTTGGATATTTCAGAATTCAAGTTAGTTCAGACCCTTCCGCGTGCAATGGGACTTCTTAAAAAACAAAACAAAACAGCGACAACAAAAGACAGCTGTTAGAGTAGACTCAGTGCAAGAGTCTACCTCGTGAACCATATTCAAGCTCTCTTTATTCGCGTTCCATCCGAAGCTGAAATAATATCATCCAAGAGGCTCGAGTTCTTTTCTAATACATAATCGTTATCTTTGAGGAATAAAAGTTAATTCCACAGTACGAAGCGCTTATCTGTCGAATGACTTTGATACAACGAAAACTGGAATAAAATACCAAAACCAAACCGGGCAAAGATAAATACAAAGGAACCAATTGGGTCAAAAGGTAAATCTCAACGGCCTCAAGTGTTTGAGATGCAGTAACTATTGTTTGCGCATTCGATTAGACGAGAGATTTGCACGAATTCTCTTAACCAATCAAAGAGAGCGGTAAAGAAACTGCTCTAAATGTGATCAAAATCGAACTTAACTATCATTTACCTTCTACGTGGTGGTGATCTTCCCCTTCTAGGTGGCGACCACCTCCTTGGGGAAGGCGTTCTACGGCGTCTGCGAGGTGACCATCGACCTCTGTTGTACGAAGAAACACGACGGGGCGAGCGAGAACGAGACCTTCTCCGCCTTTCCCGACTGCGTGATCGTGATCTTGAGTACGACCGGGAACGTGACCGAGAAGCTGAGGACCTGGACCGACTACGCTTACGTCCTTTCTTGTCTCTGGACCGTGTTCTGTCTCTTCTGTCTCTTGAGCGAGAACGTGAACGTGATCGAGAGCGTGATCCTGAACGTGACCGCGAACGTGAACTAGAGTTTCCTCTTCTGAAAATTTCATAAACGATAGACATCAAGGTTGAACCCTGAATATTTGAATTTCTAAATCTGTAAACCTTGTTCACCTTATCTATCATCGCTTCTCATTCCTTTTCTTTTTTTCAGACACTTTTAACATTTACTTGAGTTATATCTTAACAAAGTATCCTTCCTGAGTTTCTTTTCCTGTTTATCTGTCTTCTTCATTGAGATCTAAATTTGCCGCGCAATATGATGCGTCGGTGGGAGAGTATAACAGGGTAATTTTGTATTAACAAATGAGTTGATAACGTAAATTGGCCACTGTAAGGACGCTCTGACGAAGAGTTAACGCTCGAAACGTTGGCTTTGCCCTCTTTAAGGTGGCCAATTTACGTTATTACTTCAGCTGATAATACTAAATTGCCCAATAATGAAAAACATAATTATTAAAACTTGTTAGTAAGTTATACAACTTACTTCATATCTTTGTTTTCAGCAGCCTCTGCAGAAGCAAAACAAACAAAATAATGACAAGTTTTAAGAAATAGTAAAGGAAACAAATCAAGCCAACATATCCTTTTGGGGACATTTGTGTTATGAAGAAACAGTTTTTTATTAATTTTTGCTGAAATCCTTATTATCATAATAATCAATATTAGTAATCTCATAATAACTACATCATCATCATTTGGAAGTCAGTGACTCCGGCGTCCAAGAATTTGCGTATTTGCGCTCATGTTACTCAAAGGGGTTTGTCTGAAGGGGCAGAAACAAAGATGAAAAAAAAGAGTTTTGAGGTCTTTCATCTTCTGTGACGAGGAGTATTCAAGCAGACAAAACCTTATTAGGCCTGCTTCACCTGCAGAGAGGCAATTTCTTTATCTACGACTGTTCAGAGTAAAAATTTCAATTTGCTCTACGACTAGAAATGGTACTTAAAATTGCTGAACTTTAACGCTACTAAAAGTTTAGAATGTACTTTAAGAAACACTGTTATAATGTCACAACTTGCACCTACCTTTCTTGGCCTTTTCAGCTCTTTCAATTTCATTTTGCTGTGGAGAGTAACAGAGAGAGAAAAGAAAATTCACTTTGGGCCTGATATATTTTCTTTTCTTGGAGAGTTTTGATGGTTTTAATGGTTGTTGCATAATGGGAAAGACCATAGATTACTTAATATAGAGAACAGAAACAGTTGTAATTTGCTCAGTGGACACAGCAGCCAGATGCCACTTCTTTTCTAGATTGTTACTACTTGTTAAACTGCTTTTCCATGAGCACTGGCCCATTACATTACACTGTCAATTGAAAAGTTAAAAAAAAAAAACATTTTTCATATCTAAATGCATCGTACTGATACAATAGAGAGACAAAACAAAAAGAATGCTACCTCAAATAAAAAAATCAAAACCTCTCTGACATGTACATGAAAAAATGCCGAATTAGATACACAACCAGTACATATTTTCCCATTTAAGTAAAAACAAGATGAAGGAAAAAGATAAAAATATTTAGAAACAACTAGCAATACAAGCACATATTTAGCCAAATACTTTTCTGACATCATCTATCCTTTTACCTTGCTCTTCCCTTCCCAACCTACCCCTCCCCAAACTCTTCTTTTGTTACAGTGCAAAGGTAAACGTGGGTGGAAAGAACAAAAGAGATGGAATGCAGAGGTGAAGAGAAATATTTCTTCACATTTACAGTAAAAACACAACTTATTTTCTTTTATAAACAGGCTTTAGGTTCAAGCTTACTGGTGTTTGTATAAATATTCTATAGTTTTAACAACCCCAAATCAGACTCATCTTTGACACAGAAATGATGGTGAACATCTAAGGAAAAGTAACTTAGCATGGAGAGTGAACACACCACCAGTTTTGTGATGGGGTAAATTTTCTTAGGCAAGCTGATTTTCACAATCATTTGTTGCTGCATGACTAAATCACAATCACAATCACAACCATACTTAGTCATGCAATTTATTGCTTGATTTGACATCTCTGCAACGATATGAAAATCTCCTGCAAAAAGGGGTCCACTTTTAGATGCAAGTACAAGTAACAAGAGAAGTGAGACATGGCATTTGTAGACCTTTAGCACATGTAAATTAATTTTACAGTGTATAATTGGGATAACAGTACTTTAACATGTACATCACTCTTTGAAAGCATGGGTCTTCCTTGAAGAATCAGTTATAATGATAACAACATGTTAGTACATGATAATCTAAACAATAATGATGAGAGGAAGAAAAGGTGTTATGTAAGGTTGGAAAAAAGAGTGTTAATGCAAGTATTATCACATCAGAGGGACTATTGCAAAAGATTTTTGACTCTGTGGCATGGCTAGATGACTGTGTTGTTTTCTTAGACAAGCAACTAAGCCCTCACAGTGCCTCTCTTCACTTGAGACTGTGAAGGATGTCAAAAAACTGTTGGGGAAAACTTGATGCACTGCTTGAGTTGTATGGAATGGATTAGGACCATATCCAAGGGGAGTGGCAATACAAATGAAGATATATACCTTAATGAGCTTTTTGTTAGGAACAGAATTGTCTCCTTCTGTATCATCAGATTTAAGAAGCTCTTTCACCAAACGAGTGATTGATTTGGCAAGCTTCTCGTCTCCTTCCTCAACAAGATGTAAGTGATCTTTAAAGTAGAGATTTTTGTCAAGTTCACCTCCTCTGACAGTCCAGCCCTTCTCTGGTGGTAAGAAATACACATTCTCATTCTGCAGCTCCTCTGAATAGCTTATATACTGAAACAGTTCCTCATTGACATCATCAACCTTGTTGCGCCTTGAGCTGGGGTATAAATCCCTGGGAAGGATTCCACACACAATGATGTTCACATTGGGCTTTTTGTTCCGAATGAAGTCAACAATGGCCAATATACCTTGGGCAATTTCACTTGAACTGTTTTTGTCTATGTTGTTGGTGCCACAAAGTACAACAATTATTTTAGGGTCACACTCAAGTTCCCCATTCTGGAGTCGCCAAAGAACATGCTGAGTTTTGTCACCGCCAATACCAAAGTTCAGTGCTTTCAGCAGGGCAAAGTACTTTCTCCAGATTTTTGGATAACGACTCAATCCTTTGATGATAGAGTCCCCAGTCAAGACAACATTGATGTCAGGGGTCGCTGCGAGGGCAACATTCTGCTGATGCTCTTTATCCCATCCAGGTTTATCTCTGTCAACTGGCTGGGCAGCTGAGGACATGAGCCGAGACCTCCATTTTGGTTGAAGGAGTTTACTGGGTGACTTCACCTCTGCATCTTTTTCCTTTTTCACTTCCACAACTGATGTAAGGTCAGATGTATCTACTCTTGCATCTGACCCACTCTTTTTCCTGGAGGCCCTCTCATCATCACTCTCACCACTGTCAGAATGAGCAGAGTCTTGCCTGGACTTCTTGTACTCTCTTTTTGGGTTGTTCTGTGTTGAAATAAATAACATAATTTTTAACTCTAACACAAAAAAATCTCAATTTCAAAGTTAGCTTACCTTAGTAAAGTTTGTAAAATAAAAAGTAAATAGAAATTGAAATAGCAACATAGAAATTCAAATAACCAAAACTTATCCATGACAACTTATATTATAATATTCTTACCTGAAGATACTTAAATAGAGTATTTCTAGTCTGCTGTGAATAAAAGAAGCCATGCTCAACTTCAACCACAAAGCCAGCACATGGCAGTTACAATTTCATCTTGCAGGACATGTTCATGAGACAAATTGCCTGATACATTGCTAAGTTGTCTTTATATTGAATAAGTCACTTTAAGCTACAATGTATTGGGAGTATTTGGAGCCTAATAACTAGTCTGAATGTGAATGCTGACAGGTATAAGTACTTTTTTCATTCATCCCAATGGAGAAGTTTGTCACAAACGAATGCTGAATTAGGCGTATTACTGAGTATAGCCTAGCTTACAATCATGATCTCTGTAGCTCACTTAGAACATCTAACAATGATATAAAAACTGGCTGAAATTCTTTTACATCTTGAGGAACTACTAATTTTTTTCCCAGTGCTTGTTAGGAATATAAACATCTTTCTTTAATGCACCTTGAACTACATATAAATGGACTGGGTTACATCTCAAACTATAGAACACATACACACCAAGGTAATAGTGCATATGTAGCTCTTTACATCAGGGCAAAAATCAAATATTACTGAAGTAGATGCAGAAGCAGCTCACTTATGTTTCTACCTTAAGAGGCATTAGCCAGCCACCAATGTCCAGCAAGAGTAACATACACTACACTTGGAGAGAAATGCTATTCTAAGAAACATTTCTTTTCATTCAGAGGAAGTGTTAAACCTCTCCAGAAGACCTCTTTCCATGAATTTAATTGAGAACCTCTCTTTTGAAGTATCCCTGTTCAGGAGACAACTCTCTTGGTCCTGAGAGTGGTAGTGCTGTATCATTGTTGTATATTGAGCTTGCGTTGTCAGCTTCCATTTCAAACTCTTACAATATGTTCTGATTGCAACTTCGCCTTCCTCTATCTCACAACCAGGCACTTCCAACATTGCAGATCCATGAAGCATGCATTGCATATGGCCTAGTTCACAGACAAGTTCTTTCAAACTTTGTTGAAGTAATCATGTGCAAAATTGGCAGTGGCTGGGGTTAGAATCAACCAGTGGAAAACAGATTTTTATTTTTCCCATAATGGTGACAAATATGAAACATCTTTCTTGATTTTATGATTATTATCAGTTGTTCATTTCAGGGAGGATGTTGTTTACAATTAGAGAAATTCACTTCATGAAGCACCTACTCAGAAATGCATTTTCCTGACATTTCTGACAAACACCAGTGTACAAAAAGTGTTAAATAAATACAATGGACTTCAATTTGACTTTCACAGCTTTACCTTGGGATTTGATGAAAATCACAAAGAAAACCATTTTACCTACCATGAGTGAATGCATAATTTTCTATAGCATACAAGTTATACCCATTTTTATCAATTTTGTTCCTTTTTATTCTAATTATTATTACTATTTTTTAACAAAGCCTTTTCTATTCAAAGATGATGTGGTCTGTCACAATATTTGGAATTACTTTTGTGACCTACCACCCTTAACTTGTCAGAGACAATAATGCTAGTTAATTAAACTAAGAAAATGAAAAAAAAAAAGAAAGGCAATTGTAAAAATAGATAGAAACAAGGACAGTTAAAGGTGGAGATAGTTAAAAAATGAACTTGAAAGATAATAGCTACATTTTCAAGAGGCTCAAATGGTAACACAGTGACTAGACCAGAACATGTTAGTCGCACTGGTGCCAGCATCAGTTGCAATCTCAAGCCCTGCTTACAATCTCAATTTTTCTAACCACCTTGGTTCATCAAGAACAGGGTATAGAATGTGCGAAACCTGTGAACACATGTAATATGATTACCTGACATGTCAATCTACTGCATCTGAACAATGAGAGCCTCCACAAGATTCTTCCAATTCTTTTTAACAGTTCTCTATCACTATGGTTAATCAATTGTAAAAAGAAATTAAGAAATGCTCACTTCTTTCCCTGCTAGTTGCTCTGCCAGTTCTTTAGCTTTCCGAAATTCCTCTGTAATGTCAGCAGATGCAGGTGCAGATCCATTTTCATTGCCTACGTTATCATCTGTTGCTGTGCTGTCTGGCTCTGTTTGCTGCTGATCTCCTTGATATCTCTGAAGGTTAGCTTGGATACGCTCTTGTTCCAGCTATCAAGAGAAGAAGACAACAGCCATAATTATCAAAAATGCAAATAAACATTTATTCATAACAACTTTATTTAAATAATAACATATAACATATTATTAAAAAAGAGTTATAGAAGTAAGGAACTTAAATCCACATTGTAAACTATACCCCAGATATAAAAATTTAATATGATGCAATATACATATACATACTGACACATTTTACATACAAGCATATATCTATATAAATATAAGATCTAAATAAAGAAGACATATCTAAGATAAAAATTTTGTTTAAAATGATAATTAAATAATGTATAATATATAGAATAATTTAATTTTGTAATTATAGGCGTAGTTAAATAATGTTGATTTTAGAGCTTTCTTAAAAGCATTCATTGAGTCAAGTTTAACTACTGATGACAGCAAACTGTTTCATGTGTCAATATATCTGTGCCAAAAAGAATACTTAAAGATATCTGTGTGGCAAAATGGTTTATATAGTTCAAACTGATGACTTTTTCTTGATTGCCTGTTACTGAAGGATATATAATCATTAGTGTTTACAGAAGAGTATCCTTTAATAAACTTAAAAAGCTGAACCAAATTAAGAAACTCTCTGCGCTGAACTAGTGTTGCTAGTTTCAATGATTTCAGACGGTCTTTATACGGAGAGAGAGTGCTCTAATTCATAGGAAAAGAACATTGAATCAAAGAGCTCAAAACAGTAATCAGGTTTTTATCAGGCTTGAATATGATTTATGGACTAAGGAGGTAAGTTTCTAAAGAAACTGTGATGCTGCATTGGTGGAGGGTGTTACAAGATAATTTGGGTTTTGTCAACTGAGTTGATAATGTAAATTGGCAATCAGCTGTTAAGAATTTGTAAAGTTGACATTTTGAGCATTAGCCCTTTGTCAGGGCACTCTGACAAAGGGGTAATGCTCTGAAGCAAAGCAAATATATTTGCCAACTACTAGGGACACACAATTGAATATTGCTCTCAATGAAAATAGTCATGAGAGCAGAGTTAAGACAAAAATAACCCAGCCCAAGAGTAAAAATATCAATCTACAATTTGGATTCCAAATGCCCCAAGAATCATTCTTTATTGAGTATCCTAACAATTCCTCTTCCAACAGAGAATTCAAACCTTTCTTTGCTTGATTTCCTCTTTCTTTCTTTCCATGAATTCAGAAGGAATACCACCAATATTTTCTTGTGCACTTAAAAGAAGAGTCCATAACTCCTTCATAAATTCACGGGCATTTTTGGATTGTAAAAAGCCAGTAATATTTATTTGCATGAACTTTGGATCTGGACTCTGAAAAAACAAATACATAAAAAATAAATAGGTAATACTTTAAAATCCCAATGTTTTTCTCAAAGCTGAAATCACAGTTTTGTAAATAAAGAAAGGCAGTTGTAATATATAATTGGAAAGGGAAGAAACGGTAACTGATTAGTAAGTAAAACAATAGCTTAATACCAGTATGAAAAAGCTCTATCATTGTACCAAATACATGTTCAAAAATGCTGTATAATCCTGCACAGTTTACATTTTTCCTGCAAGATTTCAATTTAATTTTCCCATACCCCGTCAAAAGACTGTAAAATGCAGTCACCTCTGGAAGGTTTCAACTACAATAATTCGACAAGGGAGACTTGGTATCTTGGTTAAGAGGTTGCTTCCTGGGTGCTCTACTTGTATTCTATGTTGTTCTTTACCTATGTCTATTAGAATGTCACTCTGTAAGGCCCCCTGAGTGAAACTCAAAGCTCAAGAGAAAGTAACTGTAAAATGAGTAGTCATTATTTCACCTTTTCTGATTCTAGCATGTTAAAGACATACTGCATAACCACATCATCTTCAGCTCCAAGTATATCAATCAACTTCTTTGTTATCCAAGGTTTTATTATATCAAGGTTGACCTTTTCCATGTCCACCTGACACACAAAAATTCAGAAAAGAAAAGACATGTTAATGAAAGGGCAAGGCTCTCTATTATTTCTACCATGTTGTGACAGTTACTTGAAGGCTGTATAACACAATTCATGGAATACATTTTCATTGATCTATCCATGATGGTTAAAAACTAGTTTACCAAAATTGGATTGCCATTCACCTACAGGATAGCACTATCTACCCTTAAAAAAAACAAGGGCCTGAACTACAATCTTAGCCCTTTAACCCATGAGAGTGAAAAGCTTAGATCTAATTTCTTGCAACAGCATCACACCTGAATCAGACATCAAGGTCATGAGAGTAAAGGAAACAATAACAATGGTTGGTAAAGAAGCTCTTACTAAAGCAAATAATCCTTGTAAGTACCATGGGAAAAATGTACAGGATGGTAAGGAGAACTTGGAGAACTTGCAAACTGATGTTATGGTGTAAATGAGCATTGTTCATTTTGCCTACATGACAATAATACAAACGGCCTTTATTGCCGTCTTGGTCTATCAAGTATGCTCAAAGCTATAAGTCAAAGAAACATTTGAAAATAAAGAACTCTTTCTGTACAGTGCCTCAATGATGTGGCCCATAGTGGCAGCTTAAGACTTTAAGTCCTTCGTATACTCATTAAGGTCACTCCTTAATGATAATTTTCGAGCCAAAAATAAAAAGTATTGATGTATCGTATTAAATTTAAAAGTTTTTTCGATGAAAAATACGTAAATTGTTAACATTTTCAATTTCCTTAGTCAACTAATTTAAGCTTCCCCCAGGCTCATAAACACAATAGCGTTTGCACGTGAACATGATAACACAATTTTGCTGCATACATGTTAATACTGCATGTGTCCATATTGACTGAAAAATTTCGTAAGTCTTCGAAGTACCTTAAGTATGCAGTACTCGTGAAATATGCTACAGTTACCCATGTAGTTTGAAAGAGAAAATCAAACGCCAACACAGCACTGGCTTACCTTTTTGTTGAGTACGTCGTCAAATCGCATTGATTTTAACAGCTTCTTTTGCTTGTCAAGAAATCGATTGTCCTGTTCTGCACTCGTACCCTGTAGAAAAGGGAAACCTCTAGTATTTTAGCTAACCAAATCCTCAAAAACAGCGAGTGAAAGCTTAGATATCAAGCTTAGTTTTTGCTCACCCGAAAGAAACCAGCGTCCGCCATCTTGAAAGCCGCCTGGTCTGGTCTGATCACATGGCTTTTTTCGTTCGGCAAATCAATGGCCTATCGGAAAGTGTCATCGATGCGAGGCTCTAATACACATGTGGGAAGTAAGATGGCGGACGTTGAGAGACTTGAGTTGGAAAAGCGGTTAGCGAGCCATTCCGCTTATTTCAATTCCCTGATCGAGTTGATACCAGTGAAATACTACCTACCTATTGATGAAGAAGAGAAAGCAAACAAGTTTTATAAAAATCGTTCGAGGAAAGCACCTAAACAGACTATTAAAGAGGCATCAAGGAAAGCCAAACGTGCAAGACTCGATCCGAACCAGCATAAAACAATTCAAGAAATACAAAAAGAGGCAGAGGGAAATGCTTCCACCGGAAATCAAATTGATCTAAACGATGAAGAAAAAATAGAGAGTCCTAACTTTAGTGTCGAAAGGGTGGAAAGCAAAAGTCTGGAGGACCTAAGATCTCGCCTGCATGCGAGAATAGAAGGCTTGCAAAGAAAACGTAACGCAGGAAGTGGGAGGCCAGATGGCTTACAACAACCACGTGCGAAGAAATCGAAGAAAGAAGTAAAAGACAAAAATAAGCAGAAATTGGCTGCTTCCTTTAAGGAATCGAAAGGAAGTAGACAAAACGATTCTTTACCCAGCCAGAAAATATTAAACGAAAGTGGAGATGTTGTTTTTAGTAAATTTGATTTCTTGGAAGCTAAGAAAGAACCAAGACCTGGGATGAAAAAGAAAAATTACGAAAAACTGCTCGCTAAAGCTGAAGCTCGAAAGAAAAAGCTGGAATCTTTGAGAAAAGAGGATTTGTCGAAAGCTAAAGAATTAATGGATAAACTTTCTTGGAGTCAGGCGATTGAAAAAGCTGAGGGTATAAAACAACACGATGACCCTAAACTTTTAAAGAAGGCGATGAAAAAAAGAGATAAGGCGAAAACAAAAAGTAAAAAGCAGTGGGAAGAACGGATTGGTTATCAAAAGAAAATGGCAGAGGAGAAACAAAAACAAAGACGAAAAAACATTAAAGAAAGGATTGAAGCCAAGAAAGGAAAAAAATCTGGCAAAGGAAAGAAAAAGCACAGACCAGGATTCTAGTGGTTAGGATGAAATATTTTTGAGACCAACACAGCAATAACAAGCAATTTAAAGAATAGTAGATAAGTGAACTTGACCCTTCAAGGCATAACGTTTGAAATTTTCACGACTATGATTCAATACCAAAGGGTGTACATGAGAACAAGGACAAGCTTAGGGCAAGTCTAACCTGAGGGTCTCCTCAAAGCATGATAAACAAGGAAAGTCATTGTCCTCTTTGTACTATGAGTTGTGATTCATTCTCTGGATTAGAGCTGTCTACTTGAAGAAGTATTACATGTCCAAGAAACTTATCTCCACTTATAAAACTAAGAACCAAAATTTGTGCAGTGCTCATGAGGTCTTCCCTCAAAGTAGGAAAAAGGAAAGGAGAAAAATGTGAAAAATATGATGCAGTGACCAGTGTCCTTACATCCATAATGAGCCATTAACATTCAAAAGGTCTGGTCTTATCTTTTCCCTTTTCAGTTCTATTAAATTATGACATATAAAGAAAGAAAGCTCAGATTTTTCATAAGGTGTAAGGAATCTAGGCTTGAGCTGGCTCTCTTCCTTCTTTCTTTTTTGAGTCTAAATTACAAATTTAACAACAAATAAAATATAGTTTCTTGTGAAGAGATGTTTACTCTCTCCTTTTTTTTAATTACAATAGTATTTTACAAATAATTTAAAGGGTACTTGAGTATTATTTTGAACAGTTCTGTACAGTGCTCTCCCTTATGACTTGTTTATGTAAGTAAATCATGTCAACCTTCCAGCCCTTTAAAAATGCCATGTGGAAAAGATAACCCCCCTTTACCCCCTAACATCAGTATGCATATTCTCCATACTGTTCTCCATACATTTCCAAAGGGGCTGACAAGGAGAATTTGTATAGCAGTCGAGAGCTACTCTAGTTGGTGATCATCTCTTCAACTCTCATTACTTTCATGTTTGGTTCAGGGGTGATATACTTAGGAGAAATAAGATGCTAGTCACTCTTAGGGGCTATAGGGTTAAAGTCAGATGGTGAACATTATAAACCTTTCCTGGTTTAAGCCTATGTATAGGATGAAACCTTTTCCCTTACAAATCTGATTAAAATGGGTCATTTCTTAGATACATAAGCCTGTATTTCATAATGAAATGTAAAATGAAAACCCACATTTACAAAAAAATAATTTTGTGCACCTGACTTCAATATGATAGTGAGAATTTTTAGGAATTGAAAAAGGCTTCTTGAAACCCCTGGTATATGTATGAAGAGCACATTTTCAATAGAGAATTTCTTTAGCTGGGCTGACATGGAATCACTTTAATGGGCTGCTTGTTTGCTTTCATGTTAAGGCACTGTCTCTATGCATGCTAACTTGATGTCATGACCAATTGTTCAAAGGAAATAAGTTAAACTAGAACTTTCATCAGACGTGGGAGGATTATATTTCTAGGGCAGTCATGAGTGTTAAATTAAGGCTCCTTTTTCTAGTCAGGAAGAAGGTCATCTCCAATCTCTTCATCCCCAAATTCATCCTCAACTTGCTGTGGCCTTTGCCTGCCAGCAGTCTTTGGCCTTGCTGGAGCTTCTCCAAGAGGATCTGCATAAGTGGCATCTACAAAACAGGATGTTTAAACAGTTAATTATTAGAAAGAAGCTACTTTGTGAACTAGGTAACTCAAAACTTCATAACCTACTACCAAGCATTCCTTTTAATCAGTGCATAATGCAATGAAGTGTACCAAACATTTCCCAAAGAGTTTCACCCACATGCACTACTTGGGTTAGGCCTTTAACTCTAAATGTCTGTTGGTAATTCTCTCTTCAATCTGTTATGTGCTCTCAGTACATAAGCAAAGAGATTTTGTTGTTACATCATGGAAAGACCATCTTACTGATAAAATTGTCTGTTCAAATCACCAGTTCACCTATTTAAGATTATGACCAGGGAGTCTGAGTCAACCAAATAAAAATTATTCACTGAAGTCGAGGTGAACAATTGTGGATATTTACAGCATGTGCCTAGCCTCAAAGTAGTGACTGAAGAAAGAAATGTGTTTTTTAGTCGTACAAATAGATGGAGTGTCTCCAAAGCTACAAATTAAACTAAATTGATACTAACCCTGGATTGTAAAAACTGTGGTATTAACAACCTGACCCAAGGAATAATTCTCTATCAACTCACCAACTTCTTTTGATCCACTAAAACTAAATGAGTCATCATTATCTGGAATGAATGGTTTTGTTCGTCCAGCAGAGCGGTTGGCACTTCTCCTCCTGTCTGATCCTCCACTGTCAACTCGTCCTGACTCTACATAAAGTACCAATAAGATAAAGCCTTTAAATCCCTGATACAATTGACATACATTTTCTCCCCAAAAGTTCTATGCATTATACAACAAAAGGGTGGTGGGAATAGACAAAAGAAAGTGTCTGTTGAATGTTATTGACAAAACACACAATTTTCTTCACAAGTTTGCAAGCAGATAAATTAAAGCAAAAGGGGAGATTTTTAAAAAATATCTGCATAAATTCAGGGTTTAGGTGAATTTCCTCTTTGCTGTTTTAGATATTTTCCTCATGTGTCAGTAGCTGTTTCTTGTAAGGGGTCCCAAACTAGCTAGCTTCTTTCTTGACGAAGATTGAGAGGAGAGGCTGTACAAGAAGCTCTCTCCCCAAACCTAATTGTTGTGTGACTATCTCCATGTTATGCAGTCTGATTTACTGGATATAATTTGATATACAACCTGCATACTGTAGATGTTAGCACTGTCAACATGTGATGTTCAAAATTGCACTTACCACTCCCTGCACTGTTATTGCGTGAACCACCAGAACCAGGCATGTTAGCACTTCCAGCTCGCCCACTTCCTTTTCTAGATCCACTGTTGGAACGCTGCAGAAAGAGGATAGTGTAATGTCTGAGTTATGTTCCCCTCCACAAACATTCTTGCTAAGTGTCTCTCCTTCTGGGGTTCTCAGAATCACATAGAGGAGTATAGAAAGGAATGCTTTTTTCCCAGAGGACAGCTCTAACAGAACTGATGTCCTTTGTAAAATCTCTAGAACCTCTAATTCATACTTTTTTCTAAAATAAGTTTAGGTATTGTCCACACACTTTTTTCCAAGGCACATTGAAGTTTCAGGTGCAGGTATCATTCATAACTTACATCTTTCAATTTGCCACCCCTTCATTACACAACATGACAATAGTGGAAATAGTAGAAGGAACACCATTTATTGAACAAATAAACAAGTTCAACACTGATGACTGATCGAAGAGTTTGGCTCATTTTTTGACAAGAATTCTTGTTGTGAATAGCATTACAGAAATTTTTTGACAAAATAAAAAGATTATCCTGACATATTAGTAGTATCAGAGAGCTAGACTTAACTCTTTAACTCCAATGCAACTTCTCCCTATAATATCCATTCATTATCCAGCAAACAGGTAATGAGAATAACCAAACTTATAACTGATCAAAGTTTTTCATTTTTGACCATAATTCTTATTGTGAATAGCATTATAGAAACTTTTTGACAAAATAAAAAGATTATCGTGACATATAGTAGTATTTATCAGAGAGCTAGACTTAAAGTAGATGAAGAGTCAATCAAAATTTCTTGGTTACCTGTTGCTTCATCTCTCTGGCTTTTTCTGCTTTCTTCAGTTTTTGAGCATAGTCTTGAACATCTTTTAAACCAAGATCTGTGCAAATTCTCACCAAGAATTTAAGACCTTTAAAATAAACAGGCATTAACAAAGTAAGCTGCTAGAGCACTATTACTGAGAAGACTTGATTTTGGTCCAACTACATCAATGATAGCACAGTAATCCTTAGTGTCCAGAACAATAAATTCCCAGGAAAGAAATCAAAGAACAAACTTCAAATCTTATAGAAGGCTGTCCTATAACACATCAGTTAGGACAAAAATCGAGGTAATACAATAGTCTGAATTCTACTCATTTAATACTCTCAAGGAGACCATCAAAAGTGAACCATTTATGTGGTATCAATAAAACTTCTTGGAGAAGATTGTCTTTTCACTCAATTTAAATTTAAACTTGTTTTGTGTTGAGATTTCAGGTAAGCAAGGAGTTTGGGAGTAACCACTTTGTAACAAATTCATCTAAATGGAAAGTAACATCTTCACATGAAATAGGGAAATAAATTTGTTATAAAACACCACACTCTCAGAGGAATAACCAAACACCTTATGGCTCTGGTCTCAGGAATCTTAAGTGCCTAGCTTTGAGAACTTACGCAGAAGGAAAGTTATATGAATCACCCAAGGACAATAGTTAGTAACCTGTGACACTCAAGCTCTGCTAGAGCACAGGCTGTTGTGTTTTTTAACCCATGTAGTTTTGGTAAAAAGTACTTACATTCCACATTTTCTGGAAACCTTTTATGTATGGTTTTGTATGTTTCCAAAGCCTGTTGATAATTACCTGTAACAATAAAAGTACAGTTTCTTTGCTTATATGTCATGGTAAAAAGAAGGACTTTGTACAAAAAGGGAAAGCATACTGGATTTGGAAAACCTGTATGTCCTAATGAAAAACAGTAACTCACAAAAAATTCTAATACAACAGGGTAACAAACAATTTAGAAACCAACATATTCAATAATTTTGTTCACCAGATTTGATAAAAATTCCTAACTGTTTTTTAACTCCATATCAGACAGTTATATATCCCAAGGCGCTTAGCGCAGGAAAATTATACATGGTGTGTCAGCATAATATGTGGAAGCAGTGGGAGCTTCTCTGGCATCTTGCAGCATGTTCTCCAAGAAAATATGCCTTAGGGTGAGTTTACGTTAGGGGAATGCATTTCGTATGCCACAGATCCCACAGCTCCACTACCCTGTAACCACATACAGCATAAAAACAAAAAATTGATTCACTTAAACAAAGACAGCATTTTCACATTTCAACTACCTACCACTTCTCCTATAACAACTTGCTATCATAAGCTGCCACTTGACTTCATTTGGCCTGAAGACGACATTTGACATTGTTTTAAAATTACATAAAAAAGGATGTTTATTTTGTCAATAATGGCTATGGTTAACAGTTGTCTCACCAAGCCCAGTGGTTCACAAAAGCCTACATCCATTTCCACAACACTATACTATAATTGCTGTAACATTTATGATACTTGATGCTCATCCAAATCTAGGATGACAAGAGTCACATACTGGGACAAAAACTTAAGGGAAGTGTTCTGTACTACAGTTAGCTTGATTAGGTGCTGTTTACCTATGGATAGATTGTGGTCAGAAAGAGTACAACTTACAATGGTAGAGGAATCTTGCTCAGCAAGAAGCCATTTGAATGGAGAAAAAGTGAATAAAACCAGGTAAGGAAAGAAAAGGCCTTTAATTTGGGGCTTTGAAAATATTGGAGAGGTTGAGCACATTGTCCTGGGGCACTATTTCAAAAAAATTGTCATTTAAAATTACAGAAAGCTTTCACTGGATGGATTGTCTCAACACTAAGCAAGTCTTCATGAGAAGGTAGAGCTCCTGGTATCAATGTCACTTTTGTTATTTCACATACTGAACACAGAACAGAACCAACTTACTGTATGACTGCTGCTTTTTCAAAGTAATGTATTGCCTTTTCACAAAACTGAGAGTCTATGTAGTAAGCTCCAAGCCATGAAATAATATCAATATTTGATGGAAAATATCTGTATGACTAAGAAAAAGAACATTTTAAGATCAGTTTTAAATTGGCTTTACATTCAAATGTTGAATTGATAAAAAAAAGGAAATCATCACTCTGTCTTGTTCTTTTTAAGGGATTTGGAAGCTGAGTGAAATTGATGAAAATGAGACATGCATTTTTTGCAGAAGTCTTTCATATGGTCAAGACAGAAAACCAGCCAGAAGAAAATATGGAGGAGGAAAACAGAGAAAGAAAGAGAAAGGACAGGATGGAAAAACTGAAGTAATGTCACCACCAAAAGATAAGTGAAGGTAAATTACATTTTCAAAATTCTAACCTCAAAGTGATATTGGAATGCTTGTGACTTGTCTTGTTCACTGTCATACAGTTCACCTAGCTTGGACAGGACTGATGGGTCAGTAGGCACAACAGAGACAAGCTGCATGTACCTTTAATAAAAGAGAAATACCGGTATTTAATGTTTGTTGTGAGAGGTGAGCATCACCACACAAAGAACCACCACTCTTCCTAGTTGTTATAAATAGTACAATTATTACTGCTGTATAATTTAAATTCCCCTGAAATTTTAAGCACCTCCACCTTATGAATATAGCTTATTTTTCTGGACTTAACATTATATTTCACAAAATCACAGTCCCCCATCTTGTTTAATTTCTGACAACCAAGCAACTACTGCATGTGACAGTTAGCTATTGTGAATGGTAGATTTCAACATCAAAGCTCTACTACCAGAATTTTCTGCCAAAACATGAAATAGTACAATATAAAATAGGAACCTGCAAACTATGATTCTTATATTTTTGCACAATGAAGTGCCCATGAAATTTAGTAGTAGCAATAAGATAAACATTCTGCACATGCCACTTGGACTCACCACTCAATGGCTTGAGATTTGTCTTCTAACATTTCATGTCTGAGCCAATGTCAAGGAAATCAAAGCTATGATGTCATTAATTTGTTCATGAGATATGAAACAGAAATATAAACAAGTTTAAATGATCCATGGATACACCAGGTTTATGGTTTGTCCTTTCTACCACACTTTCATCACCTTTAAATAAGTATTTTTCCATAGAGTGCTTGGTCTTTTTACTCTTTTGCTTTTGGCAAAAAAACTTGTGCACTACTGTGTTTTTACAGTTTCTTATTACATCAAAATCAAGTTAGAAAAATCTTCCATAATATCATTAACAAGGAAACTTTCTTTCCCTAAATGGAATATAGAAGTGTATAAGCATGTTATCAAGTGAGTTATTGTCACCTCTGTAATACAACATGAAGCCAATTAAAAAGTGAGCATACAAGATACAATTTGTAGCATAAAAAATAGAATATTGGTCACATTTCATTTGATTATTGATTAAGAAAGGATACATGCTTGCAATTTGATAAAGAACTTGAGGATGATTTTTAAGTATGGCCTGCAGCTTGTAAAAACAGTCCAGAGCAACACCCAGTCTGTTCAACTTTTTCTCTGCAAGACCTGTTCATTTAGCAGGTAAAAAAAATATGTAACATCAAATGAGAAAATAGTTCTCAGAGTTCTCCTTCAAAATGCCCATAATTGAGATTTGTTGTATTTATGAATAACAAATTTGATTTGTTTGGTGTTCAAGAGTAGGTGCAGGAATGTGGTTAATTAGGCCATCAGACAGATGGATTGCCTCATCACCAGTTAAGTGACTAACTGACCGTCTGTCTGTCCATTGGTATGTCCATCTGTCTGTCAAACAAATTAACTGAGTGACCACCTGCCTGCTTAACTGGTTAACCAACTGACTCATTAATTTACCAAATGAATGAATCATTCAAGACACACCTAAATTAAACAGAGCTTCAGTACAAGAAGCCTCTACATTGTAAGCCTCCTGGTAATATTCTCGTGCTTTCTCATATTCCCCATTGGCAAACAAACAGTTCCCTTTGTTAACCAACGCTGAAAGAAAATACAGAAATGAACAGTTAATAAGTTATCCTCATGACAATCCCAGTACTCTTAACTTCTATGTAAATAGAGTTACAGTGCCCTTACTGTATTGACAAATTTAACTATAACTCAATTTTTAGCATCTCCTATATACATTGCTTCACATTAAACATACAAACTCTTTATGATGTGTGGGTGCCAACCTACCAGCAGGGTTATATCGATCCGCTGTTATGGCAAGTTCTGCATACTTGTCAGCCTGTGACACTTCATTTTCCTAAATAAGAAATATGTACCATCACACATTTGACTGCTTCTTTAACTGCTTCTTTGCTTCTAAATATTTCTGTACACATTGAGACTATCCAACCACATTCCAGGTTCAATAGAGAATATGGTGTATTTCAACCCTGGTATAAATGTACAACCATAATTACCAAAGCAGAGACAGAATTAGATTTATGATGCCTCTTTACAGATGAGTATAGAAACATAATCCATCATATTTTACTTGAAACTTACCAGAAAGTATAGGAAGGACAAGTTAGTGGCAGCAGTGGATTGTACTTTGGAGTCTTTTTTCTCAAATCCTTTGAGACTTTCGATGGCCTTTATAGAGAAATTTAGTGAATGAGGTACAAAAAGATGATACAGAATACAACAAGAACTACATTTAGCAGTTAAACTTATGGAATGGCCAATCAATGCAAAATATGAAGCATAAGTTAAAATGACAGTACCATTCTTAGTTTTAAACAAGCTTATTTAGCACATCAAATCAAAACTGACTACTGGAGAATTTGACATATTATAGGGCCATCAATAAACTCATTGTGACCCTTACAGAAAAAAACTTGATTTGTGAACAAAGTCAATTTGGTAAACATTGTATTTCAATTAGTACCTGTAGAGTAGTCATAAAGCCGAGTTACAGTTAATTTTATATTAACCACCAAACCACACCTTAGCAAGATCCTTCTCTTTCAAGTAAGTGATTGCCTTGGTGATTTCTAATTCATTGGCTAAATCCAAGTAAGGAGATGCTTTTACACATTCAATACACCTGCAAAGCCAATAGCAAGCAATTAATCAACTCAATTTTCACTTTGCTTTCTATACAATTTTTTCAATTGCTGTGATACTCAGTACACTCTGAACACTTAGATTTGATTCTTATGTCGTCATTTGTGTGTTGACCAAATATAACTAAGGTCACAACAAGTGAGCAACCCTTTGAACCACAAACTAAATACTGTTGCTGTTTAGGGTTTAGCTTTTTCATGACTGATTGGCTCTTTCCATGGAACACCATAACACCTCAAACATATTTTGTTATTCACAACTTTCTCAGTTTCAGAGTAGAGTAAGTTGATTTCTTTAACTTGGCTTGTTAATAAGTACAAAAAACATAATAAAACATGAGCTCAAGTACACTGTGTAGTTTAACTGGATCAACTATGACATCTCAGTAGAATCTGAAATTATTACAGAATCATTCTTGGCTACATTACCAGTCAAATCCTGCAGCAAAACTACTCTCTATTGCAGGAGATATGAGTTTAGCAGCACTCATAATGCATTTATCTGCTTGGGATTTCCTAAAAGAAATAACAAAATATTTTAAGAAATTTATTCATTGACAACAGTGTGGGAATGAAAAGCTTGCAATTTATTAACTTCAATCTAGACCAACACAATTTAAACAATTTTTCAAGATAAGATCTTTGTCTGCTTATTACTTTTTCTACCAAATAAAACAAATTTTCTACCAAAAAATAAAAGTTCCAAGGATAATTCAATGCATTTGGAATATTGATTGCCCACACTTATAATTGAGAGTCAAATTATGTACCAAACAAATCTGTCAGTTAATACAAAGTTCATCCTACACCCTTAAACCTCTCCCTTATTGTCCACAGCTACAAGATATACACAGTTCAAAGAAATTTAACCACTGTCAAGCATACTTTTGACGTTCAATTTGTCGCAGCCTGTCATTTCTTATTACTTCCAAAATCAATGCTTGCTGAGGATCATCCTTAAAGATTGAAACAAAAAAATAATGTTAAACTTCTAAATATTCCAAATTGGCACACATGCAGAAACTATGATCATGTGTCAAGTGCCCTGCATACTTCTAGGATCAGGGTCCTGTGTGGAGATACAACTGTACACAGGAAATGCATGATGCATTAAATTAGGAGCTTACCAGCAAAGTGTCACTGATCCCAGTCTTATGAGCAGCAGAGTAATTTAGTATTGTCAACCGAGGTGATAACATAAATTGGCAATGGTAAAGAATTTCAAAGCTATGTATAAGTTTTGATTCTCTTTACAGTGGCAAAGTTATGTTATGAACTCATTTGATAATATACGAAATTACCCTTTTAGACTTTCCCACTGATGCTGCACCACAGTTTCTTTAGAAACTTACCCCCTTTATTCATTTGTTAGCAGCAGGGCTGGTTATTTTGTAAACCCTTAACATCCAACTGTTGGTAAGATTGCAGAAGGAGAGGCAAACAACTAAAAATCACTACCCAGTCAAGGTGAAACACTTTCATCCATCCTTTCATCTAAGAAGGCTTTGATTCAGACAATGTTGACAAGTGCTCATAAAGCACTCCTCCCACCAGACAAGCAAAATTTATCTTATAAATTCTTCTAGCTTTGTAAGACTGAAAAAGGAAGTCACAAATAATAATTGTTACAAAATTATATATGTGAACTCAAGTTTTCCTTACCCCTGTCAAAGTGTACTTGTCCTCGTCATCAAACCCAAGGCTAACTGTTAGCAATTTTTGAAAAGTCTTCTTCATTTTTTCTTTGTCTCCCAATGCATAGTAGCACAAAAGCAAGTTGAATCCTGAATGCATAGATATCACATATTAAAGATAACCATGTTGATAATTGCAGGTTTGATTATTCCATATCTCAGTCTTATGAAATGTAATAACTAAAAAATGTTATTTATGAAGCACTACTTCTTTGGCCCTTCAGTACTGCTCAAAAGTAAGTGGACAGTCTTGACTCCAAACTCAATTCTCCATACTTAAAACTATCAAGAATCAAGGATCAAGAATGGAGGCTCGAGGCTCGAGTATGGAGAATTGAGGATTGAGATGCTCAAAGTACTTTTTGAGGTTCTTAATTACAGTTTTGAGGAAACAATTTAATGTATGTGCCTCTTAAAACAAAAGCCAATAATGCTAATGATTCTTTCATTAAGACAATATTGCAGACGGCTTTGAGTGAAGAGATTGAGTCAACTTATCATGACAAGTTGAATGCAAAGATTTTAAGAGTTGGTTCATGATTAGTGTTGATTTAAGGTATTTTTGCCAATCATACCTGTTTGGAAACTTGCTTTCTCCCCCATAATGTGCTCAAAAGAAGTAACAGCATCTGAAAACTGTCCAATCTTAACAAATGCCACACCAATGTTTTGCATGATCTTTATCCTAAGAAAGAATTATATTTAATAAAATTTAAGACACTTGTTCTTTTCCTGTGGTTTTGCTTTAAAAAAATTAGAAATTCTTAACTAAACTATAGAATATAAAATGTAATACTTCATGTAATTTGTCTATGTTACTTTGTTACCTTTGAGTCGCATTCATTTGATTCAAATATTGAAACATGACTGCTGCATTATCAATTTCATCCTTAGATTCTTCAAGTCACAATCAACAGCAAAATTGCTTGCAAATTTACCTGACCCCTACTAGATATTGTTTTCTGATCTTGTACCCTTCACATACCTCATGTCCTTGTGTGTGTTGGGCACCTGGTCCAAGGCCATTCTATACTGTTTCACTGCCTGGGGATATTTCTTTTGTTCACAGTAGATATTACCCATATTCACTCTTAACCGTCCTAAAGGAAAATGTTTTTCATGAAATAAAACTAGCAACAATATAATGATATTTTCTCAGTGTGCAGGATAACAAAATAAATTCACATAATTAGGCAAAGTTATTCATACAGTTAATGTACACTGGAGACCATTTTCCTCACCTTCTAGGCCTAAACATTACATATACAAAAGGAGGCATACATCATATCCATTACGATAACATTACTTGTCTGGTTCAAATTCATTGTAATCTGAGACAAAGATTAATAATGATCAACCACGCTGAAAAAAACAGGAAAGAGTGAGCCTTAACATATGTGCAAAATGAAGTTTACCTGCATTGCTAAACATCTTGTTTTTGACTATAACCTGGTAAGTGTTCAGTGCCTCTGCATACAGTTTGTTGGCATGATACTGATTGGCCAGATTGAACAACACCTAAATGACAGCATATAAATGATACAGGGATAAATATACCAAATAATTATAACAGAAGTGACTACAGAACAAGTCACTGTTAACTGTAGGGAGTAGAGGTTATAAATTTCCTCATCTTTCTCCTTGAAGGGAAAATTAATCCAAATGAAATTACGACAAGGTGCTCACCGAGTAAGTCATATCCAGATTGACCTGTTCTCCAAGGGATGACTGTTCCCTCTGACGACATAAGGCACGTTCTTTCCTGCCCGCCTCTTTGGCTTTCTCAAGGGCCTTTTTAGAGAAAAATTAAGAATAATACCATCAACTACTATTAAACAATTACCCACAGTTCAGAAAACATTTGTCCCAAGTTTTGTCCAGACATGTGCAGTGTCCTGAAGGGTTCAAAAGCCATTTTTTTTTTCTGGAAAGGTAGGAAGCTGTATTAGATCTTCTATTCAAAGGTGCTTGCCTCCTACATGTGAATTGCTAAATGATACAAAAACATTGGGACTGGCCCATAAATCAGAACTGTACATTGTATTCAGGTTTACAGTACCTTATCCCGAAGGTCACTGAAACTGTGAGCACAAAAATTTTGTACTTCATCTATTCCTAGATGGAGTTTACTCTAATCTTAGCCTTTGTTTTAGTGTTTTCTTACACTACATACTTGGATAAAGGAGCAGAGTAGAAGATATAGAAAATAATTTCTGAAGATTTCAATTCAAAGTGTTGAGAACATATACAAGTATCTTGAAAAATGCATTTGACTTACCAGGGGATATTCTCCTCTATCATTAGCAAAGCAGCTCTCTTCAACCAGTTCATTTACTTTCTTTTCCATTTGCTTAATTTTTTCTTCAGGACTGTTGATCATAAAGCAAGTCTCGTGTCATCATTTGCTCTTTATGACAAAATTTTCAAACTAATAATCAATGTACTGGAATACTTTTGGAAAATGGTACATAGCAGAGATATTTATAATTTATAGTAGAGTGTAGTAATCAGTAACAATCAGATTTCACGCTAAGAACTACATTTCAAAGGGTTTAATATAACTGTAAAATGAAACCAACATGAGGCAATTTAACCTCAATGCAATGGTGGTTTGAAGTATTGCTACTAACTTGATGCAGTGCAGAACAACACTATGAAAGATTAACTGTATCTATATTTAGGAGCTCAGAAAGTAAAAAGGTCTCCAGCAAGAGTTTCACTTATGTTTTAAACTATGAGCACTACCATAGCAGAGTAAGTGACACATAAGATCACCTTGCTTCTGTGAAATAAGAGGGTCTAACCCTACTGTAGAGTGACACTGTCATCTCAGATTCAGCTTTCTGAGGAAAATCCTGTACATGGCCTTACAACACTAATAGTGCAAAGACTTCCCTGTGTTGTTTCACATCTTTAAGAAAAATTCTCTCCCCTTCACTTCCTTCACTGGCAAATATACATTTTCAATTTCAGCCAAATTTCCTTTGTTCAGTGTGACAGTTATGTTGATGTAATACTAAGCTTGTATGCCCCTGGGTCCACCATCATCAGAGGCACCTACCAAGGTTGCCCCTAATTGATGAGTTAGAATTATGAACTTAAATATTACATGCGTACTTTACATAGAATCAACAACCAACCTTTCCTCTGCCTTTCCTTCAAGGGGAGGGGCAGGTAAACGTGCTTGGTTGAAAGGGTCAAACTGAGCACCCCCAGTCATGGATGTTTCTGTAAGGCAGTACATGTAAATACATGGTCAATAAAATTGTTAAGGGTTACTGTAATGCATTTTACCATCATTCATCTTTTCGAAGTACAATTCATTAGTATATGCCATATTTTACACTGACATTCGATCCAAACTTAATCTGGTTGACAGGGTGCAAATAAGTTTATTTATGACTGTTAAAATCCATTATCTAAGACAGCCACACATCTCACCATTAATACTGAACTAACTACACCTTGAAAATGAAAATGTGCACTATAATTCTACTGAATTAACTATCACAACTCCAACTTGGCAACAAGGTATTTAGTATACAAATCCTAGCATTTAATCAAAGAGTAAAGTAAGTCCCCTGTCAGCAGTTGCAATGTTAAAATAACATCAACAATTACTACTCATTCCAATACAAACATGAAAAAGTTCACAGATTACTATATGTATTTAGGCAATGAATTTTACCCTTAACTGTTCTTGACAACAAAATTTACAGTCAAACCTGTATTGAGTGGTCACCCACAGGGAACGGCAGGTGATTGCTTTCTACATGTTCTGGAGAATATGGGGTAATATGAAAAACCATAAAAAAACACCATTTTATACCATAATTGACCATTTACTGTACAAAAACTTGCTTAAAAATACCACAGACATTGATTTCAGGAGAGAAATATGGATTAAATTTTATTTAAAAGGTTATCTTAGTTCTTTTCAAGTAGTTCTGCAGTGACTGCTCAAAACAGGTGAAAGAAAATACAAACTGGCTGTTGGGACTCACTCAAAGGTGATTGTGACTGCCTCATAGAGGTGACTGATTAATAGAGGTAAAAATTACTGTGATTAAGGGGAAACAAATTTGGAATTTTGATGACCAAATGTTTAATACAAGGTGACTGCTTAGTATGGTGCTGCTCAATACAGGTTCAATTGTACTCATGCAAGATACAGTGTATAAGTATATAAAGTAGAAGCAAACTGTTCTTTAGTAGTATTGCTAGTACTCAGTGATACAGTGTTCACTGCAAAGAATACAGCCTGCCTCAAGACCTTGTAGTTCAGTACTTACTTTCTGATGATGTGTAACCCACTGCACGCACTGCAGTCATAGGACGAGCCATTCCTGTATCCTAGATAGAAAGTATTTGGCTATCAGACAATATTCCTTTTTATTCTTTGCAAATTCAATTATTGGTATACATTCTCACGATATTGTTCTTCTCATAATGTCATTTTTCTCAAGGGTGAAATGTTCATTGTTTACATTGTAGTTAAACATGTACTTCAGAACTAAATGCTTTGACCCTTTCACTCCCAAGATCTAATTAGTAATTCTCCTTACTATCTGCCGTACAATTCTTATAATGTTAGTTCTGAGAATTTGGTATTGGATCAACTAATAATCCCATGATTGATATTCTTCTCTATTCTCATCACCTGCCTGCTTGATATTATATTGATATTGTAAGGAGAAATTCTGTCTTGGTCACTTGTGGGAGTGAAAGGGTTAAAACTATATACATCAATCTCTTCTCCCAATCTGGGTCGTTTTGTTACTACATAGACTGTACAAAAACAATGAAAAAAATACAAACATTGACATTTCTGAGATCTGGCACTCAAAATTCAACCAAAATCTTTGACAAATGCTTAAGATATAAGAGAGATACAACTTAGCCTAGTGGTTAGTGCTCTGAACTCAAGATATGGAGGCCTGGGCTCAAGTCCTGACTGGGTCATGGCCAAGACACTTCACCTTCACAGTGCCTCTTAAGCCAGAAAAAATAAACAATTACCAACAAACTTTCAAGGGAAACCTGACAAAATGTTTGGGAGGGGGTGCTGGAGAGAATCTTTAATAGACTAACATACCATCTAAGAGGGACTAAACATAATCCTAATATTCAATCTGTGCAACACAAACCAGGGATGAGCATTAGCAGTTAAAGGCAACTTGACAATAATAATTAACCTTTATGTGTGGAAAACAAAAATAACTGATAAAAAAAAGAAGGCAAGAGAAGATGACCATAAACTCACTGCAATTCCAGTTGTTGGTCGTCCCATTGAAGATCCTGGCACCTTCCCTCGCTAAATGTACATTTAAGAGAAATTATAACAATATGTGAAATTGAGGAACACTTTAAGTTCTTGGATGGTTTTGAAAATAGCAATTTAAGTTGTATCATACCCCAGCTGATGTGGATATTTTCATGCCAGTTTTCTGTAATTTGAGGAAGAAAATACAAATCTTAAACAAGGTAAAATATAGGATCACAACATTTGTACTGCCATGCACAATAAATTGCAGCTCAAAATGACTGCAAAAAGTAGTTCGACTTGTCTTTTTCACAGTTCAAGGTCCATTACCATAATCCTCAACCATCAGAAAATACAAATTGCACTAATCTGAAATAATTTCATATTGACATCATATGTAAGTACACCAAACACACCATGTATATTTTTACTTCACTATTACAGCAGGTTGTTACAATTTGGGATCAGCTCACATTTATTTACAAAATAATCAAATATATCCATAGTCAGTTTTTAAAGTGAACCAATCCCATACACAACATCCTTTCTCGTTTTAATAAAAATGCTCCTAAGCTCTTTTCCTATTTCTTTAGTTCAAGTAGTTTGAACAATACAAAGTTGTAAGAGGAAACACTATTTTTTAGAAGAAAAATAACCAACTGTATGCTTCAAGTTATAATTATGGAGGTTGACTTTCTGGTATCAAACTCTTTTAAGTGCAAAATGAAAGGCAACAACAAAATTTGATACTCACCAAACCAGGTCTCTGTCCATGACTTGTTTTCAGGGCTTGTTGAAATTCTTCATCTTCCTCAAGATTCTAAAAATCCAAAAGAAAATATTTTGTAGGATTTAATGAAATAAAATAGAAATTAAGGTTAAGTTATTACACAAACTACAGGTAACAGTTCCACATATTAATTCTATTAGCATAAGGGTGAAATTTAAGACAACTGATATATCCTCTATTCGTAAGACTGCTGTGCTCTTAAATTTTTAGATACTTAACAACAATTTTTACATGGACCTGTCATGCACGCCTGTGCTCAAGCAGAGCACAAGTGCCAAAGTGAAATGAATTTTGTCTTTGCCCAATCCATCCTTGCTTATTTGTATGCTTTCAAGAGCTGGGCAGCCTTGATTTCTGAGAAAAGAGCCTTAATGCACTTGGTAATTCTTGAAAGAGCACAATTTTGGCAGTTAGATATGGAGACAGTGCTTGACAGAACAATTAATTTCAAGGGTCTTTTAACAAGATATCAAACAGATTCTTACTCATCAACAAAAACATAATATTGATTAATTACTGCTGATTATGTTGATGAATAGAAATGCACTGCTCAGGAAAAAGGTTTATCCATTTGTATTCATTGCAAGTAATAGAAAAAATAACATTGTATTTAAGATTGCAGTGAATCATTTTTTATTTTTTTTTGTTTTCTATTTTCCTCCACTCCAGTATCTTAATATATATGTACAATAATTAGTGTAGAGATAATTTATCTATAAGAAAAAGGGTCTTGATTCCAGGTAATCAGAGAGGAGAGGGGCACATCTAGAAAACTGATGATGTACCCATTAAAGGTTAACATGATGTTGTTAACATCAAGGTAAATACACTCATAATGAAGTACAATGATTTGTAATATGATGAAGTCACTTCTAACATGGATCACCACCTTTTAACCACTAACATCCTATTGAAAGCATAACCAAGTGGAAATCCTTCACTTCTACAGGTTGGACTTTTGACATAAAATGTAAACTTTGCAATATATCTCAATGCCTTGAAAACTTTGCAGTCTTATTTCAGGCACATTGGTAGTACTTATGACCAAAACAGAGGAAGATCACTAGGTTGGTTGGGCCACACACAGATTTTAGTCAACTCGAAAAAAAAAATTGCCATTCAAAGGACAAATCTCCTGACCAATGAAAAATCCTTCTGAACAGTCAAGCTTCGATGACTTGGATAAATTTTAATCGAAATCTGATTAGGTTTGACGGAATCATGATGAGATAGTTTTGTATCTAACTGGCTGAGAGGGCGGCCTAAGTTTCCTGAACAAAACAATGCAAGATTACTTGCAACACTCAATGCAATTGACAGTACAATTTTTTCACGTACAAATTGTGCAGCCTAAGATTTTCGGCAGAGAAAAGGGAGGGAATTTGTTGAAAGCTTAAACCTTTGCTTTAGACCAAAGATAAAAAGTCTGGGTCAGAATCTAGCCGGACCAGTAAAAGATTCCTATTTGTGCATGATCTTGTCTCAGTTTTGTTTAACTGGCTGCCACGTTAGGCAAAAGGAGAAAAAAGAGGTGGCTGTCTCTTTACCACTTCAATTATTTGAGCATTTAAATTATCTTAACCAGTATTCAAATCCAGGATTTGTAAAGTTTCGCGCAAAACTTTCCGAAATCACAGTACAGATCACTTCGTACAATCTCTCTCGGTGAACGGCGCTTCACACGAAAACAACTTCGACTAACCTCTGTATCAAAGGCTGGATTGTAATCGTTAAAACCACCGTAGACGTCGTCTTCATCCTCACCAACGAGATGCACTCCTTGCAGCATTTTGTAAAACTGTTAATATTTAGAAAAAATATTTCTTCCTAAATGTGCAGAATGTTTGCAGTTGCCATCAACAAATATGGCCGTCCCCGACAACCTTTGCGTCATAATTAACGTACTACGCATGTGTTCATCTTCCGCGCGCTAGGTTCAAAATGGCGGTCGTCCGTCGGTGGCTGGAGTCTCGTAATACCTATTGTCAAAATGACTGGCTAGATGCTTGCATAAGTTTTGTGAAAGAAGACAATGAGGTACGACAACTGGGGGTGAATAATTGTTGCAGCTGGCCCGTTTTTAAGTTTCAATGATGGGTGTATCCGGTTACGTTTAATTTTAACAATCAAATTACAGCAGCATTAAATAATTTTTGATTTGTAGGGAACGTTGTCTCCTGATCAACTGAACGAACTTGTGTATGAGCAGTGGCTGATGGCTGAAATTCAGGAATCCAGTCGTCCTTGTCTTCCAGAAGGCCTTGAGAACCAGGATATTTGTAAACTCGAGGGGACTTTCAATCTTCAGGTTACAGATGATACATCACAATTTTGGCATGATTTTATGAATAAATAAAATTAATTATTACTTTGAGTAGTAATTATGATGTTTGTCATTAATAATATGGTTTATCATGAAAGGGATAAACTGTTTTCATGCTTTAGTTGGCTAGAAGGATAAGATTTTAAAACTTGAAAGAGAAAAGAAGTTTGGTTGAAGGTTGTGTCACTGAAGGCTTTAAACGGTGACCCTTGTGTAGATTGTAGTAGAGACCTCTATTCTTGACCGTGTTTTGCATATATAATAGATATTACTAGAGTTCACTTGTCAAAAATTATTCACACTACACACGTAAATCATGCTCTGCTAAGGTGTACACCCTGTCAGATCAATCTTCCAGGCTTTAGGTTGGGAGAGACAATTGCCAGGATCCTAACTAGAGAATTCTTACCCTGTATGAGACCAATTCAAGACCCAGAAATTTTACTCTGTTCTGCAGCACATACAGTTTCATTCCATTAAGGGAGAGGTATACATCTCCATCTTTCTTATAACAAGAAATTAGTGTTGAATCGAAATGGCAACTTTTACCTGATAAGTTTGAGTATTCTCATTACCTGTTTGCAGGATACTGAAAGGATCTTATAAGGACAAGTTGCATGTTTTAAAATTACTTTTAAGACCCCCACCCAACCCAAGTCTCTTTCCATTCATTTTGAGGAAGGGCCAACACTCGAAACGTCAGCTTTCGAAACTCTGAACAGAGGCCAATTTATGTTTTTTAACTCAGTTGATAATACTAAATTACTCTACAATAATTATCATTTGATACTAGCTGAGAAGTAACAGTTTTTGTGAAGGAAAGTTATTTCGTAGCATTGATTTTACATTCTCATGGTCTCGCAGATTAACTCAATCCTTAATGTTGGAGAATCAGCATATTCTCAAATTCAGAAACTTAAAGGTCAAGATGACCCTCAAGAGCTGAACTTCAAAGCAAATGTAAGCATGGTTTTAAAATGAAAAAAATTTGGCTCATACATATGGTCTTACTGTGCACTTTTGAACATCTCTTACTGTTATAATCCTTACTTGTTTACTTTTAGCCCTTAGAACCAAAGATAAAACCGAGTCGAATGTTACTGCTTGAAATAACAGATGGAAAACAGACTGTATTTGGAATGGAATATCAACAGATTCCATCCCTCGCATTCAACACACCTCCTGGATCTAAAGTAAAAACTTGAATTTTGATTTTTAACCTGTGCTACTTTGTTTGTTGGGCCTAACCTCAGTGATAGGGCCACTAATCCTGATGCTATTTCAGACCATAACATGCCACTTTTTTCCCCATGTTTGTGACAACCATTAAAATCTTTCAACACCATGACTGTTGTTCTTCTCTCTTTAAAGATACAAGTGAGTGGTCCCCTAACTTATAGACTTGGAGCCCTCCTACTAACGCCCAGCAATGTCAAGGTATTAGGTGGAAGTATTATGCATCTGATAGAAGAAAACTCTTACTGGAACATGCTGCATCAAGCCATGTAAGTCTAATGCTATCCTTTTGGATAGGATATCTTAGTTGTAATTAGTGGTGTACTAAGTATTCCTATTTGTTAATTATCTATGCAGTTATAACAGTTTCTGTGACTTGCTTAAAACTATATCATAGCCCCAGCTTCCACATACTTTTTCTGTAGTTGGTGATCCCCCAACAAAAACAACAAATGAGTTTAACTACAGATGGACTTTGTGGTCCAAGTTAAAAAATCTGAAACTATTTTCTCATTTAAGATGTAAAGGATAGCAGAAATTTTTCTTCTTTCTTTTAGAGGGCAAGATCCACCTAGAAAACCAGATGGCATAAAAACAGAAGCTATCACCATTGAAATGCACACTGTTGATCAGATGACTGTTCAAGATAACTCAACTGCTGATATTACAACCCTAAGGGATTCAAGAACTCTGGTGAAAAGAGAAACAAACCAAAGAAATTTTAGTGCTGGGGGTCTTACCAGCAACAACAACAATCAAAGAGGGAACACAGGAAGTGAAAACCAATACAAAGGGAAATCAAAACAACTGGGACCCAATGGACCTAAAGTGGTTCAAAGTTGCAGTAGAGATCTTCAACAGTTTGGTGCTGTTGATAAATTGAAAAATGTTTGCAATGAAGAATTTTTTGATGATGACAATGACTTATTAGCAGCTGTTGCTGACAATGATTTCTTTGGGATTGAGGAGGACTTTGACATGGAACAAATAGATCAGCTTGAAAAAGACATGCAAACCTCAGCAAGCACAACAGCTAATAAAAGTATTCCAGTGAAGTTGAACATGATCCCCAGTGAAATGCTATGTTATGATGCGATCTTTGATGATGACTTTGTTGATGAAGATATAATGGCAAATGATTCAAATTCCATGGAAATAAAACCTCTTCATGAGAGAATTTTTAATGGAGAAACTATAGGAAATGTGCATACATCAAAACAAGCAAGTATAGCATCAAACAGTTCATCAACAAAATTTAGCAATCATGCTAAGAAATCAAGCAATTTTAACAGCAATATTGCTATGTCTAGAAAATCAGATGGCAATACATGGAGACCAAGCAATGAACAATCAAATTCCTCAGACAACATGAAAAGAGGATTCATGGGTGAAAAGAATAATCCAAGACATGGATGTGTTCCTCTTGTCAAACGTGAGCCAGTCGACAAGACCAAAGATTTAGAGATGAAGAGAAATCCAACAAATACTAACAGTGATCATTTGGCAACAAAAAGACTTACATTCACCAAGTCCTCTGGTGTTCTAATAAATAGAGAACCAGATAATGAGTTTGACAATGATGCCTCTTCTACTGAGTTTGGTGGAAATCAACACCTGAGTGCTTTTACACAAGGTAACATGTAGAGGATGTATTGGAGATTTGTGAGTCATAAAAATGCTTGTAGCTTGCCCAATTCAGAGCTCTTTCAACTCTGTGCTCTTAACATTTGAGTGCTGCTTTGGAGTTGCTGCATTTCCTTGTATAGAGCTACAAGTTTTTGTAAAACAAAAATTATCTAAGTCATTCTGCAGAAAGTAGTCATCAGCATTATTCTTACTCAGCTCACCTGCTTGATGTATTGCATGGGATGTGGTTGCTGAAGGAATAAGGGTGTACAGCAACAGTGGGTGTGGTCATCACTGAAGAGCAAAGTTGCTCTATCCAAGGCAAACTGATAACATGATAGTTTTGAATCAAATGCCCACAAATCAAAATGTAACTTGCTTTTTTAAACTAATGGTTGTTTATTTACAAACAATTACAGATCTGCAAGATAGTTCTGCTCCATTTAAGTACTTATCAGATGTGTTGAAACATGCCCCTCACAATGAGAATCAGACTGTCAGAGTTAAGGTTGGTATTGAAAATAAGTACTTATTGGTGTGCTTGAGCCTAGGTTAACTGCAAATTCTAATGGGAGAAATGCAGAGGCATAAAGGTTCTTTATGTGCTGAATTACAGATTAAAAGATGCAAATACCATGCAAGATTGCGTCGTGACAAAAATTTAGTCAGCACTCAAACGAAATAGTTCATCCAGCTGGTGCTTGTCTCAGTTTCTGTAGTATGAAGTAATTGGGAGTATTGCCACAATAACCTCACCAGGTCTTGAATCAAGGTATCTCAACTCAAGGTTCAGTGTGCCAACTGTTTCACCACCACATATCCTCTTGGGAAAGATATAGCACTTTTGTATGCTTACTGGTATAAATGGTTTCTGTCAGATTGTTAGGGAAAATCAAAAATTTGGGGGGAAGGGAGAGAAACTAGACTTGCTTCTCATTCTGTGGACCTATATTTTTTCCTAGTTTCTTTATGCAACAGAAACTAGGATGAGGTCCAGCAGAGTGGAAGATGACTCTTCGGCAAGAGTTTACTTGCTGCTTAGTTTTAGGTAAAGGTGGTAAAGGGTTTTGTTTATAGTTTTCAGGTGAATATTTCCTTGTTGAAGTGCTGATCACGTCATGTACTGTTGTCAACTTTCACCTTTGTTTAACTGTAACATAGGCTTACATTGCAACATTGCTATCTCGTCCAAATCCCATGTCAACCCAGTGGAATATTACTGTAAAACTCAATGATGGAACAGCAACTGTGGATGCTTTGCTGAGTGAAAAGGTGAGGAAATGTGTTTCAAGTTGTTCTTGTGTAGTTAATTTTCATGCCTTGTGATTGTTTGATAAATAATGAAAAAGCCTGGATGGAAACTCACAGAAAACTGGAAAAGTGCTGTGAACAGCCTTCACTGATCTGATATCCCATCTAGAAAGAGTACCAGGCTACAGAAACCAAACCTGTGTACATTTCATCTTAAGTTTTTTTCATTTTGTTTTTATTCCCAGATCTTGACACAACTATTGGAATATCCAATAGATGAATACAGAGTAAGTGCAATTCAGGCCAGATGATTTCCAATTGAGTGTTGAAAGTTATTCGTGATTACTGTTGTTTTCCTTTACATCACTCTGATGAAGTTTGTGTCACTCTCTCAACCAATCATACTCCAAGCTAAAAACCAGTTGTGTCTTGTCAGCTTCTTGGACATCTGCTCTTCCCATGCTTTTGAGTTCTCACTGGCCAGTGATCATGTGAACCCGGGTTAATGATTCAGTCTGTCTCCAGCTTAATGTGCCCCTTTTGTCCAAGGTTTAAATTTTCAGGGTATGCATTTCTGGGTCTCTACGTTTTGTTATGGTTAAGTGAGTAAAGTCCTTACCATAGTTTTTTTTTTACATGCTATGGCTTACTGTCCTCATTTGATACATTTGTAGCTGGAGATTCAAGAGGCTATGAAAAGCCGCAATCCAGCTCTATGCCAGAGATTACATAAGGTATAAAAACTTTACTTTTTTTTCTTCTAATTAACAGAACAGGAAGGGGTAAACCATTTGTCCTTTCCTAAGAAAGGTGGTGGTGGTAACAAATGAGGACAGCTAAAAACATACTGCAATGTTGATGTTATCTCTTGAAACTAGTTTATAAGGCCTTTTCCTTTTCAAAAATTTGATAGACGCTCCTAATTTATTTGCTGTTGCTTTTCAAGAAAGGGTTAGTAAAATTATTTTCCCATCAACTTGTAACAATAACGTCAACTATCTTAAAAACTCCAGAGTTTTAAAATGAAATTCGTGTTGGAAAAGGTCTGTTTCCTTGGAATGAGAGATTGTATAATAAATTCATTACTACCATCTACTGATGTTTGTTCCTTTCTCCTGTTTTCTTCAGAGAACGCAGCAATTTGAAAGGAACTTGGCTTCCGCTTCTGGCTTGATGGATATACAGTTCTCAGCGGACATGCCCTTGCCATGTGTTCTCAGCCTAATTCAGCCAACTTCCAGAGACGTTGCAGAAATGATTCGTTGCGTTAGAGTAACTTTTTAGTGTCGGATCTTTTTCGTATGGACAGTGTGTGTAAATTGATTGTCACAATATAGAACTATTTTTAACTATAACAACACAGCATTCTACAGCTAAAATTGTGGGCATTGGCTCCTGTACATATGCCAACCAAATTTTACTGTAACGAGCCTTTAGTTCGCAAGTGGAAGAATAACAGTCAAATTTTTACCACATATTCAACAAGGGATGATTTTCCTAGTTTTAAGTATGGTAATTTCACACAGAAAGGTCCTGATACTGTTTCTAGGTGACGCCAAGCTAGTCCTTATCATTCTTGCCCACCCGTGCGCTGTTGCATTTGTTTGTTTATCTCGTTCAAGTCCTTTGGGGGTTCATGCCGTCGTCATGTTTGACTGTATCGTTTGAGCAGCTAGACAACCCCTGACATAAGGCTTATTTTTACACCCTTTTCAATAATCCGGTTCGGGCGTGACCCCATTTCTTGATCCGCGACTGGTAGTTGAGCCCACGTTTCCGTCAGAAATGTGGGAAAAAAACAAGATGCTCATGCTCCAACGCCTTGTTCAACAAATGCCACCATTGCCCTCCGTTCCAGAGTAGGTCTTTCCTCGGTGTCACCAGAGGCGTTGGGTGTCCAATTTCACGATGCGGACAGCGAGAAACAAGTCATTTATTGACACAGATTCAGTTCATTCTCAGTCTAACATTTTTATTAAAGATCGCAAAACTACATAAAACTTTTCCTTAGAAACTAATGACAGCAAGTGTGTATGATACCCGGTTCCCATCCGAGAAAATTCTATACCTTTCAAAACGTATATTATATACAGACATTTAACTAATGCTCAGAGCTTGGATTTATTTACACACTTGTTAAAAATTAAAATGCTATTTGGATTCCATGTGCTTAGAATAGTGAAAATCTGCGAAAACTTTCAACGCGCTATTTTCGAAACCACTTGGTAACTAATCGTTCCGTCGTGATCAATCGGTATACTTTCGGAATGCATCGACTCTATCGAAAACGTTACAGAAGAGCTTTATCTCCAGAGTAATACGAAAGAATGCATAATGTCACAGTAAGTTATTGTAAATGTACTCTAAGATCCCCTTTATAATTATAAGTAAAAATATCCTGAGTCAACTACAGCTTCAGAAAGGTACAACCAAATAGCTTCTATCAAGCCCAAGCAATTTTTCGCGTTTGATATGACTCTCTTAATAAGAAAACGACACCTCTCATTAGAGCACTTTTGAATAAACAATAATTCTATAGTTATTTCTCTGTGTATTTATAACTGAAAATAAGATAATGAAGATATAAAGCATGATATTACTTCCCACGTACAAGTAGTTAAAAAAACAAGTAAAACAAGAAATTTCCATCATATGGGGTCAAACACGCAACCAAATGTTGTGATCTGACCAACCTTAAAGTTTTCTTTAAAACATTCTTCCCTTGATAAGCCAGTGACAACGAGAAAACTCAGAGAACCTCACTGACTGAGACTGCTAAATTTATCTCGTAGCTTGACACCGGTAAGTACGGGCCTCTCGCAACGGATATTACACGGGTTTTTTACTTTAAGACTGTTAATGTTCCTCTCAGAGATTTGTATAAAAATATACGAACATTCTGGCACAGTCACCCTATCGCTTTTTTTTTCGCTTAAAACTTTTCAGATAGAGAGATCACAGTGTAATCATCGCTTACTTCGAAACTCATGGACGGTTAAAATACCGTTAAGGAGAGGTTAAATCGCCATTCATTTGCGCTAGTTGTCCTTGCTCCCATCTTGATGTCCTGATTTTCTCTTCTGGTGAGTCTTTATTGAACATTTTGAGCTTGTCCTTGAAGTCAAGCTTTTCTGGTTTCTTGGACACAAACTGGCCCTCGGATTTCTCTTCGTCAGTCAAGGACATCCGACCCAGGCGACCGCGAGTCATCTCCATCCCATTCAACTCGTCGCTATCCAACCTGGCAGGCTTTGGTGCGTACTGAGACTGAGATCGAGATGGAGGTCCGTCTAAGACATTGTCCTGCGAACCATACCTAGTAGGGGCCGGAGGAGGACCTGGCTGATTCATCTCAAAGGCTGCTGGATAGGACACAGGTCGAGGTCGCCTAGGATATGTGGCGTAACTTGGGTAAGCGGAAGATGAGGTAATTGGGGGCTGTCGAAGAGGAACTCCCGTGTTAGAGTAAGGTTGGGGGTAGAAGGCTTGATCCCGAGTCCCAGGGGCAGAGATCGTCACCCTGGACGTGTACCCACCATTTCGCGAGGGTCGCTCACCACTGAGAGCAGCAAATCGTTCAGAGCTGTGAAGCGATTTTGGTGGAGGTGGTGGTGGAAAATTGTCGTCTTCTAACAACTCGTCAGGGGGAGGAGGCGGTGGCGGAGGAGGCGGTAGGTCATCGTCATCATCAGGGAGGGGTGGCCTAGCAGAATCTGGTTCAGAGTCACTAGGAGCACGAGTGTTCACATACCTGACACTGGGGGCAGGAGTAACTCGTGCTGTGTAACCTGATGCTGTCCCAACCACGTATGTTGGAGAAGCGGGTTCGCGAATCTCTGTCGCTACATTTGAAAAGGATACTTGCTTCTTGGGGCGATTTGATCCCGAATTGCGAAGTGCCGATGGTGGTTCAGAACGCCGTCGAGTTATCTCTTCGTCAATCAGCTTTCGCCTCCGTTCGTAGTCAGCTGTCGCACGACTCTTCAATTCATTGACGTGCTCCTCGACGGAAGGCTTCCGAACTTTCCCTTCCTGAAGCATCTGATCTTCAAGCTGCTGCTTTCGCAATTGTGCTTCCTTTTCTCTCACGATCTTTTGTTCCTCCTGTTGCTTTTGGCGCTCGAACTCACGCCTAGCCTCCGCCTCTCGCTCCTCCTCCTTTCGCAGTCTTTCCTCTTCCTCCTTTAACTTTTGGTTCTGCTGCCACCGCAGCCGTTCCTCCTGATCACGTCGCTGCTGTATTTCAAGTCTCTTTCTATTACGTTCTTCTTCCTCTTGCATCTTCTTCTCCAGCCGTTGCTTCTCCTGTTCCATTCTCTGCTGATCTCTCTTCTCTCGTTGCTGTTTCAACCATTCCTCTTGCTCTCGGTCACGGTGTTCTTGAATTTTTCGCTGCGCCTCCTTCTGCTGTTCGCGATCTAATTCAAACTGCTGAAGTCTGCGCTGCTGTCGTTCTCTGAAAACAGAACACAGACCGCAAGAGTTAGTTACACTTGGGCATGGCGATTCCAGTTTAATAACATCTATCTTTAATGGGAGACGCGGTATCAATTTTGATTCCGCGTGTACTGACGTGTGTCAAGACTAAGACGAGCACTACAACCTCTTTCTCGTGACCTTTCCACTCCCTTCTCCCAAATCATTCGCACAGAAAACGACCACCTTGACGAGAGAACTTTCGAGTGTTAAGTGATTATTTATCGACCGATCGTCGATTTTTCTTTTGCACAAAAGAATCGTATTATCCCTTTTTCGCCGGCGTAATAATACAAAATCATCTAGCGAGTGAAAAATCCTTTTCTCAAGACTATAACTAAGCCATATCTTCAACAATCACCTTCGAAGTATCTCCTCTTCTTCCTCTTTTTGTTGTCTTCTCTTTTCAGCTTCTTTCTTTTCCTTTTCACGCCGGATGTTTTCTTGGAGTAGCAAGTCAATCTTTTTCCCCCGCTCCATTCTCTCTTCCTTATCTGGTGCGTAGTATTTGACACGTGTTACTGAAACCAGTCCGCCAGCGGTGCGCTCCTGTACGACCAGGAAGAAGAGAAGAAAAAAAGAGATTATTAAGCTGTTCAGCTTTTCCTCTGATCCGTTTACCATTGCTTTAAAATTTCGGCCAAGACAAGCAAAATCCTCGTTACTCAAAACTGAACAGCGTTGTCCAGCGGATAAAGTATCATCCCTTCTTTATTGGAGACAAACAGGGTTTAATGTGAAATTAATACTGCGAGACAACCTTACACGTGACCCTTGGAGAAATAGACTTAAAACGCTAGGATATTTTGAAATATACATGTAACACAAGTACATCATATCTTAATTCGTTATATCGTGTTATATTTTTGTTATTGTTGTTGCTCTTCTATCTTATCTTCTCTGATCTGTCGGATTGATTACTGAATCAAAGTCTATTAAAAACTCGTTTTTCTTATGATACTCTTTCATTCGTTTTGCTAACCGAAACGATTTATAAACACTAGTTATCCTTCTGTAAAGATGCACAGTTGACAAAGATGAATCTTTTGGCGGTGTCATCGACGGAAGGAATGCCTTGCCCTTCCACGTTCCCTACGAAGTCGTTTATTCGAAGTGTAACCAAAACTATACCCTTAGTCAATCCTTTAATTACGATACAAGACAGATAAAAAAAATGAAGCGATTTACTGTCCTAACCATAACAGATAGAGCTAATACCTCATTAACACGCACCTATTAATAAAAAGGCAGTCCTCTTAAAAAAAAAAAAAACCAACTCAATAACTGCTTGTGCTATCTCTAACTATGCCTACCTTTTTCGAACGTATTGTGAGTAAGAGCATGGTCAAAGTTATTAGATTCTCAAGGTGAACGAAAAATACACAAAAAATGAAAGCAATTGAAAAAATATTTAAAAAAAGTCACGATCTTCAGTGGGTTACTAGCCACCGGATCTTAAGGAATGCGACAGAAAATACTACTTGGATTGAATTCAGAGGCGTAGAAGTAGTAACTACAAAGTTGACCCGAAAGTATTCTTCGAGGCGATTCTACTTTTACTTCTGAACCCATTCATTAATCTTGAACTTCACATTAAATGCATCGTATGATCTACAAGGCATTGAAGTCATCTGCGTTTACAACAGCTAAGCTCACCAAATTGAAATTCAAACAATGGGAAAAATACAAGAGAAAAGGCGAAAAGAAATAAAAAAAAAAAACCATCAAAACCATAAAATCTCGGACACAGTACCGAAAGCCAAATCCGTCATTCACCGCTTGAAAAATCTTTTAGCAGAGGTGGACTGTTCGACTACCATTCGTGTATGAAGACAAAAACGCAAGTATGAGTTTCGAGTAGTTTAACCTTTTGAAATAACATCAGGCAAACTGAAAAGAAATGCTATGTGAAAGAAAAACGAACATGTCATACATGATATTAGATAAGATCGGTTAGTCATGTTATTCTTCGAAGACATCTCTTGGTAATTTTTCACGGTTAACGAATCCATTGTTTCAAGGAAAAATACTTCAGATAGCGGCAAATCTTCCCAACGTTGAAGTGGACGACGGAATCAACCAAATTATAAATTCCAAAGACTAGAAAAAAAAATTGCGTCGGGGCATCTGGCATTACCAGTGACAAAGACTTCTCTAAGCGCGAAAACATGAACCTACCTTAAAAAAGCAGCTATAGTAACTTAAAGCAATCGATATCAATTTCTCGTGAAGAATCAACGCGAAACAGTTTGTACGAAATTAAACTACTTGAGTTTGGCAATATCAAGCAAAGACACCGAATGAAAGTAATAAAGTGTGAAAAAAATCGATTAAAATTGAAAGCACTGACGTCAGTTATAATTGAACCAATCACTCTATGGGATAAAAACCGAACAATCATGTCGGTAGCGTTAACCGTTTCTACTTTCAATGGAAAGGAAATTTTTTGAAAACGAGAAACGCGTTTTTGGAAGGAGTAGTTATTCGATCCTCGACTCAATTACGCTGAAGACTTTGTAATAACGAAAGATTGGTGATAAAAATTTACACACACTTGTCTCTGTCGCGAAAAAACATTGTCGGAAACTTTAAAAAAAACATACTTTTCCCCTGTGTGCGAACATGTACCATATCTCACGCAATTATCATATGAAAATAAAGTTTGCGAGGATCCTTCAATTCCCAAGATCTCACTCCAGAAAATATCATACCAGCAATTTGCGTGTTATTTCCGTGCACACAAAAAAACTTTTCAAATGTTAGGATAACGAAAAGTGATGCATTTACCTCTTCATCTTCAGCAGATTCCCGACGATTCCTCATTGCTTCAAGACGTTTTTGGAATTCTCGTTCGACCTCGTCTGCCGATAGAGCCTCGATGGTGTCCAGGTATTCTTTGCTGCCCTTGTCTCTTGAAAGCTTCGAGAGCCTGGACTGCTCCATTTCTCTAAGCTGTTTCTGTTCCTCTTCAAGTTGCTTCAAATGGTTTTCTCTTTCTCGCTGCTCGTTCAATTCTTCCCTTTGCATTTGGTTCATGATACGTTCTTCTTCAGCGCGCTCACGTTCCTCTCGTTCACGATCGTATTTTTGCTGTCTTTCACGCTCCGCGCGCGCACGTTCGATGCTATCAAGTGCTTGCCTGTCTCTTTCACGACGTTGTCGTTCCTGTTGCTCTCTTTCTTGTCGTTCGCGTTCTAAACGCTCTTTCTCTTCTTGATCTTTCCTCTGCCTTTCCAAATGATGTCTCCAAGCTCGCTCATCTCGATCGCGGCGCTCCAACGTGCCCTCCTTTTCTTCAGCGGTTCTTGCCTCCTCTCGTTGCCAACGGTTTAACTCGTCTCTCTCGTTCGGCTTTAAGTTACCGGCTTGTTCAGTTTCTCCTGGTCTTGTGGCTTGTGCTCCCTGTTTAACCATGATGTACCGTCCGTACCGTGAATTGCGGCTGTCGACTCGAATTGGACTTGAAGGAGGTTCATCTGGAGATTTTTCCTGAAAAACAAAACGACAGTGTATTGAGAAAAATCAACTTTATAAACACCTATCAGGAATCAGTGAAGTTCATGGAAAAGAGCTCGCCTCCTACAGCTTGGGACACATTTAGGTTGAACTGTTATTTAGCATCTAGAAGATATTGTCATTCGATCATTTTTTTTCATCTAGGTATTCTTATCTACTTTCACAAACCTCTCTAGGGGATCCCCTCCCAGGCGATGTTGCCCCAGGGGATGTGGGTGAACTATAAATCCGATTTCTGTTCTCACGGGCCATTATCTCAGGTTCTTCTACTTTCACAGTGAGTGGTGATCGCTGTCTTTCTCTCTCAACATCTTCAGATTCAAATCGGACCCTGTAAGGAGATCGGACGGGTTCAACTTGAATGGTCTTTTGTCGACGCTGATGTTCACCAATCGTTTTCAGGGCGTCTTCCGCTCGTTTCCTTTCCACTTCCTGCCGACGCCTTTCTTCACCAAATCGCCGTTGTTCTTCTATTCTTCGTTCTTCCTCTCGTCGGCGCTCCTCGTCCAATCTTCGTTGCTCTTCGGCTATTCGCCTTTCCTCACGTAGCCGAGCCTCTTCGATTCTCTTTTGTTCCTCTGCATACAAACGTTGTTCTTCAAGTCTCCGTTCTTCTTCCCGACGGCGTTCTTCTTCTAACTTTAGTTCTTCGGCGCGTCTCCGTTCTTCTTCTAGTCTCCGCTGTTCTTCGGAGCGCCTTCGTTCTTCTTCTAGTCTCCGCTGTTCTTCAGCGCGCCTCCGTTCTTCTTCTAGTCTCCGCTGTTCTTCGGCGCGTCTTCGTTCTTCCTCTAATCTTCGTTGTTCCTCGGCGCGCCTTCGCTGTTCCTCAAGTCTCCTCTCTTCTTCCTGTCGTCTTTGCTCCTGTCTGCGCTCCTCTTCCAGTCGCCTTTCTTCGTCTTCTCTATACCGCCTTTCCCTTTCCGCCACTTGCATACGTTCTTCCTCCTCCATCCGCCGCTGACCCTCAGAGTATCGCCGTCGTTCGTCTCCTCCATCCCTCCTTCTCCTGTCTTCATCCACTTGCCACTGGTCTTGATACCGGCGCCCTCTTTCCTCGTCACCCTGTCTGTAGGACTGATCGCGGTCTTTTTGTAGCCACCGCCCAGGAGACCGCTGCATCTCTTGCTCGGAGATAGTTGGTGATGCTTGAAGTATTTCTTCGTTGTCCACTGCTACAAGTTTCTGTTGTGGCTCTACGTAAAAATAAATTAATAAATAGTGATATTAACCTGTTTCAACTTAACATCAGAATCCACCCCATACAATTCTCTATACATTTCTTTTGAGACTGACGTGGAAAACTTGTTTCACAATCAAAGTTTTTCAGACCACAGTATGCTAAAGTTTTAGAAGAAGGCTCATGACTTACCTTTGGTAACCATTGGTGATGGCTGACTCAGCAGAGTGGCAAGGCCGTGATAAATAGCGCCTTGCTTAGATATGCGCAAAGTAACATCAGGTCCAGATTTGACCATTAGCTCTGCGGCCCTGGGAAACAAATACAACAATATTACTCGACTCATATCAAACGTAAATCCTGGTAAATTCTCCTTCCAGGTCTCCCCACGTTTCTTTTGGCATATGTGTGGGGATTCTCTTTACAAGGTGTTTCCTTTAAGTGTTGGAACATAGACGAAATTGTTACCAAAAGTTCTCACCACAGGGTGAAAAGGAAATAAACAAACAAAAAAAAAAACAAGACATAAACCACACAAGTATTAACCCTTTAACCCTTAAAGAGTGTCTAGCTTGTAATTTCTCCTTACCGGATCAATAAAATGTAAAGGTCATGAGAATGAGAGGAATGATCACCTATTTTAGGAGCTCCTGATTTTCAAACAAATTATCTGTCATTGCCATAGACAAAGAGAACAGTGTGGAGAATATGAATGCTAATGTTAGGGTAGAATGGGTTAAAACCATTAATCCTCTAACTCCTAAGATCTCATTAGTAATTCTCTCTACTGTCTGCCAAATGCAAATGTAATATGAATGCTAATGTTAGGGTAGAATGGGTTAAAACCATTAATCCTCTGACTCCTAAGATCTCATTAGTAATTCTCTCTACTGTCTACCAAATGATTCTCATTATGTTAGTTTGGAGAATTTGGTATCAGATCAACTAGTAATCCCATAATTAATATTTTTCTTTATTCTCATCACTTGTCTGCATGATATTGCAAAGATATAGTAAGGAGTAATTCTGTCTTGATCACTCACGGGAGTTAAAGGGTTAACTTTATTGGAAACATTCATTTAAAGATATTCTTACTTCTCCTGTGGAACGCCCACCAGGCTTTCGCCATTCACGGATAAAAGCTGATCTCCTGCTTGTAGACGTCCATCCTAACGATAGGAATAAGAAATTTCAAACTTTAGAAAGCAGGAGGTTGCCACACAATAGCTGTTACATCTCAGCATTGCGAAAAATTTCCGAAATAACAAATGAAAACTCAAAAAGTAAAACGGAACATGTTACCCACCTTAGCAGCAGGACCATCTTTCACAACTTGCTTGATGTAAATGCCAAGTTTGTCTTGTCCAACACCCTTAAAACGATGAAAAAAGGCAACAACGTGAGGATAATGTACCTAGTGACTAGACGTACATGTACTTTATAGTTCTTTTTCTCCTTACAATCGTGCTTAAGATAATCATAAAATAAATTACCTTAGCGGCCACAATGCTAAGACCCATGCCTCCTTGTCCTTTGTAGAAGGAGACGTCCATAATTTCAGGGGTCTGAGAATGAAATAAATAAAAAGAAATTCAAATGTTGTTCAAGAGGATCAAGAGAAAATCAAAGGGAGATTCATTGAGGACTTCTGCAAAAAAATACATATACGCGGAAGCTATTACTGAAAGATTCCAGACGGACGAAGATTAAACGCCATACCTGAGAAGTTTTTGCAGAAATTTCACCACCTACGAAAAAATACAAAGCCAGGTTATCAAAAATCGAGTATGACCGAAACAATGAATGATACAATAAGCTCAGTGATTTATCCACGCACTTTGATTAGTTTTTACTTAAGATCTCTTGAAGGAAAAATGGATCGATGAGGTCACCATAACAAACTTTTGCTATACTATCATAAAAAACAAAATTTGACGTCATCTGTGATCTATTACTGAACAGATGTACAGCAACACGGCATCAATTTGTTAATCAGATAAATTCAAGCGGCGAGAATACGTTCTCTCACCAGAGTCCTTGTGCTTGGCGTGGTAAACAGTCCATAAGCCCGAAGAGGTTGGCTGTATAGTCAATCTACATAAGCCTGCAAAGCAAGAAAGTTAAACATGGCGAAATTTGCTTTTCCACTTCCTTGAAACCTTTCCAAGACTTACTCCATCAACTAAACACAAGTTCCAAAATGTGAACGTGGACTTACTTCTAATTAATTTCTTTCTTGGAGGAAGGTTTCCTCTATCAAAGTATTTTTTTTTAGTATGACCTGTTTCGAAGGTCAGTGTGTTTTCAAAATTAACCACACCCCCAATTTAGACTTTTCAGGGTCAATATCAAAAATTGGAAACAAATATTGTAAATAAGCGTAGTGTTCAAAAATCCCAACTGGCAAGAGGCAGACCAGTTTGCTATAAACAAAGTACAGCAAAGGAGTTGAACTCGGGGCAACCGGAAAAAAAAAATGCAGCGTGTAGCAGGGTTAGAGACCTTGAACCCGGAACCACTCGGCCAAACACCAGCCTTGTGGAATAACGAATCATCTCCTTAAGAAGGGAAGATGGACCATAACTAACAACCCAAGCATTATCCATATGAAGAAAACACGATTAATCATACAATTGTAAATTACAATGGCACTGGGGTCAATCAAAAAACGTGAACTCTAACTTTTCTCCTGACCAAAATTTAATTTTCTCGTATCAACACTCACCAATTCCTGCAAGAGGGCTCAAAAATTCCTTTAAACCCGAAGGAACGCCACGGATCACTTCGCACGAGTACCTGTCCTCAGGGAGTAAGAAAGGGAGCTGAAGTTGAGGGTCCTCTTCAAGTGTCACGGCTTGGCCCTGGTTACGAATGTGCTCATCTGCCGTATTCTCGGCAACGGCCACAACGCTGTCGATCAAATCCCTGAGAAAGTTTAAATCCAAATAAGTGGATATTAGTAAAGGCGTAAATACACATCTAAGTCAGTCACTTTGGGAAAACACTCATAAATGTTTGTAAAACGCATAGTCTTTGCACGGTAAGGATATGGTGAAAATCGTTGTCGATTAAATAATTCATGAAGGATAGAGTGTTTATCATTCAACTGATCCTGTGCTAAGCCGCGCAATCCAATAAAACTCCGCTACAGAGAGAAATTATCCACGTCAAAAATAGAATTCTCGTTGTTAGCCCGTAACACTAGTTATCATTCTGCTGTATTTTTAAAGGTAATTTTACTTTTTTAATTTTCTCACTCATAAGTTGGGGTGATTTTTAAAGCACACAATACTTTTATAGAGCGAATAAGTATCAATAAAGCAGTTACCAGTTGCATCATATATTCATATTGAAAATGTTTTACACACCTTGGTATATTAAGTTCGTCCGCAGCAGGTCGGTAATTTTCAAGTAAGGCACGTAGTTGCACTGAATTCAATTTATAACAAGCTGATGATAAAGAATTGATGTCGCCGTGAGAGTTTTTAGGAGCCTGTAGTAAATGAGCCGCCTGTTAAGAGAAAAAAGAAGTTAAAAAAATCAACAACAACAACAAAAACAAGCAAGATAAAATAACCAACATAAAACGTCTTGAGCGTCTTCAACTCTGTCGACTTATAAATGATTGATTGTCTACTCCAACGCTCTTATCTATGCACCCGGTTCGTGACATCTGTTTTTCGATGTTTATTTTATCTTAATGAAAGTCGAATTTGAGTGCGTTTGTCTAAAAGCAAGACAAAACGGAAACAAATGGTTTTGGTTAAGTAGGAAATAAAATTTGCCACACGTAAGTTTAATTAGTACAGACGGTAATTTTTTGCTTTGGCTTTCGAGAAAGCTGACGAAAATTCACCCATCTTTGTCAGTCTACAATGTGCTGGCCAGATGGAACTGATGTTTACAACCTATACATAAATTAAATTATGCTGTTCTTGGAAGCCCGTCTAGACTTAAACTTCCGCTTTTATGTATAACATGTAAAACACATACAGAAATATAATCCAGCTATTCACGAATTTCTTTATGGAGCAGGAAACCGGGATCGCTTTGGTTTCGCTTTAAATCCGACTCGCAACGTGATTGGTCCAGAAAAACTGCACCACTTTGCTCAACCAATTACATTCAAAACTAAAACCAATTGCAACTTGGTCATCGTGTGTCTTCCTGCCCTATGAACCGTTTGTTTTCAAACCCAAGGGGTGCCGTTGTGTTGTATTATTAGACACTAAACTAAACGCTCAAGTTATTTCTCTCAACCAATAAGTATAGAAGAGTACAAGAAAATTATCAGGTAAACCTTGATATGACATCCTGCAGTAACAGATTACAACGAGTGGCCAAAGTCTCGGCACGCTCAACCTCTTTTTGAATTTTTTTCTATAACTTTCATTTCACTCTTCCTTCCCCCATTTTGATGTTGGCTGGTATTAAAATAAAAGGCCCACTAATTTCAGGCAACATTAATCAGGGAGAAAGGGGGAACTTTTAAGTCATTTATTACAAGATTTCTGTTTCTGTTTATTACAATTCTGTTTTGGCTTATTACAAGATTTCTGTTTCTTTTGTTAAGAGAAGGGTTGTGGACCAGCTGGGAATGGAAGGCAGGCAACTACCCCTGCCACTCATTGTTGTGTACTATTTAAAATAATAATGCTTGTCAATTAAAACTTGAGTAGCTAGGAATACACACCAACAATCATTGGCCATTCCACAGTAAGACTGAAACATATTGGCTAACCTGAGCTACACGGCACAAGTGACATTCCGCTGCCATTTCCAGACCCTGTTTCTGGGCCCAAGTTTCCACTCTTGCCAGTCTTCGACTTAGTCTGTAACCCCAGTCTCTGGTACACAGGCCCATTTGAGGTTGAAGTACAATCTTGTTGAATATCCACATGTTGATGTAGTGGAATAATTGTGCGAACACTTGAATGGTTAGAGCCGCATTTACTCTACAGCGTCGCAACAATGACATAGCCGAGGCCAGTGTATATAAGATGTCAGACACTGTGGGCTTGCCATGGCGTCTGCGGCCACCTAGAAACAGGGATTTGTTACAAAATTAGCTATAAGTACTGTGTTCTCAGTATTGCCAACCTGTAGCATCTTTAAGTACTTTCACAAATTTTCTGGCAGTACATGCACTTGCCAGTGGTTGAGTACAGTTACAATACTTGGGAGTGTTACTGTGCTCTGTCCATGGAACCATATTAAAAAAAATCTCTAAAACATGTTTAAACTTTGGTGCAAATGGGCTATAAGCCCCTGCATCTCCTTTGCTGAAGAAGTTTAATCATAAGATCAACTCACCAAGCCAGCTGTCTCCACCCATGGGTCTTCCGGAAGGACCATATCGAAAACTACGTTCACCCATAATGTCATCAGGAGAGTTCATATCCATCATTGAATCTATGTCACCATCTTCCATGTCAGCATCCTCAGTGACATCAAGGAATGCAGACATCAGTTGTCGCAACTCTTGCTCTACACACTGCACAAGGTGTCTGAATGCCATTTGAACTGACTGTGCTAACACCTGGTAACTGTCTTTTAAGTATGGTGATACATCAATATCTTGCTTCAGAAAATGGAGGAGCTCAGATGAGTTTGCCATCCAAAATGCCAGACTGCTTGGCAGCTGACTATTTTCCTGTGGGTAAAAATTTGACTTGGCACTCAATCTTAGGAGACTTCTCTAAAACTTCAAGTAGATCAAACCCTTTCACTTCCATGAAGAAATATTTATTCTCCTTACTCTCTGTCACACATTTCATGTGAAAATAATGCTGAAAATATGATGTTAACTCAAACCACTTCCCCAAAACTATTTATTTTCATTATTATCAATTGCCTGCTTGACCTTGTATCGACATCATAAGGAGTACTTACTCCCACATCTTCTTAGATAAGTGGTAACAGAAAGTATGCCCAAAATGTTTGCTCTGATACTTTTATTAAAAGCAAGGTGACAGTATTCTACCATATATGACAAAGTTAAATCAAAGGGAATGAATGTAACTGTAATTAATTTCATTAACATGATGGAGGGGACAAAGTACTTTTAGCTTGCTTGCTTGTCAACAAACTTAACAGAAACAAAGTTACTGTGAGGATTACATCTATTTAATATTGTTTTCAAAGCTTATTCCTTAAATATTTCATTTTGATGACAGTAAATTGAATGACTGAATTGATAAGGATCAACCTGTGGGAGAAAGGCATTTCCAGACAATGATCATTAATTAGAAGCCTTGTAAAGACAGATAGAACTAAAATCAGCAAGAATGCAAGAATGTCACAGGCAAACTTTACCTCAACTGTTGAGCGCACCATGTTGGCAATTTTCTGAACAGTGACACTCAACCGGTCGCCCCGCTGAAGCTTTGAAAGTTCCTCTCGATATGCTGGGGAGATGCGATAACGACAGCACATGTAAAGAGTGTAGGTTGGTGCCAGTTTGAACTGAACTCTGTCACCATTCACCTCACTGACAACTGCTGCAAAGAAAGCATCTTCTCCTGACTCTCTAAACTCTAGTCTTGCTGGAAGCTTGTCACCCATTCCATCATCTGAAACGTCATCAGCTGAAGAACGCAGACCATTGGGGGGCTGGTCCTGACGCTCATGACCCTAACACAGAACACATTCAGATCAGTCTTAACTGACTTGACTTTAACTCCAACAACACATATGTAGCCCTCCCTTCTTGCTGCAAAACATATCCTTGAAAATTGATCATGAATTTGGTGTAATATTAGTAATATTAATAAATGTAATATTGTAATAACTTTGAGGAAAAAGTTTAAATATTCCCATCTCCTAATTTGCTTATGGGAGAGTTAACAAAGGTAACTGGTACATTAATCATTGCTATCAAGTTTGTACTCACAGGTTTTTCACTTGTGTAAGTCTCAATTTCACCATCAATGCCAAAGGTTGTCTCAAACAAGCCAGATTCGTGATTTGTTGCTTCCACATTGTTCTGTTCATATTCTCTATTTTTTCCACCAGGCTGATCAGGTCTAGGTAACAATAACACATATTGTAGTTCTTATCTACATAATCTTGGTCAGAGATTTTTAAAAATTATTTCTGATCACAAAAATTTCCATAAGCAAAGCACTATTTTCTAGAAGAATCAACCCATGCCTGGAGGGTCTTGTTTCAGAGATCTGGGATTCTTAGTTCTAAAAGCTTTCATGAGCACAAAAGTTATGCATGTTTTCCAACAACAACAAAAGTTAGTGGCCCCTAACCCTCCAAGCTCTGCTAGAGTACACCCTTGATTAGTTAATTAGCATATGTATCTTTAAAAAAGTTAGTAAACAACAGTAAGATGAGAAGTCAGAAAAGCATGACAGACTTAGGGTGAGAAAAATCAGAGTGGATGAAATTACCTAAGATGACATGAGATGACCACATGACATGATGTGGGATTCAAAAGTATTTCATTTTAGTGCTAACAGAAAATAAGAGCAGCACTTATTCAGATGGAGAATATTGCTGCAAAGACACATACAAAGTGTCTTACAGTGAAACTTACTTGATTTTTATGAAATAGAAATAAATATCACTAAAAACATAAAATTCAGCAGTGGCTTATTCGTGGAGTGGTTCTTGGACTACTGTTTTAATGTCAATTTGGAATATGGAGTTTTTTTTGTCTGTGTGTGTGTTTTCTCGGGGTTTAACTTGCTATTTGAAGACAAGAGACTCAACTCCTATGTGATACCAGGTCTAGAAATAAAACCTTGCTCACAGAGTGCGAGACAAATCCTCTCACCAATATGTTCTGTTTTCTTGCCACCTCTCCCCTGACTAAATGTAATCTTTGCAAGGGTTATTACCTATATCTAGATGACCGCTTCTGAGAATCTGTATCACTCATACTGTGCCCACTACTAACACTACCAGTGTCAGGAACTGGTGAATTCTGTGTTACTTTATCTTCAAAGGCTGGGTCACAGAACTTGAAAGTGTGAAGTCTACCAAACTTTATAACACTACCATGGCTTAGCTTGGTTGACTCATAAACTCTTCTACCATCCACATATATTTCAGCATCAGGGTTAGTGCGCTCAACTGAGACAATTCCATCCATATTGGTTATCACACAATGACGGGGAAGGATGTGAGATCCAAACAACTCCAGGTAGCTATTTGCAGATGACAGGGACTTTTCACTACCCACTTCGGTTATTTCCATGGGTAACCTGTGAATGTTTGCTTTGTAATCAAGCTCTCGGCCATCAGATGACAACTCCCGAAGATAGGGCAACAAATGTTCTGGAAATGAATTTGCCAGTCTTTCACCTATTGCTTTATCTGATGTGCTATCCATGGGTACCCTTGAGGGAGACTTAGACCTTCTCTTCTGTTTTCTGTATTGGGGCAAATTTGCCCTGCGACGCAAGTGGAAGACAACATGGCCTTGCTGTTGAGGCCATGTTGCAGCAATAGCCAGGGGGTTATCTTCATCATGAACAACTCTCTCTTTTCCAAGTGTACTTCCTCCATTTTGACCTCCAGGTGGTATGTTAACCATAACAAGGCAGAACTCGTCAGGATTTTCTTTTTCCATGCCATATTTTTCCAATGCTTCTTTGACAACATATGTTGTTGGATCACGCATTGAAACAAGAAGAGTCTTGTAGGGAATCTGAGGCTTGAGTGTTTCTGCAAAGATTTTCAAAGTACCTCCACTGTCTGTCCCTCCATCACTACTTTGAAATTCTTGAAGTCTACGCTCCAGCTTTCGTTGGCGGCGCATTTTCATGACTATTTCTGGATTTGAGATGCTTCGTGTAAAACTGGTTTCAGGCAATTCATCATAAAGAATTTGTGCAAGAGCAGAATCATCATTAGTTTTTGTAGGAGATGAAGGCTGACCTAAGATTTTAGCTTTCTTTGCTTCTTCTTTCCTTTTCTCTTTCAGCTCCTTCTTCTCTCTTTTAGACAACTTCCTCTTGAAACTTTGACCAGGTTCAAAGTCACCATCACTTGAGAAAACATTAGTAGTTATTAATGCTTCCTGATCACTCTTCAGTAGAAATCGCCCTTCCCTGTCACCTTGCAGCCACAACAGTTGCACAAACAAAGGCTTATCATCGTTCAATAGCTTCCTGGACTCTGAAAATAAATACATTTTGTATTTAAGACATTATTTCCAGTACCAGAGATTTTTAAAACTCAAGGGAGAAAATTTGATTGCTAGAATCTTTCTCAAAGAGTAAATATTCAAACCAAAGATTTAAAGAGATTCCTTTCTTAAAACTGCTTACCCCCTATAAGATTGAATTTACTTAACAAGGTGGTCATGGAAAGGCTGAGGAAGGAAGACAGGAAAGCTGATTCAACTCTAAGGAACAAATTCAGTTGAACCAACCTTCATCTAAAAGTACTAGCAAAGCATCAGCTTTCAGAGCCACTGTGGACATAGTCATTTAAGCTAAGAAATACTTCATCATTACACAGTCAAATACCATCAACTTACCCCTAAGCAGTCACCCTTGGTGCACAAAAAAGTCATTGGTTTAAGGAAAGTGGTTATACGAGGGGAAATCAACACACAAAACTAAAAGCTGAATGGATCCTGTAATCATTACTATTTCTTCACTCGTAAAAGAAGTAAAACAGATTTATGGCGTCAAGAAATATGAATTCTAAATCAATAACTCGCAGCAAAGTACCCACTAGGTCATTTTTGGTTTCTGCTAATGCACCTTTGCACCTTGAAATGTGTTCCATGCTCACAAAAATAACAAAAGAATGTAAAATTTCTGACTTTGAAAGTGGACACAAACACCTAAGAAGTACAAGCAGTGATACCTTAAGAGACAGTTTTATTAACAGCTTTTTAATATGGAACAAAACAGTTATTTGCAAAGTGGTTGCTAAGAGAAAGATGTTGCTTAACAAAGAGATCATTAGGAGAACGTTGACCACAAATTAGTCACTGGTTTTGACTTGAAAATCTCTAGAAAGGCATTGACTAATTAAATCTACTTCAAACAAAATTTGTCAATTTCCATATGCAAATGAAACAATACAATCTCCTCACTTTTCCAAGTTGTCAAGTGAAATTGTGTTTTTCAGATACTGCATAAATTTCAGCACCAGCCATACAAACAAAGGAAAGATTTACATTCAGTAACTACTAATTATTTCCACTTTTGACTTAAAATAGACTACCTTTTTGCCTAGTTAGTACACAAAATGTTACTTTCATCCTTTGACAACACTGCCTTGGAATAACATTGAAACAAAACCCTCATAAGGCGTGTGTTGAGAAGATAGCCATAACACTCACATTCTGTTCTTTTTTAGCATTCTAAATAAGTTGCACCACAATGTTAACAAAATAATTGATTTTATAAATGTGTTGAGCAACAACACAAAGAACTTATACGATGGATACATGAGAGCAGCCTAAATTCCGTTTCGCATCACCGCATTGTCAAGTACCCACAAAATACTATTCCCTAGATCTGATGAAAAGAACCTAACTTGAAAATGCTTCCCCAATCAACTGGTGTTGAAACTGAAAATATTAAATATCCTAGCAAATGAATGGCTGTTCTGATGAGACAACTTTGATTATATCATCAAGCAAATAAACTTGTACTAGACAAATTGTCTACTCTTGACTTCTTTCTGCATACTAGTTCTAAACCTTCGTACAACCGCACCGGTGCTTCTTTCATTCTCAAACTATGTAATTCATCCCAGATCACGAAAGACCTTAATCCAGAATACATCTCTGAAAAGAATTCTAATGTTACGAAACCAGGATGTACGGAAGTCGGTCTTGTGAGAAGTCCCAAATGGAACATGATGTATTTTAAGATCTATTCAATGGGAGCCAATATTTTAGATATTTACAAGCGTTAAAAATACTGCTCAGCACCAGTAAATAGAGCAGTAAATATTCCTTGAAAACTTTCAAAACGGTCAGAACCAAAAATACCACATTTCAATCAACAAAGAGCGACAAAAAATTGCCTCAATGAAACCTGGCTCGATTCGAAATTCGGCTGCTTACATGAAGAATGCCAGACATTCTCCGTCAGGAAATATGACACAAGAATTAAATACCAAAGGAATTGTGACGAAAGGTCAATCATACTGAAGGGAAGAGAATCTTTTCATGCAAGCAAAACCAGCGAGATACTACAAAAGCTTCAACGAGAATCCAAAGTTGTCTTCTAATCAATATCCTAGCGGTTATGATTAATTTTTCATCTCAACACATATTTAGACGCCCGAACTCGAGGCCTTGAACACGTACACCAAGAAATTAAAAGATCTCGAAAATAGCGCACGATGCGAGCTTTCGGTCTTCGAGTGAAACGTGTTGTAAGAATGGGCGTTTTCAAAATTAAATTGTTCACTGTATTCAAGCTGCGTTCTAAACTGGACGATTGGAACGATAAACAATGTACAACTTCATTCGACAGAGCTTGGCGATTCGTTTGACGCGTTGGAAGCCAGTTCGGGTGAGCGTAACGGCATCCATAGACCGATAAAAAGGGAAACAAATCCTTGAAAAATCGAAAGAATTTATAATTAAAAAAAGAATCGGGTCTCATTATAATTTATAACCAAACCGCATGAAAACGAGAAAGAGGACGTGAAATTTACAACCGTCACACGCGATTGTAACTACTTCATTTGTCTGATCTGAAAGGTTTCTCGGCTTACCTCCGCTTGGATGAACCTCGTAGAGAGAGTAATTTGGATTAGAAAGCATCTTCATATCCGGGCGAAACTTTTCCACCAAAGTTCTCGTAACTTCGTCCGCTGTTTCCGTGCTGGAAACGCGAACACATTTCGTGGACATTTTAGCTCCTGCATCTTGAAAATAAAACCGCATCACCCCACGGTAGAGTAAATTCTGCGAAATGAATATGGCGAAAGATTGTCAACCCGAGTAGCCTTCACTAACAAGGTATCTTTCAAGAAGCAGAATCTCGTTAAGAACGGTCTACATCTAAGAGTTAAAACTAGCTGTAAGGACAAAAACTACCTCATCAGGTTCGCTTATTGCAAAGATGTCTAAACGGCATGCGTTCCATTCGGCAATCAGTTTTCGCAAATGAGCGCGTTCCTCTTGCCGTGTTCGAATTCCATCCATGTTGCTTGGCGTTTACGAGGTTCAATCACATTCTAGGGGAAAGCATTCACCACAACACGACCCGTTAAATTTGATGTGAATAACAAATACGCATTTACACACTGAGGAGACTGTTTGACTTCAAACGAACTTCATCAACCGGACGAATATCCTAACCACCGTCAACGATGGCAAGAATGCATAATGACCGATCATAATTCTAGTCTGTGATTGGTCGGCACATAAACGGACTGTATCGTCACTCGTTCTTCTGTTTTCTTGCGGGGGTGGGTGGGGCACAGGCGTTATTTTAGTAGATTGCGTGAAAGTCCATCAGAGATACTATATCAAAACTTTCCACGGTTGAAAACTTCATTATATAGATAAAAAATTGGCGGCTCTCCATTAAACCTCAAGCAAATATTCAAAAGTGCGGTTTTTCGCGTTCCATGAGGAGAAAAATTAAAGTTGCAATAAGACAATTTATATTCTCACTGAAGCCACACGGCTCCATATGAAGTAGCTGTCCCTGACAAAACAACTATCAATTATTTGGTTTATTCAAATCGAAACTTGCATAATTAATGCAAAGTACAACCAAAATACATCGAACATAAAAGGCTAGTTAACAATCATCATACTCAGTTGACGTCATGATATAAAATCGTAAACAATCTTTGAATTCTTAGTCACTGAAATAGCGTGCGATTAGGGATAATTTTTTATTTACTTACTAATGTTTGTAGATGTGTAGCTATTTAGTGAACGTGAGCGGCACAAAACTTGGAAGGATAGACTGATCTTATCGCCGAGTTTTTTCAAGATCGTAACTCTAAAAGGCATTTTGTAAGGTGACAATTTTAATCAGGTTAAATTTCTCTCAGAAATGACCCCGTATAATTGCCGGAACCACGAGTCACGGTTCATAATTGTTTAAATTTCAAAGTGATGATGTAATCTCCATTGACCGGTCATACTGCCAGCAGAATAAAAACACATCTTATTCACTTAAAAAATTCACTTACTGACCTTTGAAAGCTGGAGCACAAAGTGAATTTTGATGAGGCTATCAGATGAGTAGTAGTGCACCCCTTTTTCGAAAATGGGAAAAAAATGAGAATGAAAAAACGATGTAATCAAAGTTATTTCCTACCTGAATAATTAAAATTCCATAACGATAATATAATGAAAATTAAAGTGTTCAAAGGGTAAAAATTAAAAAAACAAACAAATAAACTTGAGACTGACCCTTACTTTGTTAACGTCTCTTTTAAAACATTCCAATAAAAAATTAATGCCCTTTAACACTATCATTTCATAAACGTTTACACATGTTGCTTTAATTGGTAAATCCTTCCGGATTAACAAAATTTAAAACTCTACACTGAAATTTTGATCATCATGAAAGTTCGAGTGCTTTGTAGATGTATCAACGCCAATATCGCGTCGTTTTTCATAGAATGCCGGGTAAATTTCCGTAATCTGACATCGTGTCAATGAGCCATTACGTGAGTTTTCAGAATGCCTTAGAATTTTTTAAAACATTGTTCCTGATGACGTCATGTAAATTGCACAATTTCCACGTTCAGGAGAATGTCCTGCTGACCTGTTTAAATCTTTGTATGCATTATAAACAACAATATCCTGTAACTGAATGAAACAGCGCCCCTAGCCTCTGACAAGGAAAAAAACAACACAGAGAAAACTTAGGCTCTGAAGACTTTCTTCGTTGCAAATAAGAAACTTCGGTACAACTTTGGAAATTTGAGTAGTATTTCAAGCACACAAAAACAAAACTAAAATGTTGTCGCGAGGCTGCGAGGGCTTTCTTTGGCGCAATTAAGTGAGCTTCTGAAAAACTTTGGAAAATTTGTCGTGGTATTTCAAGCATTTGTCCTTTCTCTTAGTTTTACTATCGTAGTTTCCCGAGTTATGATAGATTAAATCAGGAGCATGTCCATTTTTTTCTGCATTCCTTCAAACGAATATCCAAAAAGATTTTGCACTCTCCTAAGAGCGGAGCTCGCGGAGCGTAGCCCCATAATTATACAAAATGGTAATAGTAACCCGTCAAGCCGAAAAAATTTGGACTTATGACCGTACGACCGACCGTACAAGGTGCTACTTTTAACATGCTTAGTCAAGTGTACCGCGGACACGCCAACGCCACGACTTTGTCCAGTAGTCTGGTGGTCAGTGCACTGGACTCTGAGTCGGACAACTCGGGTTTTAGTCCTGGCCGAGGCAAGGCGTTGTGCCCTTGAGACGTGCGGGAAAAAAAAATGCGAGCTCCGCTTTTAGGCTTGGCTCACTCTATATATTTCCACGGAATGACACTTACTTACATGGCAAAAACTGACATCATGACGTCCCTTGCAGTAATTTTCATCTCAATCATCCTCGAATAATCTGAGCTTACCAGATAGATGCTCCAACAAGTATATCGAGCAGGTTGTCAAGTACTGTGAAGTATGACTTTCTTTGACAACATCTCTCTAAGACTTACAGAAAACTTAAGGATGAAAGTTTGTTCAAACATTCCCTTACAGCTCCGCGCCGTTTTCCCGCCATTTTCCTTCACCATAGTCCAGCAATTACGTCACTTCTCTGGTGACATCCAACGGAGGTGTAGAAACGTGATCAGTAATAGCGGAACTCATAGCGGAGCTCGCAGAGCGTAGCCCCATAATTACACAAAATAGTAATAACCCAAGAAGCCGAAAAATTTGGATGTACGACCGTACGACCGTACAAGGTGCTACTTTTAGCATGCCCGGCCAACTGTACCACGGGCACTATCTTATAATCAGTCCTCTTCACGGACACGGAGAAGTTGCAAATGAGAATCCGTTAACATTACCCCGAACTTTATCCATAGTAGGGGCTTTAGTTTTGTTGAAGAGACGTGCGGGAAAAAAAATGCGAGCTCCGCTTTTAGGCTTGCCTAAATCTATATATTATGGGGTAATAAACTATACCCTTCGTTCCGTTCTTTTAACCGTTTCCTACTTACAAGGAAATGCGCCGCAGTATGTAAAGTTGATCTCCTGTAGTAATTGTGACAACTTTGCCCTTCTCCCAACTCACCAGCGTGTTTAATTACTATTACCCTTGTGGAGGCTACCGCCGAAAGCCTTCTCACCTTTAAAAACGCTGTTTCCATACTTCAACAGCAAGGACAGGTTCCCCACTTAGCTGACACGTTCAAGCAACGTTCAGGGTTGCATTTTTTCGAGTAAATACGCTAAGGGCTGCTCTACTCCTGGATTACATCAATATTCATCCGTGTGGCAGGTGTTAGGTTGGAGGGGGAGAAGGGGCAAAAATAACTCTAAAACAAGGGAAACGCTCCCAATTATCCTGCTCAAGCTTGTAACCTCATACGCTTGCTCTTTCGATGTTTCTGGGGTCAAAGCAAACAAAGATTGAGAAAGTCCCCCCTCCCCAGTTACCCTGACCTCAAAGAGGAAGTCCAGAATCTTCAGGATGAAAACACTTGCAAGAAATTTGGAAATACAAGTGCTTCACATGGCATTCCTCGCTGAAATTCAACAGTCTCTCCGTAGTAACGAATTTCAAATTAAAAAAAAGGTTGAAAAGACTTCCTCACACTTAAATTCTCTTAGTCACATAACTGATGATGTTAAAAACATTCAAACAGTATTACAAGAGTATGACTTTAATTCCAAGGGAAAGTGGAAACTACAAATTCTGACATAGTTTCTAAAGTACTACTTGCTAACCTAACCTTTCAATCTTTGACAGATATACAAATACTTACATAAACTTTCACTAAACTATATTTCTACATCGACATCAATAAAATTAATGTAGGAAGCTAACAAAGTATATTTGTAACATATCACAATGGAAGTACTTTTAAACTTTGCATCCTCTCTATTTAGAGACTGATTGCTATCTAAACTCTTATCCAGTCAAGAAACAAACTTAACAGGAAAAACAGTAAAACAGTAAAAAAAACCAGGTTTATGAGATCTATGGCAAGCATGTAAGTCACCAATAATTTCCCATGAAGCTTATTAACAATAAAAGTAGTGTTTTCAAGTTAGGTGTCCATGACGTTTAAAAATGCAATATAGAGAGAGATGCCAAACGAAGTATGTTGAAACCAAAATAATCATCCCTTTGATGTAATGGTGGAACTTATTCTAATATTACATAAAGTTGTCAAGAAAAAAAAGGGCAAGGCAAACAAAAGTAAAGGGTGAGTAAACTGCCCTTCCTGGTGGAACTGACAGGTAAATGTTATAATGAGTAGTATTGATTTTGTGACTACATGTTTATGTATAAATAAAAAAAAATTATTCAGTCTTCTTCAACTTCATCCTCCACCTCAAGCTCATGTTCACCATCACCATTCTCTTCATCCCCATTAACTGCCTCAGGACTATCCTCCTTCTCATCCCCATCAGCTTCAACCTCTGCTTCTGCTTCAGCTTCCTCTTCTTGTTCCTCTTTCTCTGGACTTGGAGATTTCTTCTCCTCTTCCTCCACAGATTTGGATCTTGAGCGCTCTTTTTCTTTTGACTGTGAACGTGACTTGCGGGACTTGGAGGGTGATCGGGAGCGAGAGGAAGAACGATGACGTTTCTTTGGGGATTTAGAGCGTGACTTGGATTGACTTCGTGAGTGTGAATGGCTTCTGTAAGGAAAAAAACAAAGAGAAGTTTGATGACAGAATGCATTGATTACAAACTAATTTACACCTGCAATACCACATGTTCAAACTAAGGACAAATTTTTAACTATCAGTGTATACCTTTTCCAACAAAGATCACAAAATATTTGGATGACAGATGTCCAACAATCAACCCATGTTGAACAAAATCACTTCATGATCTATTACAAACTGTGCAAAGCTTGCCTTTCTTTCTTTTTCATCTAACCATTTAAAATTAAGAACCTGTAAGGGAGTTTTTCCAAGGAATCAAGAATCTGTAGTTTCTTTCCATTTTCAAATAAGCCTTTAAAAAAGTTCAGTAAAAATACATACCTTTTTCTGCGTTTTGGGGAGCGAGATCGACTGCGACTGCGGGAACGTCGTGAGGAGGACCTCACTTTTTCCTAAATGCAAAAAAATTAAATTTAGGATCCTGCCAACAAAGCAAAAAGACTAAGATATGTTACTGAAGTTTCCTCCCTCTAAAAGTTTCTGCAATCAATCTGTTCCTATCATAGTCACCACTACCAGGTTTGTACGTAACTTTGCTTTAAAAAAAAAATTCAGATTGTTTCTTGGCAATCTTAAGTAGAACATTTAGTCCCAAATGCCATAAAACCACCACAAGCTGTATGAACAATCTTGAAAATTCAAAGACACAATAACATAGAAATTATCTCATTCTCTTATGCAAGAAGGAAATCACAGCTTACAACTTTGAGACGGATACGTTTGCCATGCAACTCTGTATCATCAAGCTTTTTCAAAGCTGCCTTCATGTCTTCCTTGGATGCAAACTCCACAACTCTGGAATGGACAATTTACTGTTAATGTAATGTACCAAACATTTATCTAATTCAATATATAAGTTAAATAGACACAGTTGAAAAATCATTCACTGGTCACTAGACCAAATGCAACCAGAATCTTCCATTAGAACTTCTGACTAAAACTTTGCTGCTTTCATTAGAGACATCAAAAACACTTTACAATTACTTCTGTAACAAAATAAGAGTGATGAGTAATAAAATCCTAGAAGAAGACTTCAATTCAGCTTTGCTTCACTGACACAAATTCATAACACAACAGAATAAGAAGCATCTCCTAGGACGAGTATTTAGGTAATATTTCATAATTTAGCAACTACATGGCGAGCACACTAACTAGCAACTACAGTAAAGTTCTTTTTTAAATATCATGCATAAGAAAAGATACACACCCTTCACCCTGCCTTCTCTTGTGTGCATCCGCAAATGTGACTTCTCCAGCCTTGGAGATATACTCTTTCAAATCCTGAAAATACATATCATTTTCAGTCATGTACGCTCTAAAAAACTTGGCAACATTGAGAGCAGAGAGTACATATGAAAAAAGTAGTCCTAGTCTTCGTTAGACCCAGGCTGAATGGAAATTTTGTTTTGCTGACCTTTAGGTGTAGAAGAATTTCACACAGCCAATAAAATGTAATGTTTTACAGTTTCTAGACTTAAAGCACTCTCCACACCAAATAATATTTGAATATGAGAAGTAATATGTAAAAGGATGATGCTCTGTTAAAGACCTAATCTCACCATAAAGACTGACCCAGAATGAACAATAACTTCTTAAAAGACCTATTAATACTCTTTTTGGGCTGCCATCAATGGATCACTGTTCTTGAAACCATGATACTTACCTGTCCGACAATCTTTTTCATCAATTTAACAGAATGAAACTTTACATAATGGAAACAGAATGTGGCTGGCGTGCGCTGGTGGCCAACTGTAAGACTAAGCTCAGGTGAGAGAGAAATCACACGATGGTTGGATGGCCACAATAGCACTAACTTAAGCCCTGATTGTCTGTTTGGTGAGGCAAGGGTCGGAATGGAAATTTAACATGGCATGGTGCTCAAACGTCTTGGCACTTGCTGCTACAGTTGGTTGGGTAGCAAAAGTCAAGGTCAGATAGTGCACTCCTGGATCAAGGTCAAATTGCCATCTGACTGAGTGACCGACTGATTAGGACAAGGGCAGACGTACTGGCTAGGACATGGCAAAGCTAGGTTTGGACATCTACAGATCAAGAGGTGGCGATCGTAAAGTTATTTTTTTAAAGAAATTATGATAACTCCACATCATACCAATTGAAATATTTTCCTAGTTATGCTAATTGATTTGAGGCATACACCATTCTAATCAAATCAATTCAGTTAAAGTGCAAACAATCAGAAAGCTTTACAGTGAAAAAAAAAAATTAAAATAAAAAGGCAGCTGAACAAAAAGGTTAAGTAAAAGGTATGCTTTCCTCATTCTCCTAAAAATTGACAGTCAAAGACTACTTATGGATACTGATATAGCACAATTTTTATAGCATTGGAAAAAACTAGAGGTTAAATAGTGACGCATCCCACATATTTCCCTGTTCCACAAGAGTAAGATGATTCAAGACTATATTGTCTGATTGACATTCAACTGATAATTGAAAGGTAAAAAATAGTAATATTAACAATAATGATAACAGTAGTGACATTATAAGAATTTACAGGAGCTAACTCAAAAGCCTCATGGTTCCCCTATCCTCTGGGCTCCAACAATGATATCCTATGCTTCTTTTAATTTAGCCTGTTAATTATAAATAATTTTCTTATTTTATTGCCATTCCATTTTTTGAGTCTTTTGCTTTATACAAAAAAGCATTCTGCATTTCTGGATATTCCATCATTATGTGTCTGAATATAATCCTGCAGTTCTGCTAATCCACTGTTCCTCCATTCCATCAGTCTTTCACATAATTCAAGGTATTATATTTTGCAGCTTGCTTGCTTCACAAATTTAGTGGCCCTTTTAGAATAAGTTACTGATTCAAACAGTACAATACCCTCTTTTCAAAGAAAAATAATTCCTCAAAGCTTCCATGATATGCAGATCACATCTATTGAGAAATTTCTGTGAGGAAAAGTTTTCATTTAAATTATGCGTCAATGGATGCCCCTGTGACTAATTTTGGGTTGTTCATCTTAAATAGTGTTAATAGTGTTGTGCTAAGAACTAAAAAGATTGTATCTTAAGATCTACATAATTTGCTGATTTAAACAACAAAATGTTCTTTCTTTGAAGAAAAATTTTTACTCTAAGTTTTATGATGTGCCAATCATATTTCTGCAAGGAAAACTTATGTTTTTAACTGTGTGAATCCTGAAATAATTGAGGTATTTTTCACCTTCTGCTGTTTTCTGTAGTGTCATAGCATGAACTAAAAACATAGTGTGCCAGTGTCTGTAAGCCATCAAAAAATCACAAAAGGAGAGAACTCATCTGTGTATTGAGTGTGAATGTTAGACTACTTTGACACTCCAAAACAAATAATTAGTAGCACTAGGAAACATCAGGTAAAAACCAGGCAAGATTGGAATTCTATCATTACACGCCCTCATCTCAATGACATATGTAGATTTGCCTCCTATAGGAGACAGTAGCCACAAAAAAACTAGTAAATGTAAAAATTCTGAACTTTGATGGTATGGAGACAGGACAAATTGCAAACATCAAGTTGCACAAACCTGCCAGTTAATCCGTGAAGAAAGATTTTCCACTGCAAGTCTGTGTTCAGTTCTGAGAGGTGGTGTGCGGCCCCGTCTCTGACTGCTCCTGCTGCTGCTTGAGGTGGTGACATTGAATAGACAAAGAGATACTTTACAGACTGACTGTGTATAATGATATTCACAACATGTATCTCTGTGCAAGACATACATTTCAAACAACAGAGCAAGATACAAGCAATCAAGTTTAACTGAGGGACGAGAACACATTCAGAATAACTCAGTGTTAGTGTGGAAAACATACATGTACTCATTAATAGTTTTTCATTTAATTTAAAAGTAAGAGTGACTAAGTATGAAATGTTGTGTTACAAAGTAGTACTAAGTAAGTATGGGGAAGGAGGTCGTATGAAATTGAGCCGACGCAGGGAGAAAATGATGTTCAGTATAACAGCATGTCGATGACTTTGTCACACGTTATGTTTGTTTTGAAATTTCCGTGCTAGATTACTCACCTAGGTTGGCTTCTATAACCATAGTCTTGGCTTCTGGAAGGATTTCTTGCATGTTCCACGACGACTCTGCGTTAGAACGAAGAGGAAGAAGGCGATAAGCCAACTTAATAGAGTGTACTTCGTAAAATTAAGCAGGTCTAATAATTCAAGGTTAACCAGTAGGCAAAAGTTAAACCTTTATCACTATACTACACAGGTGACATTCAAAACAACATGAATTACTGCAGCTTTCTTGTTTTAAGCCAAAGCGGCCGAGAGGATCGCATTTCTAACTTCAATTTAAGAGTAAAAGAGTTGAAAAGCTTACCTTTCACCTAACAGTTCCCTCCCATTCAAGTCATAAACGCAGTCATCGGCGTCTCTTGAATCATCAAATTCCTAAGGAAAGCAAACAATAAGTATAAATTACGAACATGTTGCACCTAGCGATCGAACAAAGCTAGAAAATTCCACAAAGTTTCGCAATAAGTTTTCCTCGTGGACTTAGCTTACCACAAAACCGTATCCAAGTTTAATGCTGACTTCCCGTATCCTTCCGAATCCCCGAACGAATCGTTCCAAATCTCTTTCTCTTGTGTCTCTAGGAAGTCTTCCGAAGTAAACTCGTGTGCCACCACGAGACATATTGAGCCACCACAAGTAAGGTAAAAGTCCAACGAGATTCAGCAAAATGGAGGTTCACGAGGAAGCTGAAGAACCAACGCCGATGTCCCGGATGATCATGAAATGCTCCTTTTGTCTTTCACCTGGGCTCAGAAGTATACATCAATAAAGGTCCTATGTATCTCCTCCCCCATGAACAAAGACCTAGCGTAAAGCGGTGCCCATCAAAGGCGCGTTCAACAGAAGAAACAGAAGAAAGAAAGGACAAAAACAAAAGAAAGAAAGAAAGAAAGAAAGAGAGAGAGAAAGAATGAAAGAAAGAAATCGGAAAAAGAAGAATTGTTCCATTGATATTCTTCAGGCGGTAAAGGTCCTTTGATGAAAGATCAAGCAGCTCTGAAGAGGAAAAATATTTATTCTCTCATCGTCCGCTGCCAGAACCGCTCTTCATAGACAAATTATTCCTTTCTTATTTCATATTTGTAAATTTGTAGAGCTGAGATATTAAATTTCGGGAAATTCGCATGGCCTGAACGTAGAATTAGAGGAAAGAGAGCTAGTTAGCCTGTTCATCAAACAAGCGGCTTCCTTTAGACATACGTACGTACATACATCCTTTATTTGGTAAAGCAGGTTGAGTAGATGGCAGCTATTGCTGATGTGGACCTGCTGTCTACTTAACACTATGATAAATTTACACAGACTGTTTTTAATTTTTGTTAAGGTTGTTAGAATAATTGTCGTCATCAATTTCGGTTCTCTTTCCAAAAAAAAAAAAAAAAAGTAGCAGCAGACAAATGAAAGCAAGAAGGGTATTTCGATTACTCGATTAAGTTTTAAATATTTTTTGTGGCGATTGTGCCGCTTCAGGAGGGCATGGGCTCCTGGTCGCTTTTTAAACTACCTTTTTGGGGGCTATCCCACTCATTTTCCAGTAAACTTTAGATCACTGGCAAATTACCATTTTTTCAGAGAATTTTCGATTTTTGAGGGCAACGAGTGGAAAAGAAAAAAAGTTAGTCATCTGAATATCCCCAGAGAAATATCGTTACCGGCTCGATGAATACAAATCCCCGCTGTCAAACTCTTAACAGTAACGCAATCTAATTTGTCTGGATGGAACGTGACACAACTGAGTTTCAAGGATTTGCCTCTTTTTGGCGTTCAAGCTTGATCGCAACGCCTGGTGACTTTCGACTGGTGGCAAATCGTGATCACCAGGAAAGTCGTTGGGATCAGAGGTGTTTCAATTTTTTTTGCTATCTTTGAAACTCCTCTCAAACCGAAAGCATGATTTTGATATGCTTGCGGTGATGTCTTCGTGATCCAGGTCTTGCACCAGTTGATATGAAAAGACGGCGTGAAGAATTATATCGACATGACATCGACCTTCCTCCCTCCTTGTCGATTTGTCCTGTTTGTGGTACATCTGTTTCAAAAGAGAACATCGGTATTCATGTAGAGGAACATTTTACACAACCCTCCACATCGTCTGAGGCGAATCGATTCGATGATTTAGGTGAGACGAGCATTTTCGAAGCGCGATTTTCAATCGTGAAAAGTATTTTAAAAGCCTCTAGCAGGTATGTGGGAAGTAAATACAATAAGGTTTGTTTTTGTTTGATTTCAGTTCCGGGATTCTCGGATACAGTCGATTTTCGGGAATGTAATTACGGAAGATGTCAACAGATAGGTTAGTTAAATTGAAACTATTTTATTCCTGTCATGAGTGACGGAGAAAAACGTTTTTTAAAATCATAAAATGGTTTCCTATAAATATATTAATCCACGGTATCCTGTGCGAGTTTTACATTCAATTCTATACGTTTAAACACGTATTTCGTTAAAGGAAAGTTTGAGTTGTCACGTTTACGTTAAACTCGTGAGATCTGTTTAATTGATTTTAAACAAGATGATTAGAAAGTCAAACAAGTAAATTAAACTCAATTAAGACAAATAATTAGCAAACATCAGCTAATGATGTTATTTCAATCACCGTTAATGACAGGTTTTGACTAGACATAAGAACTGATATCATAAATTAGAATTTGAAAAATTTCAAAAATCAGTATTACTTCAATTGTTAATCAACCAAAGTTCAAATGTTTTATCAACTCCTATAGATGGCAGAGCCAAGCAGTCTTGCTTAGAGGGACAATCTGTTGTCACTGCCACAGAATACATACCATGTAAGCTTTGAAATTGAAAGAAGTACTTTGCAGAAAATATCTTGATTTCAAGTCTGCTGCAAAGAACAAAAACATAAACAAGACAATTTGGTTTCATCCTGCAATTTGATAAAGTAAATTGGCTACCATAGAGAGTTTCTAAGTTTTTAAAACTCTTGGGAGTGGTCAATTTACACTATCAACCCAATTAATAAAACCAAATTTTCCTGTAAAATCACCATCAACGCAGCATCACAGTTTCTTTAGAAACTTACCCCCTTTTTAAATATGAATTTTTATAAAATGGTCATTAGAAAACAAGCTATTGTAAACAATATAATACAAATATTAATAAGTGTCTCAATGATGAATTTTTGAAGTGCATAAATATTTGGAAACATCTAGATGTACCTTAAAATAAAGCAATTCTTTGATGAAAATATTATTAAAAAGATAAAGTGCTACTACAAAATGACTACAAAAAAAATCTGCTTTTCATTCTCTTCTTATTCCATTATTATTTTCTAAGAAGCACCAGCAAAAATATTGTTTCCAATCTTAAAAAAAGGTTTTTTTTGTATAATTTGTTACTCAAACTTTCTTCCATTACTAAATAATGTATAGGATAAGATAATGAGAGAATGAGATAGAGATATAATCAATATACATCATAAAGTTTGTCTTTGATACAGTCTAATTTTTGGGATAGAACCATTTCAAACACACTCTATAGTATATCATCATCATTATTGTCACGGCTATTGTTTTCTGTCTTAAAATATGACATCTTCACTCTCTTAATTATTCTATATTCTTAGTTTCTGCACCAGAGTGGGATGATCACATGTTTGCACACTCATTGGAAGATCAAGCCATAAATGATGCTACTACAAACAGTCTGCTAGGGGTAACATTTCAGCCACAGGAACAGTATGAAGTACCTGTGATTTACACACAGAGTGACGCTGCTCTGGCTCAGGAACTTGAAAAACAGGTAAAGTAGATACATATCATTCCTGCTGGGTAATTTTTCTCCCTGGGATCACTGATACCCCTTTAAAATTTTCGGTATTGCTTGAAACCTTGTACAGCAGACAGTGACAGAGTTGAAAGGATTCCATTTTAGTTACTTTGCTAGGGTTAGGTACTAATATTTTTTCCTTGATTTGCTTGTTGTAAATCTATTATGCTCAAAAGTACAGGCTCAAATTACAAACACTGTAAACCATCATTCTTTTATCACAAGTGATTAGAAAGTAAAAAAAGCTTCATATTGACTGTTGTAAAAGTTTAAGTTGTACACTTGATGCTCCTCTCCAGGACAGACTGTACTTTTTGATGTTAGATCAAACGTTGATTCTCTGTGGTAGCAATTTTATTAAAGTGGGAAATTAGATTTTTTCACAGTTTTTGTACTTAAAATAGGCTATTGTTTATTTTGGTTCTTGGTCTTAAGGAAATGGAACGACTTGAAAACCAGCCATGTGAGTGGGATGATCACTTGTTGGCTCAGGCACTGGAGAGTGAACAAAGAAGAGAACAGGAGGAACAAAAACTTCAAGAGGATGAGGAGCTAAAGAAGCTTCAGGTTTTAACAAATGATATTGATTTGATAAAGTGCTCTCAGCCTCCCATTTTTTTCATTTCAGTGACTTAAAGGTCAGGGTACTGGACTAAAAGTGGACAGATTTCGTTCCCAAGCAGGGTAACTGGGTTGTGCTCCACGCCATTATCAGGCATTAGTTTGTTACATCTGTAAATGGGCTTCATGCATTTCAGCAAGCAGACTGTGTTTACTTTGTGCCCAGACATAAAAGCATTAATATTCATTCTGACAGAACCCCCAGTTTATTGAAATTGTGTCCTCTTTGTATTCTGCCTGTTTTAACCAATATGAGCTACATGTGCCTTGTTTGGATTGTTCCCTGTTGCACAGCTGGTACTAAGGTGCAACCATGGCTGATGGTTGAGCATCCCATTGAGGATAAGTTAAAGTCAAGAAAAGCTTAGTCATCTCAGCATGAAGCAACAAGGAGTCTTCCTATTGCTCAAATTATTCTGCATGATGTGACTTGCACAAGAACTCAACATTATGATTCCATCTTAGGTTCAAAAACTAGCTCCTCTGTTTCAAGTCTCATGCACTGACAACTAAGCCACCAATTGGCTTCCAACGAGCATGCCTTGTCTTTTTTCCCAGTTGGATTGAAAATTTACAATTGTGGTTCAAATTAATAGAAAAGTTAAATCTGCAGAATCAGTTTACCATTGAATCTATTTTTTTGCTATATCTTCTCAATTTAATAATTTTGTCTTTTTCTCTTACCTCTTGTATTGAAAGTCCATGTATGGTATGACTTCCTCTGGAGGTTATGTTACTCAGTACAGTCGTGCCCTTGAGAGGGATGTGACCAGGAATAAAGCATCTGTGGGTGATTACTATGCCAGGAAAGCAGAAATGTTAAAAATTCTAATGACAGACAATGATAGTGGAGAATCATGCACCAGAGGTAACAGTGAGATTTTGTCTTTTTGTCCCATAAGTTGCTGGTATCAACTTATTATCTTTGGTTCTGAATATCTCAGAGAGATTTTCTTGACTTTTTTTGGCTTCCATTTTGCCAAACTTTGTTTCATAGAAAGTGAAAATACAGTCAATAGAATTAATACTTTTTAGGTAGTAGTTTGTTATTCAAATTATTGAAGCCATTGATAGCAGTTTAAATAAATTGTCCATTATTTCTTACTGAATGCACTATGGATTAATCCAAATCATAGAAAGTTGCGATATTAACTGGAAGTGTTTACTTTTGTTTAAAGGCATAATTCCTCAACTTCATCATCGATATGATATGGGGGTCAGTGGCACCAAAGCTGCATGGCTAGCTTTAGATACAGATCATTACGCCAGCACTGTGGGTGATGCAGGCTGGGGGTGTGGCTACAGAAATTTGCAAATGTTGATTTCTGCATTGCTAAAAATGGATACCTATAGACCAGTTATGTACAGTGGTGAGTGCGTTATTTTAAAAACTTTCATTTTTCTTCAATATGATCCACATTCATAGGAAAAGAAATGAAGTTCAGAGGCTAAGGGGGTTCTAACCCTAGTTTAAAAGTAATCAGGAGATGCTTAAGATTTTTTGCGTTTAAGTTCATGGGTTAGAGAATTTTTTTGGTGTAGAAAACTTTGACAAGTATTTGGTAGCTTGATGAAAGAGTTGAATTTTCATGGGATTGAATTATAAGGGGTTCTAAACAAGTTATGCATCACTAGCTGCAAATTTTTCTCATTGTGCAGCTTAACATTTTGAAACAAAAAGTTTATTTGAGATCAACTTACCAGTGAGAGTGATTATCTTGTGTAGCACTTTGATGCCAATGTTCATTTTTGTAATGCAGTTGTTGTTTCTTGAATTCATGGTTGACTGCTACTTCTTGCATTCCTTTTTTGTTTTTTGTTTTTAACCTAATGGTAATCTTTCCACAATATAGACAATCTTTAAAAGTGGATGTAAATACATGAATGTCCATTTGCTCAGGGTATCCACCTTTTGGAAGAGCCTGCTAGTTAAGTTTTGATCACGCAACTAGGAAACTAATTTATAATAAGTTTCATTTCTTTGTGTGATCAGTCGGTGAGAAGGTACCATCTATACCCAGAATTCAACAGTTTATAGAGGCTGCCTGGACAAGTGGTAAGAGGAAATTGTTAGTGAATGCTTTTAAATCTTCCAAGGCCCAGGGTCTGTTCAGAAAACAAGTATTTTCAAGAAAACACTGGAAAATTCCACATGCTATTGTCTTAGTTAAGTAAACAGTAGTATTGTGTATTTTAAAATATTAGTCAACATCTTGTGTAATGATTTATATTTTCTATCAGAATAAGGAAATGAATTGTTGTCAAAGTCAATGGGCTGGTTATTTAAATAAAGTTTAGCCGTTGTTTAACAAACCCACATTCTAAGCCATCTTCAATTTAGCAGAACCTTTCATCTGAACATTTTTTTTGTGAACAGTGTCAAGAGCACCAAAAATCTAATAGTGGATGGACATTTATTTAAATAATTAAATCAATCTTTTTATAAAAAAATCCCAGAGGTCCATTGCTTGCATAAAACAGCAGTTTGGGTTGGACCTCATTTGAAGAACTGGCCCAATGAGTTTAAAAAATCACAATCATCTCAAGTACTTTCTGTATGAAAGGCAGCAAATTTTTTGCCCTAGTTACTTGTCAGGACCAATTGCTGCACTTAGGAGAAATACCTATTAGTAAAAACTAATCATTTCTTTTTGCTGTAAATTTACCTAAAAGGATTCGACAGGCAGGGTTCTGAACAGCTTGGATGTAAATTGATCAATACCAGAAAGTGGATTGGAGCCACAGAGATAGCAACAGTCTTGAGATCACTACAGATAAGGTACAGGCACCAGAGTCCTTCACTGGTTTGAGTTCCTTTTATCTTAGATGCTCATGATCAGCTCTCACCAGAAATGCCCGGATAAGACCCCCTTTCTCACAAGCCTCCCTCCTAAAGCTTCAAGCTTCTATTATGTCCCATCTCTAATAAGCCCCCTTTCTGATAAAGGGCCCTCCCTGATAAGCCCCCCTCCCTGATAAGTCCCCTCCCTGATAAGTCCCCTCCCTGATAAGCCCTATCTCTTAAAAGCCCCTTCTCTAATAAGCCCCCTCTCTAATAAACCTCCTCTCTAACAAGCCCCTCTCTGATAAGCCCCCTCACTCGAACAAGCCCCTCTCTATTACCCCCACCTCCCTCCTTTTTAGTCACATCTGGGTGTGAGAGGGTTAGACCTCCAGGAAAATGAGAGTGTTGAAAAGTAGACCAAGAGTAAGAGCTGAATGGCAAATTGTTAATGGTCAAGGCTGGCTATGGATGGATAAACTTAATGGCAGATGTTCAAACCCTGACATAGCTCCTTTGTCATGTTTTCCAGCACTTTAATCAGTATTTCATACTTTTATGTTTTTTGCAGAGCTAAGATTCTTGACTTCCACCAAGCCACTGGTTGTGATGGCACGCATCCTGAAATGTTTTCGTGGATAAAGCGTTACTTTAGCTGTAACATAAGCTCTGCAGCAGTCCCAGTGGGTTCCTCAGTTCTCAGACAAACCTCAATTCCTCCACTTTACCTTCAGCATCAAGGTTTGTAACCTTTGCTTGCTTGTGATTTGATTCATTTCATGAATTAAGCCATTCACTCTCAGGAGTGACCAAAACTTAATTTTTCATAGCACCTCTCTCTGCTCAAGACTTTTAACCCTTTAACCCCTAAGTGTGACAAACATCTAATTTCTCCTTACAATATCATCCCCAGGTCACCCCTTAAGGTCATGAGAATAAAAGAAATGATCACTAACTGAAGTAGCTTTTGATAGTTAATCAAATTCTCCTCGTCAGCATCTTAGGAAATATGTAGAGAACAGTATGATTAGTTGTTACCTACAATTGACAGGTATTCCACCGAGGAGGGGTAGCAATACCCCATGTCACTTCATGCTCCAAAGATAGAGACAAGCTCTGACAGTGATGAGTCAGGCTAGGACATAATACTCTACTTTTTGTCCAACAGGCCATAGTCGGCTGGTGATTGGAGTTGAGGAGCATTCTGGTAAGGATGGTGGTCTCTACCTCCTGTTGTTTGATCCCTCCCACTCGGCCAAACAGATGCAGAGCCTCTTGGAAGACATTAAGAGTAGCAGTTCTGGCTTACGGCACTTACGACGGTCGCTGAAGCAGATGAGGTGTAAGCAGTACCAGATCGTGTATGTAGAGGGGATTATGGACCCCCCAGAAATGGAACAAAGTAAAACCTTAGACTCTCTTAGAGTACCTTGAGATAAAGAAGTAAGTTTGCAAGTTGTCATGGGGAACAAATTTATAAGCAATTAATCACAAGCAAACATCTTGCAAATCTAGTAGCAGTTTTCTTGTGTTACTTGAGGTAGAAGATTCCTTTACTGTGGTTACTGTTTGATGTGCGGGCAAGTTCCTAAAAACTCCAACATAGGTAAAAATTCCAAATAAGATAAGGAGGAAGGTTTTGAAGTCAACAAAGTTAAATAGACTACAATATGCAAAGGGATTGATAAAACCATAGGCTCTATAGTTATAGCTTTTGAAGTGATCCGTTTCTGATTGGTTTACAGATTAGCTTTGTAAACCATGAAAAAAAAAATGGTAAAAGTGACTCATAAAGTTCTTGAGACTGAAAAATGTCCTTTTTTGCTGAACCCTGAGCTATTCAAGTTTTTTTTTTTTTTCTCTGATGACACATTTGATTAGGATGATATGGCGCAACAAACGGAATTACATGAAATTATGGCTAAATGGCTTTCGTTTGAATGCTCACAAACGATATTATGAAACTTTAAAAAGAGTAACTCAAGACAGGGGCTCATGCCCAAGATTTTATTCCAAAAGTGTAAGTGCTGGAAAATGTCTATTTATTTATGAGAATAACTTCAACAGTGCGAGAGTGTAATTAAATGGAACAAGAACATAGATATCTATTTATTGTTGAAATCCTATTTTGGGAAATAGTTATATTTCTATAGTTGAAAACTAAAGCAATACAATTTATTTTATTTGTGGAGAAGATGTGATAGAATAAACGCTTCAAGAGGGGACGTTTTGTACTTATTTTATTCTAAGATTTTTGGCTGGATAGGTTTTTATTACTCAGAATTAGCTGATAAACCCTTAAAATAGCAAGTAGAGTAGTTTAGGTCCACATTTCAAACAAAAGTTATCAAAAGTTATGGTGCCCTACTGCGTGAATTGTTATGAACGGTGCAGCAAATTTGACTGTGGCGCGTCAGAGCCTGGGGCGACTTTCTAATCCCCCATTTGGGTGACTCTTTAAGACTTCCAGTCTTTCTTCCATTGATTACAGTACCCTTTAATTTCATTGGCTTAGGAATAGCATCTTTTCTTCTCCAAAGCAGCCTCTTCTTTTCCTCTGGTAGCCAGCGAACATGCAGGGGACACCTTGGAAAGCCTAAATTTGATAGGCTGAGAGCTGAGCATGCATTCTCCGCATTTTCAAATACGACATGAGCGCTACAATCACTCCGAAAACTGATCTTTCTTATCGGACCAAAGTGGCTGAAAATTTTTTGAAGAGATTCCTCTGTATAACAGTTTTCTTCTCCGTGGTTTCGCCAGCGAACAGTTAAAGTTGTGTAGGGTGGGGAGTGCTGCACGCTGTACAGTCGTGTATAATCCCGGACAGATTTTTCCAACTGGCTTTGCTGGTAAACACTTAATGGTTGCAGACCCAAGCGCCATTTTGCAGTGGCCGCGTTATTCGGACTGTACACCTCCAGAGCTCTAACAAGGCCTGAAAGAAAAAAGAACTTCTTAAAATCTTTATCTGAATTGTATAACATCAACTGTGATGTCTTTCAGCTATGGATCTACCAGAAACAAATGAAACGTCATCAGTACTTCCTTAAATTTAATTACTGAGTTGCCAGTCCTAGTTGCCATGTAAACGTAAACGCTGATATGGTTTAATACTGTTCAAGAGCTTTTGGGAGGAGACGCTGAGACGTTTGCATTCTCGCTTATTAGGCGCGCGAAGAAAAAAATAGCGATTTATTTCGCAACCAAACCAAGTTTCTCTTCTCGAAACTAACACAGTAGGTGCTTTTCGTTACTCGAAAGAAGGAGTTAGGTACAGAGCCTGACATTCTTTCCAACGTCTCTTGAGTGTAGTTTAACCTACTTTCTGATGATCCTCTATGTTTCAGCGCAAAAAAGTCGGTGCTATTTTCCCTCTTCATAGCAACTAGTCACACCCCGCAGGCTGCATAAGGCGTCCCACAACCACTACGTTACATCGCCAAAACAAGGCACCCCTGACCATAGGCGAAGGACCCTCAAGACCTGGGGGAGGGGAAGACTTTCTTCCCTCAAGGAGGCCTCTAAGAGGCAACAAAGTGACATGATTCATATAACGAATATCAAGAGCATTTAAGGAAGAAGTTCATTGATTGGAATCAGCTACCGAGATGCTCTTAACGTTCGAAACATATTCGATGAAATATGTGGCACACATAGGCTGTCAGGGGCAAAGCGATAGAGCAAGAATTCTCTAGACGGGCCGATTCTCAAATAATTGGAGGGTACGTTTGACAACACTTTTATGGCGGCTTGAATTGAAAGAGCACTCAGCATCCTACCTTAGTATCTATAGGGATGCTAGTTTTCAAACAAAACTTTGATCTGGACAGGGTGATCACGCTGGCATAAACTTAAGACTCTACTTACATACCCGGAGATTCTCTTAAATAACCCTTCAGACAGCTCACGAGCGGCCGGTTTTCATTTCCTCCTTTAGTGTATCCTGGTGATGGCAATAAATAAGTTTTGCGGTCGTCCACATCTTCGATCTTGGCTAAAACGTCTTTTATTTGACTTTCTCTTCCATCTGTAAGATCCGCCCTCCTCTTGGCCCAGAGTTTAGTGTGTGGTTTGCGTAAAGGTAGAACTGTCATAACGTGATCGAGAGAGACCGACATGATACATGAATTAAGCGTGCTACCGTGTCCACGCTGTTCAGCCCTTGCGTTGACTTTTGGCGATTCAAAATGCTATGAAATTACGTCACAAACGAGGGAAACTGTTTGGTATCGCTCCACCATTTATCTGGGCCCAGTAGCATAAATGGATAGCGGATAACGCTATCCAACGGATAAATCGCTATCTAGCGGATACGTGCTAGCAAAACGTATAGCGTTATCCACAGGATTGAGATTTATCCAGTGGACAGTGTTATCCGGCGACTTTCGAACAACCGGGGCCAGAACTTTAGTAGCGCGTGCTTTGGAAACACCTACATCATATCTCTTAGTTAGTCCGTGCGCTATGATTGGTCAATTCAGCTGACCGTATTTTACTGTCAGGCTCTCTAAATTCAAACGTTTATTTGAATTAAAATCTTTCCCCTCTAGTTATACTCTGAGATAGAACAAATATCGTTCAAACCTTGTTTTCTCAGTCCGTACTGTAAATTACGGAACATCGTTTTTTTCCGCTCGGATTTATGGCCAAGCGCTTCACGCAAAACCGTTGAACAGATGAACATTAATAGAATGTCACACCCCCCCCATTGTGCACGTTGTGTGCATGGATTTCCTTTGACAAAGGATGTGATGAAGGTAGGGTAAGCCTTATGGTTTTCCCGTATTAGATAAGCATGCGCGAACAAAGATGTCCTATTAATTTTTTTTTGTTCCCAAATGTATTGTCTTAGCAAGCCTTTTAGATAGTGGCGGCCCGCCTTAAAAGTCTTCACTCTGGTTTTCCTTCAAATCGTACAAATCTTTCGCCTTTTACTAAAGATTTCCGTGGAGGAAAACAACTGAATGAGTCTATATAAAAATTTTTTGTAGCCCTGCCCTTCGGCGAGGCTCGCTTGCCAATATTATGAGGAAAATAAAACATTAGATACCGAAACGAACCCATTCGTGTTTTTTGCTGGGTTTTTGCTGACCACGTTACCGTTTCTTACAATGTAAGTCGCACTTTTGAAGCTCGTGTAAAGAAGTCTCCATAAACCCTTTACACGTTAAGATCAGTATACAACTTCTCCATAATGTCTTCTTTACATTTCCTATGATACTTAAAGGAGAATATTTCTGATAATCAAGAGCTTTTTGAGTCCGGGATCATATCTTCTATTCTCATGAACTTAATATTTGATTCAGGGGCGACAATGTTGGAAGAAGTGCTCACCCCTTCAGGGATGTAAAGGATTTAACATAAAAGATCAGCTGTGTGTTTATGTTCGATTCTCATATTGTTCTTCGATTAAATGCCGAAATTCCAGAGTTGGGTGAGCACAACGGCCATTCTGAATTCGAATATTTCGGACACAGATGCAAATCACGAGTAGCCTATGAAAATTCATATAGTAAACAGTTCTAATCGATCTCTCACACCGAGTACAGTTGTTAGCGAGACTATTGTAATCCCTAATTAATTTGGACAACTTGGCCACATAAGAGAGAATAGTTTACGAACCGCGATGTATTTTTGATTGTCGCTTTTCAGATGAATTTCCCAGCCAAGAAAAACGCCCATTATGACTGGAAATACGTTTACATTTTCTGGATGGGTAGTTAGGTATGTGTGGTCTAAAGCTGCATATTCTCGGAGCCACTTAAAGGAAACTGACTATATGTAGACGGGTAGTACGTAATAGCCACGGGCAAATAAATTTGTGGGCTTGAGTAAATCCATTAATTACAAGTTGTAGAAATCAACAAACATTTTGCATTATGAATAAATAAAAACACACAGGTTAGCTCGATCGGCTAAAAAACACGAGAATTTATAACGACTTAAATAGGATCATAGAAAAATCACTTTAAGTAAATATAAGGCACTAACCAAAATATTAAAATGATGCAAAAAGTGTTGGTCCCTAAAAATCCTACTCCACGTGTTATCATTAAAATTGGCTGCAGAATCTACTTCTGTAGCAGATAAGGGTACAGTCGCTCCAGACTCATGCAGCTGATGCAGCAAATGTGGGTCCGCCATCAGTTTGGTTACCTATTTGAAGGATTTTTCTGGTTTCCTAAGATCTCCACGGAGATTCATGTCTTTTCAAGATAAGGAGGTATTCGTAGCAGCCTTTCTCTGTTTTCGGTCTCTTATAACTCCGGTATGACTCACCAGGCAGCTTTCAGATCTTGAAACAAATTTTGCATCACAATCTAAAATTAACCCTCCTGTACATATACACTTATCGCCTCTTACATAAATTTGCTTTTACTGACTAGCATGAAAATTTTGCGGATTTTAATTACCGCGGATTAAAAAAAAAATTATACAAAAACTAATCTTTATCAAAAAGACTTGTTCTTAGTTGAATATAGAGCTCCTCTTGACGTAAATTTTTGGTCTAAGGTGATGAATATCAGACGGAAACATTATGAAGTTTCACTATCAAGTGGTGGGCTGTAACAACTCGATTTCGCAACTGATTTACTTGGAGACATCTCTTTCCCTCTCAATAAAGAAAACCGAAAAAATTGGCTCCCTGCAAAAATTTCTAATTTAGAACCAGAAAATTTATTTTCGGCATATTAGTATATTCGCGGTTTTATATAATGCCGTGAATAAATTGGTGACACACATCGCTCGAGTGTGGAGGCTGGACACCAGCATGTTGATGCTGCGCAGGCGCACATTTTCAGGTGGAAGCACGCCACCCAGAACAAGAGCCGAAAAAACCTCGCGAGATATTTTCAATTTCGCGGTCTACCTTCCTCGTTTCATTGTAAGATTTTGTGCTTTCCCTCGACCCGTCTTAAAAATGGCGACTCGGGCGAATGCACGATTGAAATCCTACAAGAACAAAGCTTTAGATACTGCAGAGATGAGGCGAAGGCGAGAAGAAGAAGGAGTACAACTCCGTAAGGCCAAACGGGAAGAACAAGTAAGAAAATATGTACAAAATTGCAGCGTGTTTGTACGTAAATTTTCGATTGATGTTTTTCAAACATTGTCTCTGGATTCTTCAATTGTTACCGTCACGGCCTCGTGTGTTTCCTTGTAGATGTTTAAAAGAAGAAATGTTGATGTGACAGGAAAATCGTCTACGCAGCCTGGTGAACTGGAGAGTCTTCTTACCACTAACCACGTTGGTCAGGTAGGGAAAGCCTACTATGTGTGTCGCAATACATTCGCAAAAACTTAATTAAGACCTTGTTTAGTGCTTGGTGAAGAAGAATTCCTTTATTTAGTCATTTGATTGTATTGACATTATTATTTGCTGAACTTATTTGTTTTAAATGCTTTAAAACTATGTTACAAAGTCACTTGTCATATTCGTGCTTATATATGAGCTCCGCAACAATTATCGTTCCCGGTCTCCTTAAATCCGGAAACTTTAAGCTCATATGAGTTACAAACATACATCATGTTCCATAAATATTTGCCATTTCTATTTTGTCTATGAACTAAAATGAGTGATTTTCTTGAAACGGAACCATGCTCATTTTCGTGCATTTCCTTTTACATCGCGTTTATTTAATTGAAATTATAAATCAGTGCACGTCATCAATGAAGAAGTTTTTTTTTCGTGTGATTCGTCTTTGTGGTGTTACATTCAAAGCCCAAATGTTATCATTTCTCAAATGATTTTTTTAATGTTGTCGACATCAAGTATTAAATTTGTTGGTAGCTTACACGATTCTAGTAACTTAATTACTTCTCGTCTGTCGCTTGATACTTTTTTTACGCATTAGTTGGTTATACTTGAATTATGGACATCATTTAAAGTGACCATGCCTTGAAATAAACTCATACACTTCTATCCTTTAGAAGGTGACATTTGGGCTGCATCCTCTCTGTCAGAAACAGTGAGTTTTGAAGCCTACCAGCCCTTTGAAATTTTATCAGCCTTCATATAAGAATATAGGGATTGCTTGGGGCTACTCTTGTATTGTGTGATCCAAATCAAATTTTCTCAGTTTACAACCAGCCCGAATTTTTGGGGTTGTATCATTACAGGAAGGCTTAATTCTGTTCCAAAAATAATGCATGGACTAAAACTAGTCACTTTAAAGCAAGCAAATTGACTTTCATTCTTATTTGGTATTTACAATCAATGCAAAAAGCAGTGCAAAACTTGGAATTAATAGTTCAGTTCTTGTATGTGTTGTATGACAAAGCATGCTTAAAACTTTAAGTTTTGAGCAGTCAAGTAGATGTGATATTCTAGTCATGAGCACTCAAATTTTAGTCTCATTGCTAAGCAAGTGACTAGTAGTAAAATGAGACACTGTCAATTGTTTTTTTCTTTTGTCAGGATGTATTTTCACCTGATGTAGTGGAAGCATTATACTCAGAAGAACAGGAGAAGCAGTTAGCAGCTATGCAAAAATTCAGAAAACTTTTATCAAAAGGTTTGTTTTATGTCACAAAGTTTGGTGTTTGCTTATGCTTGTCTAAGACGTAAAATTGTTTTTTGTTTTTACTGTAATTATTTTTTTTACTAATGTTCTGTTATTATTATTATTGTGATTGCTGTTGAAAAGGTTCTTACCTTTCAAACAAATTCATACCTCTGTAGACCATGTTTACACAATCCCCTCTGGCATGATACAAAAACCTCAGTGATTTAGACAACAATAACTTTATTTGTTGTAACAATCACTGAGCTTAACAAGATGCACAACTGTTTTCAAATAATGCTTATTTGGCCAATCCTCTCATCTCAGGTCTGGCACCAGCTTAACCAGGACTTCAGAATTCAAATCAAACACCAAACAGGAATTCTGATTTTTTAACCTTCCCTGCTATTTTCCACTCAACCCTGCAGAAAAAATTGCCAGAGATTTTTTTTTTCAAAGCAGTACTTTTGTGTTGGTGTTCAAATAGTGTTCTATGAATTTACATGGCGAAACCTTAAATTTTTGTTGTGTGGCCTTTGCTGAAACATGGTACATAACCATTGTGCTCAATATTCCTGAGCTATGCTCCAGGGGAAAGAGTGCTTCCACATTTACAGCTAACTTTGTTATTAATGTAACTTTTTTATTGTTGTTGCTCGCAGAACCCCACCCACCAATTGATGATGTAATTAGGTGTGAGGTTATTCCTAGATTTATCTACTTCTTGCAGCGAAATGACAATAGCATGTTACAGGTAGGATATTTTAAAGGCAGGGTTTTCCTTTTTGGAATAGAATGTGTTATAGGTAGGGTCGAAACAAGTTGGTTTTAATCTCAAATGACTGGATTTCTCATTTTTCGTTAGCCAGAGACCAAGTAATTACCCTATTTTTGTTCCCCTAAAACAGTTTTGAAGCGAACAGAATGATTGTTTGATAGGCGCTGATACAGTTTATGTTGAAAGGAAAACAGACTTAAGGTCCAAAGTAAATGTTAAATCTGTGACCTACTCAATGCTTATAGTTATTGTACATCTTGTATTGATTATGACTTGTTTTCAGTAATTTTCTCAATAATTTATTTCAAAGTTTGAAGCTGCTTGGGCACTGACAAATATTGCATCTGGGACATCACCACAAACCCAGTGCGTGGTTCAAGCTGGGGCCGTCCCTGTGTTCATTACATTACTTGAATCCCCACATGTAGATGTTCAGGAGCAGGTCAGTTTAGTTTAACAAAGCAATTTAACTTACATAGAAGCATGTTCTTTTCTTGGCTTCCTAGACTAAAGAAGCTAAGAGTATTGCCACTCCTCATTCCAGGTTACTTAATTTTTTCCCAAATCTGTAGAATGATGTTGTGGTGGGTTGTCTTGTCTTAAGGTTTCTTTTTATCATTGACCTTTTAGGCAGTCTGGGCTCTTGGAAACATAGCTGGAGATAGTGCAGAGTGCAGAGATTATGTTCTTAACTTAGGGATGTTACAGCCAGTTCTGGAGTAAGTTAACAGATGGATCTATTGTATAGTTTTTGTCTCTACTTTTTTCATTTCTCAAGCTACATTTCCATAGCATGTTTGAGAAAATATGCTTCTGTTAAGTATTTGAATTAAGGGAGGATATTTCAAACCATTAACCTTCTTCTGATATTTGAGGAGAGTGGTTGTTTCTAAGATTTTTGTAACCAGTGCTGCCTTTTAAAGCCAGCTGTCTTGGTTGAACAAATAAGAGTAAAGTGCTCAATTTCTTTATTTAGTGTGGTCAAGGTTATATTGTTTGCTGACAACTGTTTTTTTTTTTTTTGAAGGCTATTAAAGCAGTCACCAAGGATATCAATGACAAAGAACTTAGTTTGGGCCTTGTCCAATTTGTGTAGAGGAAAAAATCCACCACCTGACTTCTCAAAGGTATTCTATGTGATGTTTCCTGATGCATTTTTAGTCAAATCTATTGGAAAGCTGTCTTTCCATTGGAATGATGCAAACAGTTGCATTTGGAATTGGCATGTAGCTGAGGAGTAGTGTTCATCCCATGAGAGGCACAAAGGAGAGTGTAAACAGCAGTCTTGTGCAGGGTTCTTCACCATTTATCTGTTCTCATTATGGCTAAAGAATGACACTTGAGAATGGGGTTTGCTCATTTAAAAATGTCAATGCAGTCAAGGTGACAGCCTTAAAGGCGGAACACATCATCTGCATTTAGAATCAAATGCTTTCGGATATAACTACTGTGATAATAATTAGAGGGAAAAATGAGGGTTAGAACAGTTATTTGAAAGTGTTACAATTAAAAACAATTTTTATGACGTAAAGAATGATCTACACTCATTGTATTTATTCTAGGTGTCTGCATGTTTGCCAGTACTAGCTCGTCTTCTCTTTATTAATGATCCTGATGTCCTCGCTGATTCATGCTGGGCACTGTCGTATCTGTCAGATGGTCCGAATGAGAAGATTCAAGCAGTCATAGATTCTGGTGTTTGCAGAAGATTAGTAGAACTATTAATGTAAGACTTAAAACAGTCTTAATTTGAACACAATTTATGAATGATATTTAAGTCTCACCATATGTCTCAGCACAATCCAGTGAGTTCTACACAACCAGGAAATTGGTTTAACTGAAAAATAATTTCACAACAATAAGGTATTGTCATTTGTCTTTGAAAAGAATTTCTTTGATTTGAGTCGCAGATTTTTTTGTGTGCTATTCATCGTCTTAAAACCCAGACTGGAAGCAGCTGTGCCATGAGAAACAATGTCCATATATTGTACCAGTGCTATAGTTTGAACTGGTTTGGTTTGTGTACATCTTCATGTCTTATTTAATTTTTTTTCTTTGTTGCAGGCACAATCTTAGTCATGTTGTTTCAGCAGCACTCAGAGCAGTGGGAAATATTGTAACTGGTGATGATGTACAAACTCAGGTAGAGCTTGGGTCTCTTTTTTTTTCTCAATCCAGTATTAGGAATCATGGTTTTAGTGTTTTACCTATTCATACTAGTAAGTGCCATATGAGAGCAATTTCCATACAAGTGTTAAAAGTAGTTCAACATTATGATAGTTTTGCTCACCATTGCAGAGTGTTTGATATTAAAAAAAAATTGTGCCACTCCCTCAACCAATCAGATTGAAAACTAAAAACACCGGAACCTGTGGTAACTTGTCTTTTTACTGTTTTGGTGCAACAGATCATCCTAAACTGCAATGCTCTTCCAAGTCTATTACATCTATTAAGCAATTCAAGAGAAAGCATCAGAAAGGAGGCATGCTGGACAATATCTAACATCACAGCTGGTAATAGAGCACAGATTCAGGTAAGGTTGGATGCGCTAAATAGGATCAAAAATTATATAGGATGTAGGATAAATGGTTTATTTCTAATCACTTTGCAACTTAAAAAAAAAGAATTACACAATTATTACAAAGGATAATATCAGTAATAACATTAAAAAGAACTATCAGTGGTTTAAAGCAAGTTTGTTAAAAAATTTGTTTGTGTATCTGTTACATTTGTAAATAAAATATGTCGATTAGATATAAAATTCCAATAAATTAGTTTGGGATTTAAGCTTAATAATGTTAATCATTACCCTTGCTTTCTAATGCCTACTTTTTTCAATAGGCTGTGATTGATTCTAACATTATTCCCATGTTGGTGGAGATCCTCGCCAAGGCAGAGTTTAAAACAAGAAAAGAAGCAGCATGGGCTATAACCAATGCCACCTCTGGAGGAACAGCGGAGCAGATCAAGTGAGTTAGTAGTGATTACAGTTATTCTAGCAAGCATATATTTAGGAGGGTGAGGTGAATATTGCTATGATGAAGTGTAGGATATTTATTGTACATCTTTCACTGAAACTAGCAATTGCTTTTGTTTATTGCCCTCTGGAGATTGTTAGATAAATTGCATTGTTTCCCACCCACAGATTGGTTCAACTGAATTTAGTTGAAGTCCTTGTTGATTACCTATTTGTTTTAAGTGACCCTGGTAATGGTAGTGGCACTCTAAAAATTCGGACCTCAAGTATCAAACTTTGTAATAAGAAATGTAATGGCACTCAGTAATAAGCATGGGTAGATTTGTTTTAGTGACGATGCAATATCTAACTATGTCCAGCTAGACTAGGTTTTTCATGATAACACAGGCAGGTTTTTTTTTTCCTTGGACAGATACCTTGTGAGTCAAGACGTAATTAGACCTCTTTGTGACCTGTTAACTGTTATGGATTCAAAGATAGTTCAAGTAGCACTCAGTGGACTAGAGAACATCCTCAGAATTGGAAAGCAGGATGCACTTCAAACAGATGGTGTCAACCAGTTCGCTGTCATGGTAGAGGAGGCATACGGTAAGGAATTTGTTTCTGCTTCTGATGCAGAAACACCGTAATTCATGATGTACGTCTACAATGTGTACCATCAGACCCAGGAAACTACAATAGCTGAATCAAATTTGACAGAGAAAATGTTTCGTTCTTCCATAGGCTTGGACAAGATTGAATTCCTTCAAAGTCACGACAATGAAGAAATCTACAGAAAAGCGTTCGAAATAATTGAGTACTATTTCAGTGGCGAAGACGAGGACGATAAAATCATGCCAGGCATTGATCAGAATTCCGACCAATACCAATTTGGGGCTGGCGTTGCCATGCCTCATGGAGGTTTCCAATTGTAAACAGTGGGTTACACGATTCAGTGGAGACTTGAGTTATTCCCCATCCCTACAGTGGACGAGACATGCTCTTCCAGACAATGGAGGAGTCGTAGACAACCGTCCAAGCTTCCCTGACCTTCCCCTCCCCTCATGAAAATGCCACGCATACACTTACCCTGAGTGTAAAAAGCGCGGGCGGATATGCCCATCGCGTATGAGCGAGTAGAGAGAGAGTGAGATATATTATGGTGCGTCCCAAAGAACTTCCCACCCAACAAACCCCATAATAAAAAGACCCCACGGACATTCCTGCCCCCGTCAATAGGGGCAAAGCGCAACAGCGCACTGAAAGAAAGTACCCCAAGGATATTTCCCTTAATAATTGGCAAGAACGAAGAGAGAGAGCAACCGAGTGATTAGTTAATGTTAGCTTTGTTGAACTTCAACCAGTGCAGAAAATGAAAATGTACAGTACACTTGTTATCTTGGACAAACCAAAGTCAAGGACTTTACTAATTTCGAGAGGCATTGGTGTACAGATCAAATACTTAGAAAAGACTATTGAATGTTACAAAGCTGAATGCGATTTAGTTTGCATCAAGAATTGCTACAAGGTATTAAACATTTTTAATTTAAGGCAAAGACTTGATATTATGGTATTAGCGTAAAAGGCTTGTATATACACAATAAATATTCCAAGAGTTTCTAGCTGAACTGACTTTTTGGGTTTCCATTTTCTTTTCCTCGCGCAGAAAAGGTTTCTGGACTAATGTGTTATTCAAGTTGTCAGACCCTTGTCGACGTTCACTTTTTTCAGACGATCTCTCTCCCCTTCAGCAATCATCATTTACAAAACCAGCTTAATGTAAGGTCAACAAGACTGCGTTTACTCCAGCAGGTTGCTTATTAACCTGCTTCGGAGAATTTACTTTAGTCTACTAAAACATTAGACAAGTAATCAAATGGTGGCCTCAATAGTCTTTTGATTATATATCACAAAGATGCGTGGTTAGCCCCTCCCCTCCGTAAAATCTTAAGGTACCTCTTTTGCAAACTGGAAGCATATCAAATTTTTAGGCACGGTTAACGACTGGTTGAAGAACAAGTGGTTTAATTAATTCGCTGGTGCGCTCAGCGGTTTACTAACAAGTTTCTTGAGAGTCATCTCGCCCGAAGTCATGTCGTCGGAAACCTGAGACAGGTCGCCCGAAATCAAGAGTCATGCTGCCCATTTTTATCACGCAAAAACATCAAATTAAATGGTATGTTTTTAAAAAGAGCTGATGATACCGATCGATCGAACTACCCTTTAGGTGTTTGATCCTAAGAGTGACTAGCATCTAATTTCTCCTTACAATATCACCACTAAATCACATATGAATATCAAGAGAATAAAGGAAATAATCACAAACTAAAGACACTCTTGATTGTTAGACGAATTCTCCCTATCAGCATCTCACTTAATGTACAGAGAACAGTATGGAGAATATGAATACCGATGTTAGGGTGTTCAGGGTTATTACTTACGTTACCGAACCTTCAATAGTAAAATTTCAAAGCAAATGCAATCTGATTCAAACCTTCTGTAAGACATATGTAATCAACATAAACATTGTTTATTTAATTCAACCAATACGAATTGACGGAGTACGAAACATTCGTGGGAACGAAACGAGAAACGTCAGTTCAAAAAACTTTTAACGGTGGCCAATTTACATAATCAACAGAGTTTATAAAGCCTTATTATTTTGTTATACCCCTCATCGACGAAGCACAGTTTCTTTAGAAACTTGCTCTCTTTAAACAGTGCAACGCTTTATTTTGTTGATATAGGAACAAACAACAATTTTTTTTTCTGAGTAGTCTGCAGTCTTAATGGTGTCGAAAACCAGCACCGCTTGAGTGAGTGATAAAGATTTCTCAAATTTACGAGACTTCTGTGGGAACAAAACGAGTAAATACATACATACATACTTTATTTTTTAACGTAGGTCGAAAAGTGGCAGCTAAAAAAGCTGATGTGGACCTACCTACTGTCTATAAAAAGTTATAAATGAAACCTAACTAAAAATGTTTACAGAAATTTTCTCACAAAAATATAAATATAATTAATTGAACCTTCTATTAAAATTGTTTACATAAATTTTCGCACAAAAATTTAAAAATCATTCATTGAACCTTTCTATTAAAAATTTTTTCAGAATATTTGCAAAAAATATGTACAAGATTGTTAATTAAACCTAGTTATTATTTGAAAATTTTTCTTCACAGAGCAACAAAATATATTTCTTTAAAATACCACTTATAAGTTAGTAATAAATGAAATTGTCTACATCTTTGTTGAGATTAGTAATGGTTCCTGGATTAAAGTTCACTTTTCTGAACTGAGTCTTGTTGAATTTTAGATTTGTTTTGAACTTCTCAAGTTAATCTAATAGCCTAGATAAACTGTCAAGAGAATTCCATACAATCTGGCGGGGCCCTGAAATAGCGGAAACTGTTCCTTGCACGATCTGTTTTTATGCGTTTGATTTCAAGGAATGGGCCTTTGCGCTTTGCGCTTCCGCGTTCAGTTGAATTCTGTGAAAGTGACAAACGAAAGTAACCTGCTGTTCAGGCCTTGCTTGACTTTAAAAACTTCAATTACTAATCTTCTTTTATATATGTATCCCAAGTCTTACCAGTTGATAAGGTCAAGGACTTCATGCTCCAAATAGTTTTTCGATATTTTATGAATAATTCTTCCTGCCTCGATATGCAAGTTTTCCATTTCAGTAAACACTTTGTCGCAACAGAGCAACTACCCCAGACTCCGATACGGTAAGTCACTCGAGATATTACAGTCTTAAGATAAGTTTCTTCCAAAAGATGTGATGGGAGATAACTCATCTTCCTCAAGACACGTAGCTGGTTATCAAAAGCTTTTAGCGCTTTATCTACATGTTCTCTCCATAGCAGTTGGTTATCAATCAGAACTCCTAATAGTTTTGTTTTAGCTTGTTTTGGTAGCCACATCTAACTGGTAATAAAGGTCCTACAAATCTATTCTTTTGCATTATCACTAAGTAAATCAAAACGTAAACAACCACGAGCTAAAGAAAAGAGACGCACTTCGTTATAAAGAGGGTAAAAGAGGGGTACATACTGCACGGTAGAACAGCATTTACTACAGTAGTCACTTTATCAAGAGCGAACAAACGTTTAGAAGGCGAGGCTACCAGGCAAAATGATTGCGCGGGATATTTCTCAACATTGCATCAGGGTGACAGACGCGTGATCGATCAGTCTCACGTTTATAAGTTCTAGATCGAATGGAAGCGACTTCGTTGTGTAGAGTATTATCTATTCAAAGTCACGTAGTGTCAGGCTATGTAGGAAACGATTCTGCCACATTTCCTCTTCAGGTTGGTAACTTAATACGAATAGAAATGTGCCCACGCTCTAGAAGCTTATGTTCAGTTCATGACTGGACAAATGCAAGCGAAACATTTTAAACGCAGATCGGTAGTTAAATGTATCAGTACTGTGGTTTTTGCTAATTTTCTCAGACGGTCATGATGTGAATAATCTATTCGTGTGATAACTGACGAATTATAAGATTTGTTACCTTTCCTCTTATCTCCACCCACCCCTCCTTCGGTAAACTCAAAACCTAGTTCACTTGCTGGCTCAGTTTCTGAGGTCTTAATTTGTCACCCCTCCATCTCCAAAAAATGTGAATGTGTTCATATTGGAAGAGTGAAAGTCTCTGTAGCTTGGAAGGCTCAGGCCTTCTCGATTCTGGATTGTGGACTAAAGCCAGTCATTTTGTTGTGTTCTTTGGCAAACACTTCACTCTCAAGCTACCCCTGTCCACCAGTGATATAAATTGGTTCCATAAAATGCTTCATGGAACAGAAACTGAGCTTAACATGTTGTAGCTTTGCGATTGGCTGACCAGGTTGTGGTTTGAGATGTTGGTGCTTAAACTCAAGTTGGTTTGTTGTTTTGCATTGATAGGTAAGATAGATACCATTTTCCAGTGCCCAGTTTCCACCAACGAACACATAAGGGTACTAGAGAAGTTAGAAACAATTGATGAAAGGTGTGGGGAGTGGGGGAGGGGGTGTCAACCTGATAAAGACTACCACCCTAGCTCGGCAAGGTGTTAATCTTCCTAGTTGTCTCATGAGAAATTAGAAAGTTAGATAAGAGAAACTAGGATAAGCTACTGAATAGGACTCTAAGCCTTAAAGACTCAACCTTCCAGTTTCTTGGTTTAGGTTCTTGGATTTGATGTTGACACAATCAATTCAGTCCAGCTTTCTAACCACACAGGTTAGTGTGACAAACCTTTTGACTCCTTTACTCAATAGAGCTTTTTTATGTGAACAAATATGCTTTATTGGGATACATATTGTGTTTTTGGGTGGGAAAGTGCAGAGGTGAAAAGAGGAAGATGTGTCTTTTCCTCTTTGTTGCCTAATCTCTCTTTCACCTCTTTCAACTTTTTAACCAGTTGCACCATAACATCAGTATGCTTATTATCCACACTGTTCTCTATGCATTTCCTTAAGCGCTGACAGGGAGAATATGTTTAAAAATCAATAACTTCTTCAGTTGGGGATCATTTCCTTTAGGGATAAATTAGATATTAATTGCTCATAGGGTTTATTGAGCTAATTTGTCAAGAATCCAAGGTGATCCATGACCATAAGAGTCAAAGTTACTTAGTGTTCAGTACCTTAAATGCATGTACATCAATATGCAAGTTCTTCTGATAATTGCCAGTTATATGTCTGTTACATCTTTTGGTTAATCTTTGCAAATGGATCCTCTGTTTTTGGTCATTTTTAACTATCCTCTCAAAAATGCAGAACACAACTAGATAAATTAAGAAGCTTAATGTGCCCTTCTCGTGTCTTACTGATAAAGAACCTTAGAGGTTGGTCATTTTTAATGTAGGAGAGCTGAAGAACCTACACAAGACCCTTTGGAGCAAGTATGAATACCATCAAGTCACTCAATAACCTGTGAGTGACATTGTCACACTATTTCTGTCAATTGTTGTCTTCTTTTTTTCAAAGGATATGACCATGTAAAAGGTCAAGTTCTGGATGCTAATGAACTCAAAGTCTTATTTGAAGGTCTCAAACTGAACAAATTACATCATTTCTCTCACCTTCTGACAGGTAAAATATTTATTGCAAATAACAGGGATTTATGATGTAGTTTGATCATCTGGAACAACCAGGCTACACGATAAACTTTTATGCCTGGCTCCAAACCATTTTTTGCAAAACCACAGACATACTGTGTAATGTTTAATTTTCAACATCGTAATTTAATAAGATGCTGAACTAATTATAGAGTGACAACTTTGATTTAACTGGGGCTATCTTGCATTTTCTGGTCAATGAAGACTAGATCAAAACAAGTTAATCAGTGTTTGTGATTCTTTTCTGACCAATCACAGCCAAGGCCATACAAAATCCTTCACTGAAGTTATTGCACTGTAGTTTCTGGCCATTTTATAAATTATATATATCTTTTTTCCGTCATGCTAACACTATGATGAGTGACTTACCTTGGTGAGTTTGGCTGCAAGTGAGACTCTCAAATTTACCTGATCAATCGAGACTATTTTTATTATTGCCCTCAGTGTTTTGATAGTATATTAATTTGTTTTGTCCAAGGTTATGTAGGTTCAAAATCATTTTTGGAGGAGGTACTTCAAGTTGTCCATGATCTACGACAAGCAAATCCTAACCTAGTGTTTGGTATGTATCTGAGCTGTGAGTTTTCTAGTTGAGGAACAGTGGTATGCAATAACATTCAGTACTGAATTGGAGTTGGTTTGATCATCAAATTTTGAAATTATTTCTTTTTACTTTTAAAGTTTGTGATCCTGTCATGGGTGATGCAGGGAAATTTGTAAGTATTACTTTGTGACAAGGATGACTGACTGAAAAAGAATTTGCTCTAAATTTTACATTCAGATTCTTTACAACTTTGCAGATAGGTGAATCTTAATATTACAATATACTTCTAAAATTTTGGGCTTGCTGAACTTGTGTTCGAGTTACAGGTAATTAAATTCAAAATTGAGGGGGTTTCTGAGAGGTTGCTAATGGTAGGTTCATTTTCCAGGAAAATTAACATTACTTGTTTAGAAAATTAGTGGGAATTTTTTGTTCTAAGATAAAATTGAAAAGGTGGAAAAACTCAAATTCATTACAGAATTCGTCTTTAAAAATAACAAAACAAGCCTTTTAAATATCATGAATCTATCCTCCATACATAAGACACAAAGGTATGCAAAATATTCTTGTCTATATCTCGTTTTCTCTCTTTGATAGTATGTTCCTGAAGAGTTGTTACCAGTCTACAGAGACCAGCTCCTTCCATTAGCAGATATTATAACTCCAAATCAGTTTGAAGCAGAGTGAGTAACTTTTAAAACTTTCTTCTTTAAAAGAGTAATTATTCTTGATTATGGTTGCAGAGCAATGCCAACGTGCTGTGCAAAAGTACATTATTTACTCTCCTCATGGAACCATGATGTACCCAGATTTAGACCAGGGGTAACCTTCAAAGAAATTTGTCTTGGAGGAATGCATTTTCACATCTCAGTTTATGTGTAATAAATTATAGAGGGCATTAGGAACAGTATTAATAACTGAAGTGTAATCAATTTCTATGACTATTTTTGATAGACTTCTGACTGGCATGAAGATAACAAATGAAAGCGAAGCCTTTAAGGTATAATGGATCATTAGATTTTAAACACAAAACCATTATTTTATAGATTTTAACTGTGCTTTGTGGAGAATTCTTTCAATTATTTTCAGTTGTTTATAATACATAAACTTGGATTTGATGATAATAGAAATTTCATTGATTGATAGACGAAAGCAGACATTATCATTGTTGTCAATTTGACTCATCTCAAGTCTCACTTTGAACTATGAACTCTCCATTTGAAAAAGTGAACTTTCTATATCAAATTTTCATGGGTTCCATGCATGGTAGGAATGACTGAGCTGCCCTTTCGTGAAATTCCTTTTTGTTTGAAATGTATGATATCATGGTTATATATTCTGAGGTGTTTTTTGTGTTTTTTCTTTTGTTTGATTGTCAGGCTATGAAGATACTACATGAAAGAGGTACCAAGACTGTGGTAATTACAAGCTCAGAACTGGGAGATAACAAAACACTAATAGCTCTTGGCAGCTCTGTTAATGGTGAGTTCTGATTGTTTCTTTCCATAAGACTACAAGGTAAAATTTTCAAGCCTTCTGTAGCCTCTTAGAGACTTAAAAATATGTGAGAGACTTGACTTCTTGTGAGCAGTGAACATGCTCCATACACTTGAGAGATCTTGTGTGAAGATAAGATGATGAATATGGTAAAAAGGTTTTCTGCAGCTTCTACATACCATTTTACCACATCATTAGATAACCACCACATGTGCGTGATCTTTTATGGAGATAGGATATTAATAAATATCGTAACAAGGTTTTCTGCAGCCTCTACATACATTTTATCATATCATTACATAACAACTACAGTCATACCCCTTACATCTACCATTCTTGTATCTCTCTTTTTTTATGGTAAGCAAAGGCTATTAACATTCTGTCTATGCTAAATATGAAACTAAAACAGCTTTTCATGGCTCCTAACTATTTGGATCATATTTTTTTCTTTTCTTATTTAGAGAGGGGGGACAGGGATGGTAAAGACATTGTATTTTGCATTTTGGGGTACAACATACCATCATTAAGATACCATCAACCATACAAGAGTGCAAGTCCTCCCTCCAGACTTGTGCCTCTCTGATACTGTTAGTCAGAATATATTTACTTATTTCTCTTGAAAAAAGAAGCACTAAATGTCTGTTCTAATTCTATCAACCTAGGCAACAAAAAGTGCATTAGGATGGAAATTCCTAAAGTAGATGCCATCTTCACTGGAACAGGAGATTTGTTTGCTAGTGTCCTTCTTGCCTGGCTTCATAGACATCCAGATGATTTAGCACATGCCTGTGAGGCAACTGTATCAACAGTTCAAGCGGTGCTGAAACGAACACTAGCTCATGCACAGCGTAAGTGAAATTGTCCAAGATAGAGTATATTAATACAACTGAATTTATCATGAAATTAGAAGATCCTCGCAGCTGAGAACACTACTGAAACTAGTAGTTGTAAATAGGACCTCTGCACCGGTATCGCAGAGGTCGTAGGTTCATATCCCGTACGGGCCTGAATTTTTTTCAGGTCCTATTTACAACTACTAGTTTCAGTAGTGTTCTTAGCTGCGAGGATCTTCTAATTTCATCTCTCCACCGCAGTGCAAATATGTGAATTTTCATATATCTGAATTTATCATTTTACATATTTGACTTTTGCAAACTAAATGGTTAAAGAGAGTTCCTGCAGGAAAAAAATGCTGCAACTTTGTAGAACTGCAAAACTTACCAACAGGGCTTGAGCTGAAATGATAATCTTTGCCAATTATGGTCAAAAGTTCATAAGTATATGATTGTTTCCCTCAATAGCTGTAGACTTTAAGCTGCAGATCTCTACCTTTTACTTAGGCATATGGTGGGGTTTTCATTGGGACATCTTACTAGCAAGTAATAATTCCTTGGTCTTGGTTACCTTATATGAGTACAGCAAAACCTTCTGTTCTTTTAAAGAAAATGGCTTAGTTTGAAAAGGTCCATGTGTTTTATAGATTTCAGCAGTACATGAACCTTTTATACCCAAGCATCAGTATAAATACTGTTCTCCATACATTTCCTGAGCTGCTGACAAGGAAAATTAGTTGAACAATCAAGAGTTCCTTTAGATGGTGATCATTCCCTTTATTCATTTGACTTTGATGTTTGATTCAGGGGTGATATTGTAAGAAGAAGTTAGATTTTTTTTTTTTTTTTTTTTTTTTAAATATTTTATTGTGTTTTTCCGTTTTACATTTTAAAAAATAAAAAAGTCTTATCATCGTAGTCATATCATCGGCAAATGCAGTTAATTTAATCTCATGTTCATTCCGAATATTGATGCCCTTAATCTCATCGCTGCTTCTAATGTATATAGCAAGCGTTTCTAGAGCAATGATAAAGAGATAGGGGGATAGTGGATAGAGGAAGTTAGATGCTAGTCACTCTTAAGGGTCAAAAGGTTAAGAATCAGTTTGAGGGAAAAAAAGGCAGTTGCCAAAACGAAAAACCCAGATGCTGAATCATAGACATCTCTACTTTCTACATAATGGTTTTTTTTAAATTAATTATCTGGTAGAAATTAAGTAATTGTTAGCTTATTAACATATAGATTTCACTGATTCTTCTTCTTTTTTTGTCAGGACTGGCTGGAGAAGGAAACAAACCTACAGCTGGAAAAATTGAGCTACGGCTTGTTCAAAGTCTTGATGACATTAGGAATCCAAACATAACATTCAAAGCTCAAATAGTTTGAGACTGACCATTTTTCTTTCTTTTTTAAGTAGAAACAAGTTACTCAGAGATTAGTTTTCCCTAAAATAAATTATTGTAATAAATTGACCAATGTAGAGCAAAATGTGCTGTAGAATTCAAGATATATTCCACATTATACTGTGTGATAAAATTTAGGATGTCTCCGTTTTTAAGGGTTAGATGCAAATTCAAATTTCTTGCTCTTGGGAGTGGAAAATTTTTCTATCCCCCAACCTGATACCTATTATAAATTTCTTGCCATGGCCTTCATGATTGAGGGATGGGGCTGAATAAAGAAATTACAAGCCTGTCCACTGATTTGAAATTTGTTGTGAGGTATAAACGTTCTTGAAGGGATGTCAGAGTGAAAGAAACAACTCTTAATTTTTAAATGTTATGCCATATGGAAAAAAACATGCATGGTTCAAACTAACCTGGTTTATTGTGCTGTAACTCGTAAGACTTCTGTACACACAACATGCTCCCTCACCTATGCCCTTGCCTACTACTGAATAGCATACAACAATAACTTTCTCAATTTTTGCTTTCATGAAAACCACTATTTATCCTGAAGATATGTACGTGAATAAAACCTTATTAAATATATATTTTTTTCATCCGTGTCTTCATTTCACGTCAGTGCTAGTGTCTACTAAACCCTTGTGACTTTAGTCACTTGGGTGTGGTCAAATGTCACTGGGCAAGTTGGTTGGGTGTTTGGGTGTAGTTTTCAAGTCCAGTATTGTAAGTTTTATTTCATGTTCATTGATTACAATCAGAATGTGGTCTACTTCTCTTTAATGACGAATTTGCTTGCTAACTAGTGGCAGGATCTTAAACCGGATGTGAGAAAGAGGCAGAGATTGAGCTTATGGATATTAAGACGACTGATTGGTATAACACACCACCACTAAAAAGTTTTTTTTTCTGATTAGCTCCGGGTCAGTTTGAAACACAGCCTGCACCTTTTTCAAGCCTCAACCCTCCCTTCCCCCTTCCAACCGCAGCTTATATAATAACTAATAGAGTGCGTTTCATTTTCTGGTATTTGAGCTTCGGTTCTTTTTACGGAGAGGTTCGGTATGGTTCACCGTGCGTTTTACAACTCTAAGCATTTACTAATTTGTCTTAAGGGAAAATTTTCTGCAAGGAATTGTCTTTATTTTTGGTAACATTTGAAGACTACATTTGGTTTATCATTCCACTGTACAATGTTATTTAACATTGTGTGTTAATATCTTTAGAGTAATTATGTCGGCCGAAAATCTCACTTTTTGAGTATTTCAACGATGGTACTTGTAAAACGGCATAGAACGTGAGTCCGAAATGAAAGTCTCTTCATCTTTCTCGTATATTTCCACAGTTGTTTATGGGTCATACTTGCTACCCTTTTTGTCTTTTGTACTCTCCGTAAAATTTGTAAAGTCGATGAAATTTTGGTTGTAGATATAAGAAAATCATATCTGTGCACTGCGGTGAAGAAACGAATATAAGAGATCCTCGCAGCCATAAACACTACTGAACTAGTAAGTTAGACGCTTTACTAACGTCGCCAACATATTTGACTTCTCACAAAACAATAGAGAAGTGAGACATCTCTAAGGTATTACGTCGGTAACACTGAACGCATTTGGGATATTAAATCGAATTCTAACAGAATATGAATATTCTACCGACTTTGGATAGTACCATATTCTGTTTGAATCCTTTGTTATTAATAAGAGATGGGCTCCGCAAGATCCAAATTGACCATCTATGAAGACTTTAAAATACGAGAAAATGCGATGTCTAAAGACAATTTATTATATTCCTTTCCATACCTCATAAAAAAGAAAAAAGAAAAATAGAAAAAGGAAACTCCAACGCCTCTTTTGTCCCCCCCCCCAAAAAAAGATGTAAATTCTACTTAAATTGAGGTGAAGGCTTTAAAAATTCCTTCTAACTCGTTCCTCATCGAATATTTATCGATTGATGAACTGTCTAAGGAAGTTAATTTAGCTGCGGGGCTGGCTGGATTCATAACTTGTTTTGATTGTTCTTATATACATTTCTTAGGGTGCTGACAAAAATAATTTGTCGGTGATCGTTTCCTATATTCTCATGACCTCAATGCTTGATTCAAGGG